ACGTAAGCTCTTTAACAAAACCGCTTATAAAGTGACCAATCTTAGAGAAAATCTCTGAGTATTAGCGAGATTCAACCGAAATAAAAAGACATCCCTGATCAACATTCCCATGCAGCGCACTGAAGAATGAACTAATACACCTCGACAAACTAAGCAATGAAAACGAAAACGGATTACGAGAAGAGAAAAGATGCCGCAAGGAAAATAAATAAATTTGTTCTCTAAAAGGTTTGGGGACATTGGACAATACATGCATTCACTGTCCAACTGATTTGTCATGCAAAGGGCCATACCATTATAGTTTCCCCTGGAAGTAAACATGTAGTCAAGTACAAGTGGACTTTCCAAGCTGAGGCTTGAACAGCTGTGTTGCTATATCAATAGAAAACTCAAAACGAAGGTTGCATTTTCTAACAAAACCCGGATATGCAAGAAGTGCAGAGGATGCAGTTGTCCCCAAAATCCACAAAACCCTAATACAAGAAATGAAAAATTCAAGACCACAAACAGTTGTTCACAACACAGCTGGCTAATCAAAAAAGCTAGTCAAGTGTAGCTCTTTATTGCCTTCTGGGTGAGGTTAAGGGCCTAGCCAATTTTGATACCAAATCTTCCTAGGATGTACATAGCCATATAGGGTTCATTCAGACAATAATTTCAGCATTGCTTGAAAATTCGGTTTTATCAAAAAAAAAGCCTAATATGATATTTCAGAAAAACTTAAGAGGAATGCACGAGATACCACTTAATGGACACTTCAACATCAGCTAACCAATGAGCTCCACACCCCACTCCACTCTGGCTTCCATGTGTTATTGGGCATGCATCCCAAAGTTGAAGAGGTACACTGGGGTCCCAAAAGCATGGAAACAATATCTAAAATGGTGGCTCACAGAGGCAGAGGGCTTAAGCTGACAAATTTCTAAAACAGAAGTTCAGGGATAAGGGATTTTGGAGATACAAGAATATTCTGCAGAGCGGTCACTCCGAAAGTGCTACTGAGGCCAAGACCAAATCCCCAGACAGAGGGCTTCAACAGAATCTTGATTTACTCTGTGTGACTTACTTACTTACTCAAGTGATTGTCTGTTCTTCTAAATAGCCCCATTGAGTACCCCCAGTTCAAATGTCGGGATTGTAAAGTTCTGCTGTGCACCACTTCAGTTCTGATAAAAACCACAAAAACACAGTCTCTTAAGTTGAATTCTGGACAAAGGCAGAACAGTTTCTTTCAAAGATAAGATGCTATGAATGAGAAAGCAGCTATTTACAAAAACCATTGATTTTATCTTAATTGTGGTGCCTGTTATTATCAAAAAACCAGGGTTTCTAAGTTCTTTGATGCCAAAAAGTATTTGTTTATCAGATGTACAAATAATAGGGTTTGTGGGTTTGTTTAGTAATGTTTTAAAACCTTTATTTTGCTGAGATTGTGACAAAATTGAACAAAATATTTTAGCTTGCTGAAAAACGATGTTATAATTGGATGTTATTCTAAATTACTTGAAGTAAATAAAAGAAACATGGGGTCAGACCCATATGATAAAACATTATAAAAAAGGATAAAACATAATAAGATGAAGTACAATTCAGCATGAGGTATGTTATAAATAAAGTTGAATTTAAGAAGCCAATTTGCTTTTCGAAAGAATCATTTGATCTACATATACAGGCCTTCCAGTTGAGAGGGCTAAAACGTTTTTGGGGGGCTGAAGATGATCACCACGAGCAGGGTGATTTTTTGTATGAATTTAAATCATTTTGGAAATTTATGAGGGGCTAGAGACTTAGTAGCTGCTTCCACAGTCCTCTGGCATGTTTATCATATATAGTTAAAATTTAGGTGACTGTATTACCATTTAATGTTATGCATTAATTATTTAATAGACAATATTCAAAACAAAGACAAATTTGCATTTCATTACTCAATTATTGTTTAACTGAGGCAGGATGGTGCTATCAAATTTTAATTACACAATGCCTCAAACAAACTGGTGTACATTATTCATGAAGTATAAATTAACATTCATTTTGACGGGCTTAAAAGTCACATTTGAAATTATTTGAATAACAAGCTAGTCAATATTGTAAATGATTTGAAATCAGGATGTAAATTATAAAGCTATAGCTTCTGGCTTCAATTCAACATTCAATAAAACTACACAATTAATTAAACAAAACATTATGAAGCAAGACTTATTGAACAGCACAGGACACAGAGGGCATGTGGTAGGGTTTTAAAGCTACCCCATAAAGTTAGGAGCAACACACCTTCTATCAAAAAAATGAGTAAGCCATCTGCCTGCTCAAGAAGCCAGTCTGTTCCACCCCCTTTTGTTTGCTAGGGAGTTCAAAGCCTGAGCTCATACAGAATAAACTATTTGCTTTTGTGTTGGCAAAACTGCAAAATCTATTTGCTGAATCATCAAATTAATAGACAGAATGGTGAAAAATATGAAGAATGTTTTTAATAGGATGGTTTAAAAATATTGCTATTAGTGAAGCATTTCAGACTGCAAACTATATTCAAATACTGCTGGATTATATAGTATACAGGTCAGAAAAATAAAATCATATAGTATTCACCAGAAGAGATAGATATGTGCTCATTTCTCAGGATTTTCCTCTATGTGGTACACCTTCAAAAATGTGTTAAAATTTTGTGGAAAACTATATGATACAATGCTCAAGACCTGCAATTGATGTTATAATCATCTCACATCTTTGGCTAATGTTTGAATTCAGCTAGCAACAAGTACAAATATATAATTCTGATTTGCTGTGTAGGAGGGATGGTTTGAAGCCAGGACTGTTCAAAACCACCATGTAACCTAGCTCAGATACTAGCTACCATGTAATCAAAAATCAGAATTGCACTTAATGGTTCTGTCTAGATCAATCACTCTTCGAACAGACTGCTCAACTATGATCTTACTTAAATAACTTTTGGTTATGACTTGATCTCTGATTACTAGCACTGATGTCTTTTCCATTCACTCACAGCCATAATTAGTAAAGATATCAGATTCTAACGCCATACTGTACATATTCTTCTCCTTCTAGCTCATTTTGCAGTCTGCTAGATTTGTCTACAAATATTAATGTTTTAGATAAAGTTTAATGTTTTAGATTTAAGTACACAACATAATAAAGGGATTGTGTCTGACATACATCATTACAGATATGGAACACCAAATGCCATAGCTTGATAGAAACTTGTTGTAAATTATCTGCTAAGATAACACAGTTTTTATCTTAATGCGTTCAAAGGTGGACAAAAAATTTAAAATTTGTCATGTACAGGGATTATCATGTACAAAATTATTAACCACTAAAGGCATAAGGTAATTGTCACTAAATTCATGACATACTACTTTTTATCCAAAGAATATTTGATTAAGTGACATCCTACAGTTATACATATATTAGCCAATAGTTGTTCCACCCTGGAATTTTCAAAATTAAAATGCTGAAAGTTTAATAGCATAATAGTACCTAAAGCATAATAGTAATCAAATGAAACTTGTAAGATAGCAAATTCTTTAGAATCATCACTTTAGACAAGCAACAATGACTTATCTGTTATTAAAATTTGACACCAAACTAGTGGGTAATTCACAAACATAACTAATTTTGCATAACTGTTGAGGTAAAAAATTACACATATTGCGCATGATAAGCAATTTACGTATGTCTGGTTATATTTGTTTGACAATATGGGCAGTAATTCAATGGAACAAGCCTTTCCTACTTCCTTATAGGTTAAATTCAGTGGCGAACACTTGAGGGGCGAGGGGGGTTACTGCCCCCCAATACTTTAGACAACAATGATATTTTGTTCTAAATCAATGGGAAATGTGACGTCATCTTATTAAAACAATAGGCTTGCCCCCCAATATTTGACCAAGTGTCTGCCCCTGGTTAAATTGAGCATAAATAAAAGGCACACCTTAAAATTTAGTGTGCTGCTTTCAGTCATGGCAAGCAAACGTTTAGACAAATTAAAAAACAGTGTTTAGAGGAAAATTAAATGAAAAACAGTGATTTCAAATCAGTACAGAAAGCATAAGCTTGCATAAAACTGAACGTTGGTTTGTGACACATTGACTTTGCTGCCAACGTTATTAGAGCAAATAGAATTAAAAATTGCCGCCTTACTTAAACTTGCGGTGCGTCTCATTACTCAACTAGGAAACAGTGATTTGGACGAATCAGAAATGTTTGACTTTTATTTTGGGGAACTAAATTAACGTGAATCTCTTTGTAGATCGTCGTCATAACACCGGAATGGTGTAGTTCAGACCTTTCTCGCTTCGCCTTCAAAAGCTACGTTAAAGGCTTAACCTAACCAAATGATATCTCGTATCATCGTTTTTTAACATTAGATGTGTTTTGTGACCCCACGCAGTTTTATACTGTCAGGTGAGGCCTAAAGATTGCGATGACAGTCGCCGATGAGAAGAATGGATGTTAAAAGCAGCACTTCCCAATGATGTACAGTTACATGGGTGCGACTTTTATCAGAATTCAAATACACGCCTATTTTCTCAAAAGTGCAGGCAACTGGGGATGCTTATGCGACAAATTGAAGATTTGAATATACAAACCGTCAACGGAGTATGTTGTACGGTTATCTCCATGAAAACGTTCAAAAAAAGAAGAAATGTCAGAGAGAAAGACACCGAGCCTAATTTGCTGAGCTAGTGCTAGGCTGGGTTCTGTACTACCATGCCAGTCTGTACAATACAAATTGAAACAATACAAAAACAAATGAAAAGCCCAGAACAATAGCGCCAAATTAAATCACCGAACAATTACTTGATTGTTTTTTGCACAACAGATTGTTTCCCCAATCGCAAAATTACAAGTGCGCGGATATGCTGACATTTAATGCAAATAATGAACAGCTCTTCCCTATGGGTAGAGCTCGACCAAAAGCGCAGATCAATTCATCAGTTCACAAAGGCCCGTAACAAATTATGAAAATAAAATAAACTTACAGAATATCCTGAGAGATTAGACGGAATCAGTGAAGGTCCAGTTTTGTGTCCCTGCCTTGATTGCCGCTTACGTTGGCGATGTTCACGTTCGAACGATCAGTCGAAATAATTTGAATAAATTTGCATATAATTTTAGCATAGGGATCAAAGGATACTGGTAAGATGTTGTTGTTGTCTCTCGGACATGCAAGAAACCTTCCATTGTGTTCTGTTCCAAGTAACAAGACGGGAGTACTTCCTTAAAGATTAAGAGATTCTTTTCTACAAAATCTAGGGTACTAATGCTTTTTATTCATTTTGTTTCAACGCCCCTTAATTGCATATAGGCTTATACTTCCTGGGTTGAAGGGAATGATATCCAATTGGTTTGCAATAGTTTGGTCAAAAATAATTTGGAATGACGCAGAATATTTCTTTAATTAATCTGCACCCATGATAGCTTTTCCTTGTTAACTTCATACCAAATTTTAAGTGATTTACATTGTGAAAAGAACACCCGCTTGACTAAAAAGGCTTGATACAGCTGTTCATCAGGGCTCCGGAATAGACCAGATGGAAATGGCGGGGAGTACCACTTTGGGGCGGGGGAGTTTTGATTCCTAGTTTCAAGCTTTTTATCAACTGGGGATATTGAATTGTGATGGTAAACGGGGACTTTCCGCTGCTTTTGGGGGTAAAATGGGGTTTAAATCGGGAGAACTTTCTGTTTATTCTCTGCGAAGGAGAAGCGTGGCTGGGATGACGTTTTTAACCAAATAAATCTGGTCTAAGCAGTGGAATATTAAAGGATAGTTCATATTTTTTGGTAGAAATACGTTTAAAGTAGTTAAAAGAGCTTTAATTTGTCAAGTGACGCCTAACTACCCCCATGTCCTTATATGGATATCTTATTAAAAATGGGCAAAGCCAAATGATCCTTTGGCATCGAAATTTCATTTTAGCATGCAATTGACTGTCAAAGCTTAAAGATGGGACTGTCGTGGTACTCAAACTTTAAAAAGGGAAAACCCGAAATTCACGTTTAGAATGATTTTTTACGATCAGTGGTGGACTGGCAGGGAATCTAGGCTCCAATCGCATATTGTCTTCTTCTTTAGGGGTTGGTCTTATTCCGTATCTTCCAGTTTCTAATTGTAACTAATGCGAGCTAAGCTTTGATTTTTCGAGTTTTGAAATCTTAAATAACGCCTTAGTGTTTTTCAGATTTTAAGGTGCTTTTAAATAGTTAATATATACGTGGCCTTTTCTTGTTTCTAACATGACCTTCAGGTTTTCAATAAGTTTGGATACGAATCTGTCAATACTTGCTGTAGAATATGCCTTGGTAACTATATCACCAGGGACGCCAGAACGACTAAGGAGCAAGGGGACAGGCTTGAGTAAAAGGGCATTCGAAAAATAATTCCCAGCTACTAACAATTCGTTCGTAACTATCATTTTGTTTCGATCTCAATCTATTGTAGGTATCATGAAAATCGGCTAACTTTTGGAATAAGAAATTTTAGAAATTTCGTCATGAATAAGGCAGTACCGTAAGAATTTCATATGAATATTTCGATAATTACAAACAGCCGGTGTCATGGGCACTTCTATGAAAAGATACTTTGGTCACCCTTGCCCCTCCTATCAAGAGGCAACAGGGACGGTTGACCCCCGCGCCCCCCTCTTCGGCGTCACTGTATATCGCAGATGAGTTTCATTCTACAATGATCCGTCCACTGTATGCTAAAGAAAAAGCGCAAGCTAATTCAGTTGCTGACTTTAAAAGACAAGTGTTTTACCCTACGAGTCAAGAAAGACAATTAAGTAAGTTTAAGTCCTATCAAAATGATAATCTATTTTTAAATTTTGGATTATTACATTGTATTCATTTGTAGTGGATTGCTACTGCTACAAAAGAATCATTATTTCTTATGTATGTATGTGAAAAAAGGAGCTGATGGGCAAAATTTATATCATAACACAATTCAAAATCAATAATACGAAGTCAAAACTTTCTTTCGTATTTTTGTCAATGAAGTTTTACAATAATAGCTAGCTCCTATGTTATTTGTTTTTTCTTTTGGTTTGTTAGAACGCACATTTAATTACATCAATTCATGGTAGCCAAAGCTTGTTTATCCGTTTAACTTCTTGTTGAGTAACAAAGATGGGTAACCTCGTAGGTCAAATTTACTGGCGTAAAAGTCACATTTTTCTAATGGGCTGCCAGATTCAAATTGTTTACATCATACGATACTTAGGTTGTATTTTGGAATATTGCGTTGTATTATGTTTAAAATTCATCAGTGGCATAACGATCTAAGCAGGGCCTATTTTAGTGTGCAGTATTACACACTTTGTGTAGTGTTAATATAAAAACGTGCAGTATTGATTTGGAAAATGTACAGTATTGAATTTTGGGATTTGTGAAAATGTCTTTTTGCGGCTATCCCAGATTCCTGCTTTGTTCTCAAAATGTGAATTTTCCTCGTCAGTTCGATATAGAGTTCATGTATTGTAAATCTCGCATGACCATCGGAAAGACTCTCCTATCAAAACTTACAACAAAACGAAATGCCCAGAATCAAAAACAAAACATCTACTTGCAAATGTCAGCATTGCTGTAAATTTCTTAATTTCTTATTTTGAACATTCAGTAACAATTTATCAGTTGCCCTATCATGCTCTTGGCGTCTAGCAGAAGCTCACTTGACAAAACAAAAAGAAACAACTTAACAAAAAGAAAGATAAAGAGCCTAATAAAACTTTTTAGTTGTACTGTCCAGACAAAACACGAGATAGTGACCCCGTTTATAAGTGATAAATGACTATGTTTCTATTCAGGTTTTGTAGCTACTGTTTGTTTTGTTGCTGTTTTGAAATGTTATTGTTGATTGTGTATATTATCGTCTGTCTGTTTGTGATTTCTGCGTCATGGCCTATACACGTGTTCAAAGTTCGGGGAATTTTCTCGCTACGCTTGCATTGCTAAGGCACCTGGGGTTTGCAGTAGTTTGCACTAATTGCAACAGAAAAATTTCCTATAAGAAAATATGATAATAAATGTGCAGTATTGAGAATTTCTTAAAATAGGCCCTGGATCTAAGAGCACCTTCGATCAATAACTAAAACCAAAAGGGGCAACCGAATTATTTTCAAGATTATTGTCATGCAGTTCTTGATGCCGTGAGTAATTGCCCCAATCGCCCCTAAATATTCATTGACTAACTATTAGTCCTGTTACTATTTCCAAATGAACCCCTTTGCTAGCGTCCACATCCGCTTCTCTGCTTGGGATTCTGTTTACGTGCTCGAAGTTTACCCATTTGCGGACAATGTCATATACAATTACAAGCAGAAAGCATTAGATTCACAGGAGAAATCTCAAAGAGGAAATATTTTGCTAAAAACGGAAAAAGTTTTCCACACCCTTTGCTGTGAAAATCGTAATGCCCCTCACGAATGCCCAAAACGAAAATATCGATTAAAATAACACTCTCTTTACACAGCAAAGAAATGCTACGAACTTGCAAATATTGAAAAAAGCATGTTGCAACGAATGAAAGCATGTTCTGAGAATGAAAGAGAATATCTATATATTTGCATCATCATGAGAAATTCTCACAACTTTGTCATTCTGATTTTCTAAGAACTAAAACAACTTCCTTTTCTTATGATGTTTTTCCGCCTTTCAAGGGTCTGTTGCAAATTTGATAGCGTACCAATAACCTAATTATCTGATATTTTACCCTGGACTTTGACATTTTTTGTTGGTAACTGAAATTTAAAGTAAAATAAAGCTCCCATATCGAAGACACCTTCTGGATCAAATAAGGGGCCTGTTTGAGAAACCTTTCTGTTGTCTGTAGGTTACAAGGCTCTGAGACGAAGTTCCTGACTTAAGACGCAATGCCAGGCAAGGCGATAGCTATGGGAGGCATGGAAGTGCTGAACGGAAAACAATTTCGTTAAAACCGAGGAGTTTTTTGTCATCTAGGATTGAAACGGCACTTTTCGTCATTCACACAAACATAGCGCTCGAAATTGACTTCACTGTGCCATTCGTAACGGCGTAACGACGAATTTTATCGCGCACAATCACATTTCAACGAAAGAAAACACATAACACAAATCACGAAACACATTTCTATATAAGCACTAAATGATTATTACCAAGCCTTGGTGTTCTTTATTTCTGAATATTTTAAGGCCTTGTTGTTCACAATGTTGTTCTCATTTTAATATTGATTTTTCCACTACAAAATTCTATAAATTGGTTGCAAGACCACAAAAGAACACATTTGCATGAAAATTTCAGTAGAACAGGTGATAAACTGATAAAATCTACTCTGCTTTCGTCAAGAACGTAGATTTTCAAAAACATGTTGTTTTGTTTTAATTTTTCATCACAGCCTGCCTGGCATGTTTTTTCGATGCTCTCAATTATCGGCAAACCGGGCCTCCGTGTTGTTAAAAGTGCCTTCTTTTAAAAAAGCGTTATATAAAGCACCCCGAAATTCAGTTCCAAAGAGGGTACTCCCACTAAGGCCTGAAATGGGGGGGGGGGGGTGCAATCGATTTGGAGGTCTTGCCAAATGGCTACCAAATGACCAGTTTTGATAATAACACACAGTGGCGGCTCTTGCTAATGGGCATCTGGGGCAATGCCCCCTCAAAAAGATTCAAAGGAAATCTATGATATTTATATTTAATTTTGAAGATAGTCTTACTGTGGTTAATTATATAAGTTTGTATCTCTTCTAGAAAAGGCTCCTTGCTATCCCGTCTCGTCCTTAGCCTCGCTTCTGGCCCGCTAGTGCGATGATTTCATTTTACGGGCAAAGTTTTTTTTGCCCCTAGCCGACATGCGCACAAGCTAATTTTCGACCTCGAGCATTGCGAAACGCGACCTGTGATTGGCTTATTTGGAGGAATTCGGGGCAAGAAAAATTTTGCCCATAAAATGACATCATCGCTAAACAACAACCACATCTATATATGCTTTTTCTTCTGCGCTCCATGACGATCAACATCGAACCATGAATACAGTGAAAAATTTGCAAACTCGACCTTTCTATCGATTATCGCAGTATTAATGGTCTGCCCTGCCAACTGTGAAAGTCACGAGCCGCCACTGATAACACATTGGCTTAGTTTAGCTTGCAATTTATTATAAACAATGAACAAGATTTTATCTTTCCCGAATCAACAACAGTCAATGGCGAAGAAATTTGTCAAAGAAGGACAAGACACGCACAAAGAAATGGAAGCTACCAAGGACATAATTTCCGTCCTTATGCTACCATTTAAGGGTTATTGTCAAAAAAGACTATCGTTTGAGGGTAATTTTTTAACATTTTAGCTTTGGCCCTCTTTGACCCGGACGGACCCCCCTCTTAGACCATAAAGAGAGTACCTCCCCCCCAGGATTCAATTGTTCGTTCTTCACTAAAGACATCGTAGGTAGGCCTCGACGTCAACCCGAAGACTAGAACACAGAACAGAGATTCTGTGACTAGGATTCAGTAGCCACGTTGTCCCTAAGCATGCCAACATACAAATTGTGAGGGAATTTGCTCGCAGATAACATCAATTTTATCCATGCCCAGTGGAATTCACTATTGCCGTTTAGCAACTATTTGAGTACATAATCTCACGAAGGTCCATGGCAAAATCATGAATATCGATTCTTGTTACATTCGTAGGATTTTTCGTGGGAAATCGTCTTTTTAGAAAGAGATTTTTAGTCTTTATTACTAGCCGATTTTAATATGAGCCAATTAAAGATAACAAAGGGTGCTTGATTTAAGCCCATTGGCGGAGACTTTCGGAACCAGAGGCCAGCTGCAAGATCAGGAAAACGGTTCTATTCCCAGCAAAAACTGACTGTTCTAATTAAATTTGCAACATTCGATTATTCTCACCCTCCACCCCATGGAAATGTTTTCCGATCAGTTGTAAGAAAAATGACGTAAGTTTATCAACGAACCTTTTTCCAATATGCAAAACATCATAGGCCTCTTTCCTATGTCCTTATGAAAGCGAGATCTACGTTAGTTAGCTTGACCAGTTTCCTATTCAAGTTGAAGTTTCAATAAATATATTTGTACGGTGTTGAAATTCTCTGAAGGGTTCACGGCAATGCTTCGATATGCTCCTGTAATTAATGTATTCTGTAAATAATGAATATCAGATTCGCACTAAAAATGTATCTACAGTGCATTACTCTTTGAAAGGCACTAGCTGCATTCATTTTCATGTCACAACCATCACGCACAGGGCCCACGCTACGAATTTGAAAATGGAGGGGGGGAGCCAAGGCTGGCAAATGTTGGGGGCAAGATTCTTTCCCCTTTCTACTGCAGTTTAAAAACTACTCGCATCGCAAAAGTGGGGGCCATGGCCACTCCGGCTCCCCCGGTGGCGTGGGCCCTGATGCCTCATGGTCTATGTAACATGAACTAGTCAGCAGTGGCGTAGATAGAGGGGGCCTGGGCGAAAAAGCCCCTTGTAAAACTAAGCTGCTATCTTGTCGGAAAACTTCTGAATTTTTCGGAAATGTAAAATGGTTTTATATTTATCTAAGTGTATATTTACCTAAGTGTTACATATTGAGAGGAAAGAATATAACGATATTCAAGCTGAATATAACGATTTCTTCCGTTGTCCTGAATCACATTGGCAATCTTTTTTTATAAGGTACAGTGCTTGCTACTTACTTTGAGGAGAATGTCCAGAAAAATCTTCAAAAAGTATGATTTATGACACTCGACTATGAATATATCTCTGGACTGCATCTTCTGTTTCTTCAGTTCTAATGTAGTTATGTAATGTTCACATTTATGAAAAGGTTTTTTGGATTTTTGTCGGATAATCTAAGTATCTCACCCTCCTATGCATTTTCTGATCTAGGCAACTGCTAGCCAAAGGGTCTTGAAACATGAACTAGACAGCGAGGACTTCCTTATTCGTATTTCTTGCCTTACAAGGGAAGCTGTTGAGTGCGGTTTAGAATTACCAGAGAACATGGTGGTATAAAGCTTTTGCTTTGTTAAAATAAAATTCTTGTCAATCGGTATATTAAAATCTTATGGCAATCAGTCTTTTGATGGATGCAGATTTCATTTCAAAACTTTTTACTGTATTGACAATCGGGGTCTGGTTATCAGGCTATGTATACATTTGAATATTGTAGCATGAAAACGAGGTCTTAACTACAACCTAAAAGAGGCTACTCGCAGCTGTCTTTTTTTTTGCTAATTTTTTGTTCTGAACTACTTGAACTTGCTGTGCATTTTGCTGTGCCGAACTTCAAATTTTTGGTCCAAGTTCTGCGTTTATACACACAGCGGTGTGCATCATGAAATCCAAGACCGGATACACATCAACAAGAATTGAGAATGTTGAAATACACTGTGCGAAACGGGGCAAATTTTTACGATTTCCAGATTCATCGAAATTACCCTAAGCTCTTCGATACTGTGCTCAACATTGCATTGGTGAAGTAAACTGTTTTAAGTCCTATTGTAAAGTTCTCTTTTGTTACAACGCGATAAAGCGTTCAACAGATCAGTGCGCCGTCTCTTCGCTGTTTGCTCAAGAGTAGCTATGTGTCCATTTCTCTTCAGTAAATAAGCAAATACAGTAAAACGTAATCAAACAAAATTTATCGCCCATTCATAAAAGCAATCTAGTGAGGCGATTGATAGGTATCGTTTGTTCTAGGTTTGTTTGTACCGACCGGATGAAAAAAATAGCAAAACACGAGGAAGTCACTTTAAAAAGCAAATATCAAGCATTTGATAAAAACCAGGTAAGTGGTTCGAGGTTTTAAGCATGCACATCTGCATAAAGCATTGATATAGAATGTTGGCAGAAGGAGCAACGCACTGTGACGACACCTGCAGTTTTAAGAACACGTCTTCAACGCAGGTCCAGTTTTATCGAAAAAAGGCACCCATGTTGGGAACATCTAGGACATTGATTTTCTCAAAACATCTATCCAATCTTTGCTACCCCAATCTCCTTTTTTACCAATTTCTAAGGATTCAGAAGGCTGGCTGCTTATGCGAGGAACTTAGTTTATGAGCCATTCCACACCATGCGGAGAGTTTCTTCCTTTTGCGGTCTTTGCGCCGCAGCATACCCATTTCAGGCATGATATTAAGTATAACGTCATCCCGTGTGTCTCAAAATTCGTAGTTAATACCAGACGTACGTACACACGAAGCCATACGATGACTGAAAACACATCAGATGCAAAGCTTATTGCTTTCTCATTTTGTACACATCGGGAATTATTCGAGGTTGCATTCAAAAAAATCAAAAGTTCCAATTTCGCACCACGCAGAATTCAAATTTTAAACGGACACAACGTTGATCTTTCAAGGTATCAATTGATCGTTGGTTATTTACCGAGGCTTTTGCCTTACAGCTGAATGCAATATCTTTTATTGTGAGCCATAAAAGCCTCTGGCATAACCATGTTTTTCTCAGGAAACAAGGAATGCATGCATCGAATGAAAATTATATCGCTTGCAAACCAAAAAAGGTTTCATCAGATACAGCATATTTTTAGCTGACTAGGCCAATTTTTCTGCAGCTACAGGGCCAATGCGAACAGCAGCGATGCTTCCTTTGCGGTCCATCGACCAACACTCCTCATTTCACTCCCATAATTCCACCATATTGGATGGTGGTGCTTTTTCCATCAGTTGCAAAAAATGGAAAATCCCGCCACCAGGGCAAAGGCATTCAGATTGTGGGCCCATTTCATTGAAACCGTTCTTTAGAAAAAAACCAATAGATTTTCGCGCGGCATTCACCCGTATAGGGTGGGATTTAAACTTCCAGGCATAGTTCTGCAGAAAATCTAGTAGTTCAGAGCCAAGACCCATGCACTGAAAGTCTTTCTTGACAAACATGAACGTGACCCAATGGTAGTAAGCTTTGTCGCTTTCTGGGCAAGTTGGGTGTGCCAAATGGATGCTTGCGATGGCATGAATATCTGGAAGAATATGAAAATGTGGCATGAATAGCTGTTTGGAGGTCTTGTAGAGCACTAAATTTTTCATGCTGTTAATTTATTAGAAGGGAGGATTTGTAAAAAGAGTCCTAAAAAGAGCAGAAGTATAAACAAGAGCTTTATGAAAATAATGGATGCCTAAAAAAGTCAAAACCATTATTTCCTGACAGTTCAACACGAGTGGTTCTGCAGAGATTAAACGTCTATTGGTTTTGCTGTTTTAAAACACACAAACAACTATCTTGATATATTTTCAATTATACTCAATTTGATATTCTTATTTTAGTTGTTGGTCAATGATGGACTTCTGGATAAGTACCACTCTTGTTTGCTAGTTAATAAGATAACAGTGTGTTTCCCCTCAACTGAATTTTTTCTCAAATGAATTGGTTTTGTTGATTTGTAACCGTGTGGTGAGTTAAACCTTGTTGTGGTGTAACCAGAGGTGCACATTTAAATAGAGCTTTAGGGGGTCAAATTCTGGTAGGTTGGAAAGTTCTGGTAGGCTTGAGAGGGTTCTGGGCCAAATTCCAATTTAAAAACTTAATGATTATATCTTGGTTTTCAAAATATAGAGATAGATCATAAGTTTACTGAGGTTAACATGAGTAGTTTCATCTATTTTAAATTGCAAAAGGAAAAAATCAGAACTGTTGGCCATTATCAATGAGGGCACCATGGATTTATCATAAAGGGAAAAAATGGCAGTAGACAAACAATTTTTGACAATGCCCTTTACGATAATAATCTCTCCAAATATAGAATTGACAAATCTTCTTTGGCCTATTGCCAAAGTCTTGGATCCAGATTTAACAAATGCTACACTTGGATCCAGAAACTTACAAAAAATTTCCTATTGATGAATAGAAAGTCTTTCCTTTTTTCTTGTGCACAAAACGGTTGACCTAGTGAATACTTTGTGCATTTTGCCAAAGTAAGAAATGGAACAGGTTGTTACTTTTTTGTTCTCACTTCAACTCATGCAAGCAGGGCAAAAACCTTGGAAGTGGCTATTTTCATTGCTTCAACAACTGGGAATTTTCTGCATATCTTTTGCATAGATGTGGTCTGAGGACATTGCTAGGAAACAATACTTAATTACCACACCCTTTGAAATGCTCGAAAACTATATTCTGTGAAGACTGATCATATAGACAAAGCACTTTTAGGGCTACAAAAAGATATCTTACTTTCTGATGTTTTCTGGTTGGCATCTTTACAATACAGAATACAGGGTCTTTTTATTGTACATTTGCAACAAAAGGCCCTGCATTCATAGCTGGTGACTAACTGGAAGTGGAGCATCACAAATTTTTCAAAGGAATGTACAGGATACAGGAATGTACAAACAAAAGTTGATGCAGAGACATGTAATTTAAACCTCATGACAAATTAAGCAGGGGGTCATGCCTTGAAATTCAAAGTTATGCCTGGCTGCCTTCTTTTGGCCTCCAGGTAAGTAATTCTTTTAGGAGTGGTTTGCTCATGCAATAGCTTCCACAGGATGAAATTATCTGGGATTGTTTTCAAATTGACTTAATCTACTATAAGCATAACATTTTTATTTTAGATCTCTGAATTTTTATAGTTATGGTTTGTTCACTTTCAATTGTGATTTCAAAATGCAACTACATAAAAACATCAATCTGCAATTAAAGAATTATCAATTAAATATACACAAAAAATTAAAAATGATTCCTATCAAAATACTGCTTTATCATTAATTTTTAGACTACACAAATGTAGCTGATCTTGCCTTAGAAAAATCGTTCAATACCCTATGAGGCATCGAAATAATTGCTTAGAAAATACTTGTTGCTCATTATCATTATCATAGAACAGAGGAACTTTCCTCAGACCCCAAATTGTCTAGCTACTGATCTGTTACTCCTCTCAAAATTATCTTTCAAACAATTATCCTTAATTGAGCTAAGAGCAAAACTTACTTTTTTCTGTAGCATTGCCACCACCATAACCAAAAAACATTTGCTCATCTTCTGCAGGCTCTAAAGATTCTCCACTATTATCTCTTGCTATAGCTCTGAAAATTCTGCGATTTCTTGGCGTTCTTTGAACTTCCTTTATTATTAATCTTTGACTCATTTTCGTCGTCCTTTGTTGTTATGGATCAGGTTTCGTAGGCCTATTTCTACTGCCTCGATTTGATTCTCAACTCACATCTGCCACCAACGCTAGATGTCTTCTCCAATCTTCACACAGCAGCAAAATTATCTTTTTACCCAACAGAAAAAGTCCATTAAATTGCCCCTTCATAAACCACTAGGTGGTGCAGGTTACCTGTGTAGTGCGATAAACCTAAAGGTTTATCCATATGACGGTTTGGGATAATCTAAACCTTTTATTAAGCGAAAACTGGGGGCCATGAGCATTTTATATCCTTTCCAAGATAGCCTTTTGAGGTTTCTCAGCTAGCAGATTTTCTATCATGATCAAACACTAAAATAACAAAACGCAAACATTAAACAATGATAAAAAATTCAGACGAGGATTCTGCTTGTAATGGAAGACTCTTGAAGTAATGGCCCATACAGGGAGCTCTTCTTGATTATGGAGGACTCGGCCAAAAACAAGGCTTAGGGTATTTCTTGACTTAAAACAATGCAATATCTGTGTTCAAAGCAATTAATGACACACGGCAGTGTTGAAGTTAAGAATCGCTTCGGAAAACAAAATATTTTTAGTGCGCATTACACTGTTTTTACTTTTTATCGCTTCCTTTCCTGTTGAAGAGCATCTGTTACGACAATCCGCTTTTTCCTGCTAAATTTCCTCATTTCTTTGTCTAATCTGATGCAAACTAAATGCAACAGTAAACAAAGTTGCATCAATTATTCACAAACTCAATGCCTATTTACACATCATTTTCCTTGTTCCTAAGTAATGAGTATTTGTGAAATAGTCTACAGAAATGATTGAGTCAACACTAACTCCAGTGAGTCCATTATAATGTCGCAATTACGTTTCCACGATTGTCATACAAGGGAGTTAAGTTCATTTTCAAAACTTTAATGGTCCATTTTTGTTTCGACAAAAGATAAGTAAACGAATAAACGCATAAAAGATAGGATTTCGACCAGTGGCGAAGCTGGACTCCCATGGGTAGTCGTGCCCATTGGCCACTGCGCAACAGAAATGCGCCTCCGCAATATTACAAAAAAAATATTTCAGTGATCTAAGGAGCTCATATAGCAATTGTATGGCACTGCAGTACTTTTCTGACAAGATAGAAACAAACTAAAATTAAAAGTATAAAAGCTGCTTTTGTGTCTCCCTTGCCTCTGGCTGATACTCAAAATTAATTTTCTTCCCAAAGTGTGATGGAGGTTCCTGGCACCTTTTTTTTATTTTTGGTATTATTTACCCAAATATCAGTTCACAGGATAATAAAGATTGAACAACAAACTTTTTCTAAAATTTTATCAAATTATTGCAACAATGGGACCAAAATATACACCTGTGGACTCAGATTTCAAATGTATAATAATTGCAAGCACTACTTGTTTTGCACACATAAAATTTAGAATTTCATTCAAAAAAGAGGCAAAAGTTTGGCTTTAAAGGCAAACTTGACTGTGAAGTGCAAGGCATGTGTCAAGAATTAGATGACAAATGAAACAGATTAAACATAAATATTAGAATATCTGCTGAACACAGTACTGTCATGCAGCATTATTGATCTAGCCACAGTTAAAAAGCACTAAATAGTGAGTGGCAGAATGAAGGCAATCTTTCTTTAAAATCCTTGAGACCTGTTTTTTCATCAGGTTTGTTGCATAAAGATTTGTAGGTAGCCACTTTGTTAAGCTGAACCAAACCACTCACAGAGATTCACCAATCAATTAGATACTTAATTTAAGGTTATGCCTTATGAGATAATGATAAACTACACCATGTATGACAATATTTGAAAGTTGCATAAGATGAAATAACCATTATAAGGTTTGAATAAAATTCCAATTGAAAAGCAGCATTAAATTAATCATTGAAAAACAGATCATGACAATTTATGAATAAGCAGGGCAGCAAATAAATTTCTTCAGTATCAGATGATCAGATGACTGGGGTCACAAATTTAATACAGAATAATCATGAGCCTGAGAGTTATTTGCAGACAACAGTGTTTCTTGAACAAAAAATTAAGGGGGGTATGTGTAATAGCTTAAAGATTATTTCACCCTGCTTATTTAAGACAAACTGACTAATTAATGGAGAAAGTTACCTATATTAAGGAAAATATATGCACACCCAAGGAAACTGCACACAACCAAATTACGGAAAAGCAAGGGAAAAAATCAGAAAATCACTAGGCTGAGCTTGAAAACATATCATCAGAAACATAAACAAAATCATCAACAGGTTGATCAATGCTATTTCATGTTTCCCTTTCACGTGTTTTGAATATGTAAAATGAATAGATATTTATGTACATTTTGCCACAAATGTTCATAATACTTTCGTCTTGAACACCTAAGTATACTGTTGTCAAAATAAATATTGATTATTTTATTGATTGATTGATTCAGTTTATCCCGTTCAGTGTGCGTCTCTCTGATACAAATCCGAGCGAAAAACTGCCATATTTTCCATTCTGATCACGTTAAAAACATCCAGATGATATTCAAATTATTGTCCATTTTCTAGATAAGATAGCATCGTGCACATTTGAAGATCTTGATTCTGTTTAGGTGAATGAGAACTTGTTCGCCTACCAAAGAGATCCATTGGATTGATTCCGTTTAGGCTGAGTCAAAATAACTATGAAACAATCCCTCCACAGTCGTTAACCAGTTTCCTGATAAATTACAACGGTTTATTGGACTGGAACATTTACATGCACCATTTAAATCATCCTGATATCACACCAACATCCACAAACGCCTGCAGTATTGACAAGTAGGCCCCAATGATACAGGGTGCAGATAGTCTTGCCTTCAGAAACGGGCACGACCTCGTGATTGATTTCCTCCAGCTTCAGCCAATCAAATGCTGGAAATCGTACCTCAACTATTATTATTATTATGACGAGGTCGTGCTCATTCCTGAGGGCACGACTAGCATTGTTTTTCTCTATTGTTGGGCACGACCAAACATAGGCTGTCCAATTGAAGCTTCTATTGTTGGGCACGACCAAATCACAAGGTACCAGATTTTGGGCACGACCAATATGAAACCCTGTGGATTTCTACTCCGCTCCTGAAATAATTCCAGGGGCCCTGGGCGATTCGAGTAGAATTCACTTATGTCTGCGTGATAAGCTTGGTCGATTTGTCGATTATACGACTAATTTTTGTCTATATTTGAAAACTTTTCGCGGAGCAAAATAATTTTTTGCCAATATGTGAAAACCTTACTTTTGGAAGTTTATGGTCGTGCCGGGCACGACGGGCACGACCTTTGGCTTCGCCACTGATTTCGACTCTTAAGCAGCCTTTTTTGATTCGTCACTTTTTATCTTTTACTGTTAAAAACAGTATTCTACATATAAGAGTTACCAGAGATTTCCGAAGGGGGCTAGAGCCCCCAAGTTCAAACGTACACCCGTATTACTTTTGATGACCAGCAAATAATTTTGAAAGACAAGACTTGATGCATACAAACAAATTGAAGTGTTCGAAATGACAAAAAGGCAATGTCGGATGGGATTTCGAAGAAATGTTAGATGGAATGTTAGAGAAAATGTTGGATGGACCGTATAAAAAAATACTGGATGAAATGTTAGAAACAATGTCAGATAGGATTGAAACAATGTTGGATGAAACACAAGAAGCAATGTCGGATGGGATTGAAACAATATTGGATAAAATGCTAGATGAAATGTTGGGTGAATGTTAGATATATTTTGTGATGGAAAGTTGGTCTGTTAGGACGGAGCTTTCTCAGACTGTCAGGCATTCTTGAATGTTGATTTGGGTGTGCAGCGTGTGTTGATGAAGTTGGTGTTGTCCAAGTGTTGTCCACAATGATCTTGGTATCTTTTCAGTAGGCATAATAATCATAAGGTGTTATAGCAATTTACATGATTCTAAGTTTTAAGAGACATTTTATGAAAGCCAGAATTTCATCAATGAGCCTAAAGAAGGTTGATTACACGAGGGATGAGAACTAGTTGATTCAAACTTGTCAAAATCATTTAGTCGGTTTATAGGAAGCAAACTGCAAGAATTCAGGACTGCCGAGAGCTACACCGGGCACGGAGCTGACCTAATGCTTGGGTCCCTTCCTCCCCAAACAAAAAACTTAAATGCGCCTAGTAGATTTGAGATGCATACAATTTTCTTCATTTACTTCTAATTCATATTCGTAAATCATTTTTTATATTTACCAATTCAGATATGATTTGTAATTGCCGACCTGGACCAAGGGGTAATTGCCCTCTTGTACTCCCGTCTCAGTAGATCAGTGCAAGATGTATCTATAAGGTAGAGGTTGAAGAGGTATTATTCAATGCCGTTCAACACCAAGGGAGAAGATTGCATTTTAATACCAACACGAATTAACAGGTCATTTAAAAGCACCTGTCTGCAAATAAAAGTAAGTATAAGAAAGGAACCTGCTATTGAAATGGAATATTTCACTAAAGAGCTTTTTGATCAGTTAAGGCGGATCTAAGCATAAAGGAAATCGCAAAATGCAACAACACAGGTGATTTGGCATTCTTATTTCATTTCAAATCTTTGTGAGTGTTAATGTCTTTAACTGATGTTTTTAAAATCTTTCAAAATGAGCAAAGATATAAGAAGTAGTAATGTAAACGATTTCCATTGCTTTCTTTAATTTTATCGCTATCCATACCAAATATATCCTTGTAAACGCCTTATTCTGAGTGGATAACTTCAAAGAAGAGCTAAAGAATATTCTGTTAGTTTGTTTTAGGTTTTAAAGTAACCGAATCTTTCTCTATAAGGAAATGCAGCTTTCGAGTCAGGCAGGAGGAGTAGGGCTGAAACTCTACATATGCGACATTAAAAAGCTCTGACTAACCATTTTAAAATGACTGCGCGTACTGACATGCAACCACAGCTGTTTGTGGTAAAATGAGACACGTTTTAATCGTTGCAAATGTTCCGCATCTACGTAAAGCACGTGCGAGTGGCTAACGATGAACATGTTGTAGCACAGAATATTATGCTTGCTACTTCGCCGCGCGTAAAAAGGCCCTGGTATGGTATCACATGTGTGACGGAAGGACGCGCCAGATCACTCTATAAGCCAACTTTAAACGTGCTCTGAACCCTCCTTAAAGTTCTTATATAGACCTTCTTGCACTAGAAAGGAGAATGGAAAGATATGGCTCAATGCCAGAAAGGCGACAATAGACATTGCAGTTGCTTGGTCGGCAAACGACTTAATAAACAAAAAAAATATTTTTAGATTTAGTAAGGTTTTTCAGCTCTATAGCACATTGACTTTGTATTAGTTGGGTTGATAACATTTTCAAAGACAGCTTGAAGAAATTGAATCTGGGGGCTGAGAATCACGCTTAGTGACGTACGAGGACTCACCATGGTTGGGGCCGACGTGGAAGGAAATTTTTGAAATCATACCTTCCAAATGGCTATAAAAGCATCTCCCAGACCAAGTTTAACAAGATGGACAAATCGACGTTTCTCAGAAGAACACAGATTATTGTTTCTGGGAGAAATTGGGAAGGGGAAGAGTCTCGTTACAGATGCTGGGGAAATGCTTAAACTCTATTGACAGACGTTGGGGAGAAAAAGAAAAGGTGTTTTCTATTAGAGAGCAAGCGTTTTTTTTCTTAAAACCATATCGGATTCGAACAAAATAAGGATGTTTCTAAGAACATATTCGGGCTCCAAATGAAAATGTTCTTAAAAAATCGAGGCTGGGCAAAATTCATTGCATTCTCTCTACATTAAATGCAAAAGCACTTTTTACTTTTACTCAAATTAGTTTTCCTTTTTGCCCTCTTTGTCTTTTGGCCTTGTTCCTAGCTACAGTTAAACGCAAAACTTATAATTCCTTTTTTTGTGTCTATGCTATTATCATGTCACTAAATTTGCAGTTAAAATCAAGGAGCTATTATGGAGGTCTTCGTACCGCAATTCGGCTAATAGAGGTTCAGAAATTAAGAACGTAAGGACCTAGGTTTCGAGTTAGGATTTTTATAAAAAGGGGTGTATGAAAATATGTGTAATGTGGGTTTTTCGAGATTTATGGCGATTTCAACGATTCTTTACTTGTATGTTTTTTGAGTTTATTCAAGCAGTGACCGGTGGATAAGATATTCGGGGCTAATCCCCTCCATGGACATCGTCACCGACTCGACACCACTCTGCAAACATAGATTACAACCATCTACAATAGCCAACTTGCGCTTGAGGTATGTTGCAATAACACAGCCAAACTTAGTTTGATTCTAACCCAACTACCGGGGATTCCTTTCTTTAGAAGAAAATTACGATAATTTCTAAAAAAATCGTTTTGCTCCAGATTTTTTTTTGGGGGGAGGGGGGTCCAGTCCCCCTCGTCACCTCCGGGATTTACGGCCCTGATTACGGTGATAGATCGTTAATTATTAATCCAGCTCCTTCATTTGGTCCAATGTAAACAAACAGAAAATAAAAGACAGAATAGTCGTAGTGATAAGCTGAGGAAATAGTGAGACCTTCTACCCCGTTGCCCGTTTCATCAATGGGATGTTGTCTTGTTTAATCTTTCCTTGGGTAGTTGTGAACTTTCCATCCATAACGGTAAAAGGTTGTTTACAAAGCATAAAGAAAACCTGTAGCAATTATTCAAAAGAAAAGGCAAAAGATAACAAGCAAACATAACATATTAAAGTGGGCATAAAAATGGAGATGTAATGAATAAGATCCGGGAAAATCGCCAACTTTATTTGACAATGGGGTGATGAACAATTCAATCTTTCCAGCAAGAATAGCAGCTATCAGCCTGTTGGAGAATACGACTGCAACATATACAATGTCATTTTACGCATTTTAAAAAGGAACAGGAAGAAACAAAGTGGAAACAAGAACTGTACTTTTGCTTTGCTTATACTTTTGATATTTGAATATTGAATCAGACGGGTTCTCTGTTGGGGTCTAACCTTTAGATGATGAGATTGTTAAGCAAGGTTTTGCTCGAGAAAAAAAGACAGGCTAAAATCGGGGATCAGGAATCGGCAAATAAACAGCCCCGAAGATTATGCTTCGCATTCTTTTTACAAACGAAACAAAAAACTGGCTGATATATAATCCACTGACTTTGTTTTTGGCAGACGATAAAGAAAGGTTGATCAAGGGAGAACAAAAACGGTTACGATCCAAATACTACTTAGGCCAGAATGCTAATGTTGCTTTTGTTTTGTGTCAATGGGATTGATGGTGTGGTTACCAAATGTTCTAGGTACTTTAAACTCTAGTTCCATCAAGCCTGGTGATACTAAAGTGTCTTAATACAACCTAGTATCGAATTTTGGCTGATGCAGTTTACTTTTGGCCGAAATTGTCCACTCTGGAGTTCGTTTTGGGGAAAACTATTTCTTCTGCATTTTCACGAACAGAATGGTAGACGCTCTTGCAGCAGAGGTAACATGATTGACCGATTAGCACTTTATCCATACAGTTTCTTATATTCGAATACATGCATAGAAAATGCAAATAACTTTCACTTTTGTTCTTATTGTCGAGGGTGGGGATATCTCTTGTTGTCTTAGGCATTCAATTCAAATGCTAAAAGTTAATTGTTACGTTCAATAATTCACATACGTTCAGTTTTGCTTCATTCAGTTTTTGATGGCAAAATTGTTTTCCGTTCTTCATGGAGGATAGAAGGTTTCATACAGAAATTGGGTACTTTTTGTATTATTGAGTATGTTTTATACTGGGGTGCTCAGGTTAGTTTAAAGAATTCTAAGCCACAAACTTTTTTGGGATAAGAACAAACCCAATAAAGCTTTTTTAGCAACTTTAATACCAAATAATGCTGGCTAATTTCACGACTTTGCTGTTTTCGAATTAAACAGAAAGTCAAGCCGCCTATTACGATATTCACTAGCTTTAGAGACTAACAAAATCTTCCAACATGTCAGGAAATTTAAAAGTATTTGAACAAGTTGCTTGTCCCGAAAATTGTTTCTTACCTATTCCCATCCTAAATTTACCGTTGTACTCTCTCCTAGGCTTTACCCATCTTGAAAAAGTTCCATAAACCGCGGTATTACCGCGGTATTACTGGGCGCGAGTTTAACCGCGGTATTACTGGGCACGAGTTTATCTGCAATGCCGATGTTGTTCTCTCGAGAATGTCAAGAATAATCAACTTTACTTTATTGATACTGCACAGTGCATACTTCATACTTTAAAATCCATTCAATAACCACTATAAGTTGAATTTTTACAGCATAACTTAAACATTTCTGTGATGCAAATCCTGCTCACGAATAAGAATCATTTGATCTCCATGCCTGTTCTTGAATCAAAAGACAAGGTGCAACGTACGGTTTAGTATGGATCTGCTAAAACCCTAACAAAGCAGCCTCTAGACTTTCAGAATTTAAATAAGCTGCATTTGTTTTGTCTCGATAAAGTTCACTTATCTGAGCGTATCTAGGTAGATATCGAGCATTGAATAAATATAGCCATCTTTTATATAGATGCGGTTTTGTTGAAGAAAGCTGAGTGGAAAAAACGATAGTCTTTTGAAGCAGTCCACGAAAGAAAGAAAACATTATTCACAATCTTTGTGAAATACGAGCAAGGATTCGAAAGATTGAGAGCATCAAAGATCAAGACTACACGATTCGAATGCTGGTTCGAACCCTTGCTTGGCAGAGATGCAGAGAAGCAAAACATTACCGCTTATAAAGAATTGAAATGCAAGACCCAACGGAACTTCACGAGGCAGCATCTCTGGGAAACAAAAAATTGCTTGACAAATTGCTAGCCGATGGCCAGTATGATGTTGACAGTGAAGACTGGACTTACGAAAGGAGGACGCCCTTGCACGTTGCCATAGAAAGCGGTGAGGTTACTAAGAAACTGCTCAAAACTTTTTTTAATCATCCCTTTATAAGGGCAAGTATTTAGTTGTTCTAACAGACTTTCTTTCAGGGGCCCTTTCGGAAGTAGAGTTAATTTCGGATCTGACTAGGAGAGCTTAGCAACATGGATTCTATGCAAAAAAATTAAAATTATTAAATAAATCAGGACAATTTTTGAAATTGGTATATCTACATGAATATTTACTGAAATGTTCTGACCTCCAGGTTTGTACCCAGTTAGTGTTAGTTTAACGAATTTGTTTGGCCACAATATAGACCTTATTTTGTGTCACAAAAATTTAATCTATAATATTGTGATCGACGTTTTGTGTGATAATAAGGTAACAAACAGCAACCATACATACTAGACTAATTCTTCTTTTGATATCTTTTATCTCAGTGGGAGGGACTTGTCCAAGCGAGATTATAGATAGCGGTTTTAACTATCCAATTGATCAAGAGTCTTTCCAATGCTCCACTCACTGTGTCGGACGACCGCCATCACGCGAAGAATAACTGACTTGAAGAAAAAAGTTTTTGTTTAATGAATTTTATGGTTACTATTACTTCTTCGGCGTTTATCCCGAGATTGGAAAGAACGAGGTCTGGGGCGAGTGACGTATTTTTGACTGACCTCTTTGTGCACAGTCTATCTACTTAAAACGCCCGATGTATTAGTGCGTAACAGGCAATCGAAAAGACTGATATAAGCTAGTGATAGCTGTTTTCATGGCGGATCTATGAATGACAAAGGAGAAGCGAATTCTTTTCACCAGAATCGTAAGCACAGACGATGCACAGAGGGTCCCGTACCAGCAAAAGCTCTTGAAATGCTTAAACCGCACCTGAAACGCTTCAAGTTTTTCATTTGAAATTTATCCTGACCGAGTGTGTCTATGTCTTATGTCTAAAGAGATACAGGTAACACTTGATAATACAACTTCAAGAACTATGATAGCTAATTTTTTTTGAACGGGCAAGAGCCGTGCTTCTCAATGGGGGTTTGTGATCCTCATATAACTGATAGCGTATTGGACTATAAAGGTGAATAAAGCAAATAACAGAAATTATACTTAAGGAGTGGTGTACAAAAGTGGCGAATTTCAATATAAAGAGAGAGTACATTTTCAAATTTTCTTAAATAAGGAAGGAAGTTTTGCAAAATCTTTGATCAAAATAGGAACGATAAACATTGAAATACCTCGTGTCAGTCAATAAGGCATGTAATTGCAATTCGTAATGATTCGCTCAAGATTATTTCGCCAGGAACTATGCTAATTCTTATTTACCCGAATCCTAGGCAAACTGAACTGTGTACGCACATTGTTGGTGAGCGGGGCGGACGCCGGCGCAAAAACTAAGTCAGGAATGACGCCCGTACATATGGCGGCAGAGCAAGACAATATCAAGATCCTCCAAATCCTGTTGGAATACGATGCACCGATTGACCAGGAAGACGAGTCCGGTGCAACGCCTCTTGACATCGCAAAGACCTATGGCAATAAGAAGTGCGAACAATTCTTGGCAGAAGCCCTGAGGGCACTAAGAGAGAAGCGAAATTCAGAGCAGCCACTAAACGATCCGAGTAATGAAAACAATAACAGCTTAAACAAGAAGATGTAACATAAAATACCAAAATATTTAGGAAAATATAGCACTTTTTAATTGGTAAGTGGGTAGTGTTTGGCTTCAGTATTGAAGAAATATCAATAATATCAAGATGACCGAGATGATGAACCGGGCAATTGGAAAAAAAACAAATTCATAAACAAATCACTTATAAATTTGACGACTTATAAATTTAAATCGTGTGAGCTTCATCAACTTATCGTACGTAAGACATACCTGTTTACAGCGATAATGAATTTCTTAAAAAATATGTTTTTGAAGTATAAAAATTTTTTAATTTAAATAAATCATCTTCTTTTGTAACCTCAATCTTGATAAATTCGCCATCTTTTGTCCCAAATGACGTTGTCAGTGTCCACAAAGCTAGGTCAAAGATTTATTGGAATTTTCACATAAATCAAGAAATCAAGGGACAACAATAACAGACAAATAATATGGAAAACATAAGAAGGACGATGAAACAGGGTGTAAAAAAAATATCTGAAAGACCAAAGAATATCTGTAAATTCAAATAAACCATTCCCTGCAACAAGGAAGACTGGTGCCGAAATAACATTTTCTGCCAGGGTTGAAATAAAAGACAAGATTCCTTGTTTAGAAATTTACCTCTATCAACAAGAATACAAGGTGCGTTACTATGGAGGCTTAATGCATCAGCTACATACAAAATATACTAAATTTTACTTTGTAAGTAGGCCTAACCGAGTGAGGCAATTAAATCAGCTAAAATACAATTATGCGAGAATAATACTATGCAAAGCCAATTTAATATCTCAACAAGACTTACTTTAATTTTTCTAGTGGACTTTGCTTCCAGCGAGGGTTGTTGGTGTCAAGCGTTAAAAGTCAAATATAGGCCCAAGTGTATCAAATAGATGAAAGCTACCCCGCAACTGGAAAGATCAAATAACAGCAGTTTGTCCTACAAGAAACGGGACCAACTCACGGATTCTCAAAAGAACCATTTCCTGTTCCAGCGGGGAGCTACAGGCACTCCATCGGGACTGGCAACGTAGATATGCTTTAAGCACTTACATAAAGCGCAAATGGAGAATTACGACAAAGGGCACAGACACTAAGAGAGAACGACATACGAAAAAGCAATAACAATCTGCTGGCTTTCTTAGGCCAACTGAATTGGTGCTAATAAAAAATTACGGGCTGTGTTTACTTGATTAACGGTGAACATAAATCATTTAACGGCTGGATTAAACTAATCAGAAAATAGCTTACGGCAAAAGGACAAAGGAACGTGCTACACGGCGAACTCAACATGCCGTAACTCTGTAAAACTCAAACACACATTGACACGTAACACGTAACAATAACTCGTAACACTAGCTCGTAACGCGTAACATGTAACCAACAGTTTGATCAAAGGAGTATCGTAACGTAACAATGGTGGATTTCATGGTGCGAAATCAACGACTCGTGGGCAGGTTTCGTTGTCGTAATCAGGGTCTACTTATTATTGGGGGGTGGGTATGATTGGTTATTGGGTAACAAAGCTCTCGGGTAACAAAGACTCTGGGAGATGGGCACATATTGATGGCCGGAGAGAATCTTATTGAATACCGAAAGGATTGGCATCGCCATTGGAAAAAGGGTTGTTACATGGACAAACTTGGTGCAAGGAAAAACCTACAGGGAGACGAAGAAGCAAAAAGGCACATGATGTGTGAGACATCCACATCCATATAGTCAATGTGCATAGACAATAACGGTTGAATTCAATGCACATGTTTTTTGGTTGCAAGAACGGGGGTGGATCATTCGAACTTTAACTCACAAACCGGTGTTACAAATTTTGCGATACATTAATCGCTGCATGTGTTTCTTAGAAACTAAACGATATCAAGTCACGGTGCGTATCCATTAACAGCAAACTGATTGGTCTGTCAACCCAACCAATCGAAAGACAAGCTGTGACCTTGACCAATCACAAACTTCATCAGATCTTTTGTATCTACCACGTGCTAGTACAAGAAAACCTTGAACGGCCTCTTTTTGACTCCCATCGTTCGTCAAGGAGGCAGCGATGCTACCATACTATTTGCAGACCCCATGGCAGCATATCTACCCCCTAACTCTGCACGTTCTTAAAATTTACTATATAACGAATATAAACCTTGAGAGCCCTGAGAATAAAAAAGATGCTGCTAAATTGAATCTCTCACCTCCCCATCCCAAAAACCGGGGGATAATCTCCAAAGCGTAAGTGATGACAAGGATGTGAACTGAGGAATATGGCTGTGATTGGGCCACGGGGGAGTGAATGCACTGTACTGGCTTGCATTTCACATGGGAATATCATCGAACATGAATAAATGCGGAAACAGACCCAAAAGAAGATCTCAAAAGAGAATTATTCAGATTGAAAGGGGCCTTTGAATATTACCCACAGAAGCGATGTGACAATTGCGCAGTAGCTGGAATATTGGGGACTCGATTTTCCTTGGTCTATCACACCCCCTGTGAAAACATTCAAGATCCGAGCTTACAGGCAACTAGAAATGTTTAAACAGGGAAAATCAAAATCTTTTCAAGCAATAAAGAATTTAGGGGGGGGGGGGGGGTTGCTTTGCAAATCGACATGGAGACAAGTTCAGTTTGCAATACCTCGTCACAATGCTTTGGAGAATATCAACCCCAAAAGCTAAATAAACAGTAAAAAATTATGCGTATTTACTTGTGTGCTTCCTTTGATCATACAAGTGATGAATCGATCATGTGTGATATAAAATTCCCATATAAAGATATACATTATGTGTTTATTTGCTCTCTGTCCATCGACTCGAAAATTCTAGAAAAATAAGTCAACGATTGCAGCCTGCAGCGCTGTTACCGTCAGTAGTGGAACATCCAAAGAGCAACAATAACCAGATTTCGACGTTAGCTTTCTGTTCACCGGCAAATTAACGACATCTGCTGAAGACAAGAAAGGGACAGAGAAAATAATAAATATAAGATACTTAAAATGATACTTAGTAAAAACTCTGCTTAATGGAAAGAAAAAAGGAGGGTAAAGTAAAAGTTCAAAGGCCTTCTGATAGACATTGTACTTCATATTAAAAAAAATTTTCAATTAGACGTTAATGAAATTAATCGTGTCGCTAATATTTCGACTGTTTTTTCTATTTATAGCTGCCTTATTCAGGATCTTTTTTTTATAATATTTTTTTTTCATTTTTATAATATTTATACAGGTTAAAGGTTCATACATATGTTTTTCAACCTGACCTGTTTAAAAGAATCTTTTGTCTGATCAACCAATCAGATTTATTTTATGGTTTCATCAACCAGTCAGCTATGATCTTTGACTTGACTTAAATGAAATTAAGTTAAGCAGTACCTACCACAGCTAGTCTCTCTTAGAAAGATGCGCAGAATGTACTGATTGTGATCTCTGAGGTATTCGATCAGAACTACGATTGAAATTGTTGATGGAGGATTCGCTTCGAGTCACGCTAGAGCCTGTAGCGGGGACTTGCCCTCTGCAAATAACAAAATTTCTCCCATCAAAAATAATTTTCAAATAAAACACATTTATTAGAAACTACTATAGATATTTGATACTATACTCAGAGTATTTAGACAAATACTCAAATGACTTCGGCGCCTAAAGTGTTCAGCATCAAAATAGCATGAATGGTATCACCCAAAACCTAATAATCTTAGATTCTTCTGACTTTTGTCGCTCAAGATTGCATGCTTCATATTAAACGTCTTAAAATCTCTGCCTGGAAGACATTCAATTGTTGCTGAGAGCTGTGTAAATTCAATCAATCGCGATTATTGTTCTGTCAAAGATTTCAAAAGAGAACCAAAGGTTGGCATGAACTTACCCAGTAAATATAAAATTGTTTTAGGTCGTAAATAAGAAAATACATCAAAAAGCAAATACAATCTGCAATCAGTAGATGGGTATTTCTATTGTACACAAAATTGAATGTCTTTTGGAACAATTAAAGCATTAGTTTTTTATTTACCTTGCCAAGAAACGTACTAACGGCAAGAAATGTTCAACATAAATAACTTTGAATGGAAATCCTTATTATTAATTTTATTGGTGCATTGGAATTTTGCTTAACAGTATTTTCTCATGCAAAATGTATTTAATTGTCTTAATTCTTCAGTTAAGCCTATATCAGCTTATTCAGCAGACACCAAAACTAGTTTATTAGCTACATTGATGGAAATCTCCATGTTTGAACAAACGATTTGTTTTGAAATCGGTTGAATAGGAATGAAGAATGTCCACCGCACAAGGAGAATTCGAAAAAGATATTGATATGATGAGGCAAGCAACAGTGCAAAAAAGAGTAACTTTGGCCTGCCAACTTGCATAAAATGATGGGCTAAAAAGAAGTAGCGGAGCTCACATGAAGGAGCAACTGCAAATAAGTTGCACTAATCAGGTGAGAATATTTTTAAACTGGTTTCTATTGGTTGGTTTAATCATGTCCGCATGAGTTCTTTTAGAATCTAAGATTGTGGCAGAAATGAAAGAGTGTTCTGACAAAATGATGTGAGAAGTAAAAGTTTTTGCAGCAAAAAAATAGAAGAAGAAAGCAAAAGTTCGGAAGGTCCGGCAGTAATCCTATTAGTTGAGGAGTTATGACGTAATGTGTATTTGGGATAAGAAAATCTCGCACTTGTCTACTTGGTTCTTCAATCCTTTTAGGGACCCGTTTTGACTACACTGTTTTCATTTGAGAAGGCTACGAAATCATTAAGGCTACGATTTTACCTTCTGTTTATCTGGCAAGCATAAAATGAAAAAAATATGAAAAACGGAAACATTTGCAAACAGTTGAAATCGTTTCGGTGTAAACACACGAAAACAAAGGGACCTTGAGGGACAAAAGATGTCAACTAGGGCCAAATGTGGGCTCCAAATCTGTTTTATGCTGTTCTTCAATTATTTGACTAAAAAACAGGCGGGCGGGCTTGAGTTATGATGTCATATTGAGAATCAGATGGTTTTTCAAATAAATTGATAAGGAAAAATAAGATGCCCTTGTAAGAACATTCAAGGCAAAGAAACCAGACTGAAAACTAAATTAGTTTAATATTTGCAGTTAAAAGTGATTAAGTTTAGTTATTTAGTTGCATTATCTACAAAATATTTTTTACTCATAAAAAGGTTTCCACACAAATGTTCGTTTAATTCAGAATCTAATTACAGTCGAACTAATTTTATCACAAAACAAACATTTATAACACATATAATATAATTAAAAAATGCTTATAAATATTCTGAATTATTAAACTCCTGCAGTCTAATGAATTTAAAAAACCTTACAAAATATTTATGTTTATAATCGCTTAGTTATAATGGATTCCTAATTTTTTAATCAAGCAAGCAATTACTAAGGCTTGTGTCAACACTGATTATTTTAAAATACTGTTCTTACCTCATCATAATTTTTTCTTAATGAACGATTAATTGTCAGACACTGCTCAAAAAAGGTTATTACTCGGATAATTTCAATTTTAAGCATTAAGTGAGAGGATTTTCTCCAAAATTAATTTTGAAAATTAAAAAGTTGAATTTGAATCGTTTGATTAAAATAAGCTTAAAAGCTACGCTTATCACTAAAGCTAGACTTCTAAATTTAACGAAATGAAATCGTACGGGCGTTTTTCGTCTAACGGAAAATGTCCACGTTTACCTTTCCGAAATTTTACTTCGTTGAATGCATAAATTAGTGGGAAACGGTTTTCAATGAAGGTATTTTCTTGCTTTTTAATATGAAACACTTACATATATTATATTATATTGAAGAGTATCTAAATAGTAATTTTCCACTGAAAATATGTAGATTGTTAAACAGGATATTACCAAAGTAACAGCCTCGGTTATGATCTAAAGCCTCGTTTCAATATGGGGATTCCTTTCGGTAGACTTACTTGGGTGAATTTTTCTTTTGTTGCGGAGTTTTGCGGATAATTTTGCCACTTAGACCGGTAACCCACTTCTTCTGTTCTTCAGGACTGTTTGCTAAGACTAGTAATTCTTTTGCCGTAGTGAGATCGACAGTGACTGAAAGAAAAGAAAAAACCTTGCATAAACAAAGAAATTACTTATTAGCAGGACTGCGTGCATTCATTCAAAGGTTTCTATGATACTGCCCTCTGAATTTAAAGACTCATTGCTAACAAATGCATTATGGGATGCCTACACAGCCCGATGGCTCATTGTGAGCAATTACTCTTTAAGGAGGTACTGGGGATGACCTCTAATTACCTTTTCCTTTGCCAATGACATTTATTTTAAAAAAAAACATCCTGCTCTAGGCTGATCTGCGCAGTCACTACACATTTCAATCTAAAGAGTTGAAAGGGTTAGCATGAAAGTTTTAAAAAACACTCTTTTTTCAATGTGATTGCCATCGCAAACTCAAAGTTTTATAGAAATGCTAGTTTAGTTGCTTGTTTAAGTCTCTTACGTGGCATTGGGGTTTAGTTGTGCTATAAGTTGCGAGCAGCGGAACCATATTCCCATATTAGAGTAGCTAAACATTTGTCGCGAGATATCTTGTTCGGACTTTACCTCTCGCTTGAAAATTTTAACATCAATGCCGAGCTGAAAATTTAAAGAAGTAAACCCCCAGAAGCCTGAAAATCGATCGGCAAGCGTTTATGCCGACCTTGAAATTGTTTAGGATTTCCCATTATTCAGAGGATTGCAACAATGAGGTCTAGGCTAGTATTTGTTAGCACATTTTCCAACGTCACTGCTAACAACTTCTCATTTAAAATATAGATTGGTCGAGGATAAATCATTGACCAGGAACATTCATCGGACAGAACACTACAGCAAATGTTCTATTTAATACCCCTGCTCATTTAAAGGTACCCTATATTTGACAGCCCGGAATCTAAAATGAGAGTCATAGGACAGAGAGAAAGAAAAGAAAATATAATAATATATGATAAGTTGATTTTCTAACTATTCTCTTTCAATTTCATTAAATAATACATTAATGTCCGCCAAACTTCGGACTTCACACTGGAGAGATGGGACCTTGTTGACGAATAGTTAGGAAATAACAGGATTGTTGCCGAATCTTTTATGAAGCTAACTACGAGGCGAAGCAGTACTGAGTTGGAAAATGACTTAATGACATACCTGTACACTGAGTGATACACATTTCTTCCATGTCAACGTGGTCTTTATGACATTTTATATGGCATCCTGAAAAACAGAGACATCAATTGAACATTTTGGAAGAATTTACACAATTCCTTGAACAATAAACATATGCCTATCTTGAGCTTTTTTAAAAATTTTCTTTAAAGTTTATGCTTTAAGAGCTTATCGAAGCTGTTCAAAATCTCATTGTAGATTCTTATTTGAAAACACGAGGAAAAGAAGACAAGAAAAGAAGAAAGCATGCTTTGGGGTTTTCCCCTGGTTGCCGATTTGCATCGTCCCACTGAGCTTTGTCTAGTCAAGGCACTGTCACCAAATAATATAAGTAGGGATTAATAAAAGTAGGGTACGAAGTCTAAATTTACATCTATGCACACGTCATTTAAGAGCAATAAAGCCACTTACTTCTGCATTCCAAGGCCATGGGCGGCCTGAACATATTCCACAATGGTTTCGGGCATACTTCGCAATTGGTTGGCATATGGTAATGCATGACGTAAAACTTATGGCCGAGGTAATCGATAGCGATTCCCTTTTCCTGCAAAATAATAAAATTGAGACAACATTGAATCTAACACAATCTAATATACTAATTTATGTCACACGAAATATCGTGTATGAAAACGACAAACATATACTGCACGTTCAACTAAGTTACGGAAAGTACAACTTAATTCCCTTTTCTATAGGCTCTCTCCATCACAGACAAAATTTACTATTATTCTTTACAAAAACAATGAAAAATACATAGAGAAAATACATTTAAAATTACAATCAAGCAACTTCATTTTTTCGGCTTTGTAACTGACCTAAATATATTCCATCTATTAACTGCGTTAGAAAGTTGACAAGCCCTGCAAAAACGCCCTAATAACAAAATGTATGAAAATTTAAATGCGAATGGAAAGGAAAAACATCGGTACAGAGCTTTAAATGATTTTATTGACATAAAACAGAAAATTTTCTTATCAAATCTGATTGCGAGGCAAACCTCGTTCTGTTGCTGCTCCTCTTTCTCTTCCGGATTGATTGCCTCTCCTTCGTTTGCATACAATATCTATGAACAAGAAGAAAAAACCCGTAAGTAAGCAACAGAGAAAGACACAATGTAGTTTAACCATAGAAAATTGAGCATACACCGACAAAGTTTAAGCCTTAAATCACAGATGCAAAAACCTTCCACACCTATAAATCTGGTTCGGAGGAAGGTTTTGGTTAAAAATGAGGAAGGTTTGAGCCATTTACTTGCAGGTTTGGGGGGAGGGGAAACACCAAAGCAATCCATCCAATCAATTCTCTTTGATTCTGTTTTTGACGGATGAAAACATGTCAAAGTGTTATACTCAAAGAATACCTGCTCATGTGACACAACACAAAGTCACATGGCATTGGTGATAATACAAGGCTTGTTTACAATAGTCAAGATGTGTTTACTCTTAAGAGTAAGAATTTCTTAAATGGATGGCTTGTCAAAGTCTTTTTCTCAGTTCAGTAGTACATTTACCAGTATTTTCAGGGTAAATCATTAAGGCACCAAAAGGGCAAATGACTTCCTTCAGCGAAAATTTTCTTTCAAATAGCAAACTTTTTAAGTATTTTACCTGGAAAATTTTCGGAATATCTTTTGCATCGGCCCTAATGACATCACCCTGAGTGACAGATCTGACGTGGAAGAGCTTGCTGTGACGGAAAAAAACAAGAAAACTGATCAAAATAGCACAAGAAAAAGCACGTGAGTTAATTCACACTAATAAATTGGCGAAAATTTGGTGCTGCTCTGGCTTTAAGGGATTTCAGCTGCCCTTAAACAGGAACCACGGGCATTCCCCATCCACTGCCCTTTCCATATTACCCGAAACATAACATTTATTGGCAAGATTCAAAGTGCATAACAGAGCAATCTCCGGGACTTCCCACAATACAGAACGGTTTTGACTACAGATTTCTGACATCTGTTAACATTATTCTGGGAAAATTCCGTAGAGGGATAAAAAGGCAGTAGAAATTGTGATGGCTGAATCTTAAACGAACAGTAAGGTTTGAATTGGTTACCTTTTTAACTTCCAACAATAGATACGGTGTGAAAATATTCCAACCTGACACGCCCCACTTCACAAGGAAAATCGATAACTAAGGTAAAACAAGTCTGTCCTTTCAAAAGTTCCCTGCAAAGGTCCCATAGACTTGCACCCCCGGGACAACACACGCAAAATCGAGTGTAGAACTAGCACGGATGAGAAAAGATTATGAAAACGAACCTTAAATCTAAGATCATCGACGGCGTGGAAGCCTGTTTGTCGTTTTCTGAATTGTAAAAGAAAACTTTCCGGCTGCTGACAACCACATACTGCAAGAAAAAACAAATTCACTTCATTTCAGCCTCTCCCTAGCCTGCGCGCAGACTCAATAAATAGCGAGCAATATATCAGAGTGTTTATCTGCAATGGATTAGACCAAAATCATTTGGAGATCTTTAGTCCAAATTACATGGCTTTCTGATTTAACTTCAGTTGATGTTTCTCGGCTATAGGCATTTTTCTTCCCCTTTTATCTTCCAAACGAAAACAATCCCTTTTCAATTAAAAACCTTCAGATAGGATTACCCCTCACATGATATTCAAAGATTTAAGTAGTAGTTACCTACGAATTTATTGATACCCTGCAAAAAATGCAACAGACTGAGGCAATCACTTCCATAATCTATAATCTCTTCACAAGCCTTTGTGGGAGTAACATTTAGGTAGAATTCAATTTAATTTAGAGAGCTACGAACAAACTTTTATGTCAGCATCTTGGAAAGTTTAAAAACTTTTCCATTTAGCAGCGGTTGAATTTGAAGTAAAAGTATGCCTGTTATTCTTAGATAACAAAAGAGAAAGTATGATTCGACAGTTTCTTCTGACATCTAAATAATATGAAAAATGCTTTGAAAAAAGCAAACATTTCACAACATATTAACTAAAAGCTTTTTCGTCTGACTCTCCTCAGAACATAAAACGCAAAAGGAGTTCGTTTTCTCTCTTGGACTCCATTGGTAATTTTTCTTTAGGCTCGCGGCACTGATTGGTCAACTATACCGGTCTTGTGCTTGCGTTTTTCTGATTGGCCTATTTCGATCCACAACTGGGTATATATTTTTCATCGTGTTCTTTCGGACCCTTATTCTGACGTTTTATGCTCTGAGGAGTGTCAGACGAAAAAGCTTTTAGTTAATATGTTGTGAAATGTTTGCTTTTTTCAAAGCCATTGTCAAGTTATGTACCGCCAAAAACCTGTTCACATCTAAATAATAGTTGGTAATAGATCCCCACAACCTCTAGACTTTATCCTCTTTTCGAAATTCGAACTTCAAACCTGTTTTACTTGTATCGGATCACTTTGCTATGGTTTGCTATGATCATAATTTGAGGTTTAGAATCGTAAATTCTCGATAATAAAATGCCCTCCATAATTAAACAAAAGACAGATAATTAAAATGAAAACGATCATCACAATTTTCTCTTTATGCGCCTCTCTTCACATCAACTTATTTTTTTATAAAAAGTGCCTAAAGTTAGCACGAATTCACAAAATGTCAAAACCTTACTCATTTCACTCAATCTAGAACTTCTTGCCTTTTACATTCAAATTCAAATCACGATTTCCTGAATGTTCCAAGCTTGCTTTTCCTGTATGTTCAAACTTTTATTTCAACCAGGTTTGCGTGTTTCCTGTTTGACTTCTTCAAGTTATTCCTATTTCTTGTGTGGAAATTTTCTAAACCCGTTTTGTTTGTCAAAAAACAATATGTATGAATCGACAGGCTGTTTTATTTGAAATTCACTTTCAACATTCCAGATATTTAACAAATAATCTTTTGTGAAAACTTTTCCCATTCATCTAATCGTTGGATTCCTGACTGCGTCTCTTCAGTAGGATTTATATACAGGTTTAATGTGCTTCTTTCCTTGAATGAGGTTAACTGGTGGACGTCTTAAGACACTATTAATATGATCTCGGATAACCTTAACTCCATTGCTTCCAATAAGCCTTCTCCGCGTAGCAGTGAGTTTCGTGATTAACATACCTGCTTTTTCCAGCCATATTTTTTAATGTTCTGGCGATTAGGAATGGCAAGCCAGCCTTCTCCTTTAAATGAATCTGCAAAATAGAATACGCAAATTAGTAACTTTCTTTCAAATTTTGAGGAACCTTGCTTTGCAAAATAACAGACAACAAAATACCTTTTCTTGGATAAAATGTTATTTATTAATTATTGTTAATCACACCAAAAATTAATTGTTATGTATTTTTCCTGAATAGATTCCAATAACATCTTAGTCATGTATTCAAAAAATTTAACACACGAATTGAGCTAACGACTCAAGTATAATTTCTTTCAACACAAGATTTTATATCAAGAACTTGTGTCTACCAAATGCAATTGACTGGATTAGGCCATACAACAAATGATGTAAAAACCATCTTATTAGACAACGAGCATCATCTGAGCTCATACTAGAAACTGCAAGTTTCACAGAAAACTTGTCTCCAACAAAACTGGGTGGTTGATGTGCTCCTTCAAATTGATACTGTTCCGCCAATGGAAAGGGGGTTTATCCGCAGAGCCGGGGCTATTTTAACATCAGCAACGAATACATCATCATCAGGTACCATTTCTATCAGAAGATTGGCTACCATGACCCTCCAACAAATCTGAGTTTTGGTTTGTTGTCATGGTCATAGATAAAACTGCTTGAGTATAAGTTAGTTGCAATTCGTTTGAAATTTGGAGTTGCCCCCCCCCCCCCCTCTTACGTTTAAACCTGCATTGGTGGCCCGGGAGAAAAGGAAAATTAACTAAGAATGACCAATACTTGGTTAATATTGGTCTGTCAAGATGCTGAATTTTACGCAAAACTTCAAATAAGATCATATTATATCATTACAACAATATTTTATAATTGTTAGCATCAGCTTACTCTGCATCTGAGAAGAGAAACTGGTTTCGCCATCAAATGGGTGCATCGTCTTCAGATGCTGCAGCTCCTCCGTCAATTCATTGACTCGCTTCTGTAAATTTTCTATTTCACATTGTTTTGATTCTGTCTCCATCTAAAAGAAACAGATAAACATAGGACGTACTTCATGAAGTTCGATTGATCGATTGCTGTGTAAAATGAATCAAGGCAAAAAGTATTGCCCCATGGTGCCTTGAAAGTCTAGGAATGGACCAATTCTATTGAAGGGAATGGACAGATGTAAAAGTGGCCAACCTACACATCTTTTAATAAGCAACTAAAAAAATTCCCCTTTGTTACCAGATAATCAATACAACATTTCCTTGAAAACAGCTCAATGCCAATTCAAATTGAATGGAATTTGAAATTATTTTTAGAACACTAGTGTATATGTCCCTTGATTCTCTTTAAATCAAGTTAAGTTAGAGTTTGTCTTATTTCCTACTATCCCTCCTCGAGAGCTACCACATAACCAGTAATTTCCAACTACCACATCTTACTAAAAACTTTGGTATCCTTACTAAGTCGAGGCTGCTGAAGGGATTTCATTGTAAGGAATTTTTCTATTGTTATCTGTCATTACACAGTTGGCTAGTCTAGTGGCCTGTCAGAAAATTTTTGCAAGCGACAATTCTGTCGAAAAAATAGATTGTGAGAGACAAGATGATATTATGACAGTTGATTATCAAAAACAAAATTATAGGATAGGAAGATCTGATACGATATAACACAAATATTTACCTCTATCTTTTCGATCTTTGCTAGTTGCTAGAAGGAAGAAATGTCCAGCATGAGAAAAAACGTTTGAATGGAAGAAAGGACACATATGAACTGAAAAAAGAATTTATTTCAAGAACAGATTGAAAAAAAATTGCGGGCATCAGTGAAGGGCTAAAAAGTGTAAATGAAAAGACAACGAAACAAGTTTAAACTTCATTGCCATTCATGTTGAAAAATGAGCAATCTAGAATATTCCAGATAATCTTAAACGAAATACACTGATAGAACAGTCCATCCTAATAATTGATAAGAAATCTATCTCTCCTAACTCCCTATCAAGAGCATTAGTAAACTTCAGTTTTTGTATTTTCATTTTTTAAATTGGAATATTAGATTATTAATGACAAATTTAAAAAGTTAAGTAACAAGGGATCGATCAACTGCCTGAAAAAGGTTGATTTTAAGTCAAATTCATACCTGATTCAATTCATAAACTTGAGCCTGATTCTTGGCAACCAGTTTATTCGACTTCTCTTTTTCCTAGAATTCAATTAGTTCACTTGCAAATACCAAGAAACAACACAGCAACAACAACAATGTGAGGGGGAAACCGGAATAACACAGCTCTTTCTCTCTATTCAACACATTAAACACACGAAATTCTTATTTTGCTTCTCGGAACTGTCCTTTGCAACTGGAGTGACAATTCAAGACTTAACAACAGATCGTAAAATCAATGTTACAATTTTTTGAAAGGGGCAATTCATAATCTAGCTTTTCTACAAAATTTAAAGAATGGAATTTCGTGTTTTGACCGCATTGTCGACTTGCCATTGACGTGCCAAGTACTAAATATGTAAAATAAACTTTGTGCAACAAACCTGGTTGAGTTCTTTTTGCAAATTTCGATTTTCCTTTTCTTTCTTTCTCAGCTCCGAAGCGCTAACTTTATTTGGTTTCTTGCCTGACGAAAACTCTTTGCGATTCATAATTTCAGCTAGCTTGTTAACAGCCTGTTTTTTAAGAGTCCTTTCTGTTTCAAGCTGTTTTCTCAAATGGTCGACCTCGCCACCAGCATTCTGGTTGCCTTTCTTCGTGTTTTCCAGATCTAAAGTAAGTCAATCATTACAGAAAATCGATTGGACAGAAAGCAATCACTAGGGAACTTGATGCCATGCCCTCAAGAGATTCAGACTGTTCAAACCTTGCTGATTTCTAATTTGCAATCTTTTCAGAGAAACCTCTAAGGATTTAATCCGGGACGAAAAAATGCCCCAAGAGTCCATCAACTTTGATTTATCTTCGCCTTTTTTACCCTTTGAGAATACTTGCTATAACTTTACCAGAATCGAGAGCATCTCCACAAAATTCTCCATCTTCTAATCTTGCAAGAGTGTCGTTGAAGACTCCTAGCTCAATAATTTCAATAAATTTCGACCCTGTTCCCAATATAACTCCCCTTCCAATTTAACCCTTCGTCGAATTATCACTAAACCCTTTCTTTTCTAAGTTGCCAGAAAATAAAAATGATGGTCCTAAGCCCAGATTGATTAAAATTTTATCATTTTAAAATTGGATGACAAATTGAACAATGTTCTCACTGATGCTGCTGTTACACTAGAATAAAGATTCTCTACAATTCGAAATTCACCAGAATCTCAATAAAAAATAACACATACCATCCATTAATTTTTTAATTTGGTCTTCCAAATTCTTTTTGTCATTGTCTCTGTCTGAAGAAGAGGACTCTAGACTTTTCACTGTTTCTTCAAGCTAAAAACAGATTCGGAATTGATAAGACATTTTCAGAGTGATGTGAATTGATTTATTCAAAAAATCAAACAATCTGGATTCCATGCTGCTACGAAATACTAAGAGAATAAATCAAGCGGAAGGGTATTGTATCTTGTGAAAACTTTTAAGGGTTATCGAGATTAAAACTATCTTGCAAACCTGTGTTACTTTGACAGTCTTGTCCTGTAGCTCCGTTTTATGCCTTGCAATTAATTCTTTCACCTCTAGCTCGAGCATCGTCTTTTCTTTCTCTAAATCAGATATCTGTAAAGAGTGGAAAAGAAAGTTCATGCTTTGGGTCTTCTACTAAATCTCTAGAAACAGTCAGTATAATCCACAAACACAGACGAGAAGGGCAATTGACTACTTGAAATTAAGAGTGGGTCTCTCTAACTAAAAGGGTGTAAGAGAGTAAATAAGTGAAGGATGCCGTAAATAAAGCAGGATGAATAACATGAACGATTTCATATAATTCATATACACAAAGTGGAATCTGTATCACAAATGCAAGTATTTAAGGTTTTATCATGGGTGTGGTATTTGGTGTGGCTGCTAGAAGTTGCTTTCAATACATCTCTTCCTAACTTTTTCGGATAGCTGCCCTAAGTTAAGATAACCATTGAATTCTCTTCTCTGTCACAGTAAAAAAGAAATATAAAAGTCCTCCCTGCAAAGCTTTTTACCATTCAGTTGGTGAGAGACGTTCAATATGAAGTTCTTCCAGCGACTAGCCTACATTCAGATAGTATACTTCCATGATTCCCTTGTTTGAATAAATAAATATATGTATCAAAACTGAGAGCAAAGAGAAGAACGGGTTTGTTGCAAGGACAATCAAGTTGATTTCTCAAATACCTGTTCCTCGGCAATTTGCCTTGCTAGTTCTTCTGATTCTGCTTTAGCCATTGCAAGCTCCAGCTGCGCTGATAAAGAATCCCTGGGAACAAATGACGTCATAATCAGAGACGTGCTTGTTATTTCAGAAGTAAAAAAGCTTAATAGTACCTACAAAAGCTAAGAAAGAAAGTTTAGGATGTAAGACTTGTGCCTATTTACCTGTCTTCTTGCAGCAGTTGGAAATCTGAATGAAGCGATTGCTGTGCCCTCTTTTCTTCCTCGACTTCTTCTTTCAACTCAACCACTTGTGTCTTGTAAAGTGTCTATAACGGCAAGTTCAGTCTTCTAACAAAAGCTAGTGACCGATTTCACAATCATTGATAATTAGACCGGCTAATATAAAACCAATAAAATAAAGGAAATTTGGGAGGTTTTTTAAGTTAGAGTTAAGTGTGCACTAAAGCTCCGGCAGAAAAAAAGATTTAGAGGGTAAAAGGACACAGTATTTAGCCATGTTTTTCAAATGAACAATTAGCTTTACAAAAATACAAACCCTTTATTTTGAATCATCCAGATAATTTAAGTGGATCCAGTGATGGAATGACTTGGTTATTGTAAAAACAAATGTGGCTCAATACAAAATACTACAATCTAAAGATTAGCAACAGCAGCAAAGATTAACGTAAATTTTCCAGGTAATAATTATCATCATAACTATACCGTGAAGCACTGTTCAGCCTCTAGCTGATCCTGTAGTTCCTTCATCTGCAGATCATCCACTGCGACGGCGCTGTTGAGGAAAATGCGATTGAAAATAATGTTGTGAAGGAACATCTGCCGTTATGCTTTCTATAATTGATTACAGCTTCTTCCTTTTCTATAAAACACATGGCACATACACCCTATGCTTTTTAAGATTTAGTTTTTATTCACCCGGCCTAAACAATCTAAAGGGACATGAGGAGGTAGCTCCTTCACAGGCAGGCAGATACACAGGGACATTCACAAGCAGGCAGAATTCTCGAAGAAAGAATTTTAAGCTATGATGATAAAGTTTTGATGAACATTGGGTGATACACCTTTGGCTAAAAGTGTTTATCCCCGGCACAAAAATATCTCATGAAGCCGTGCTATTAACAAAATTATTAATGAACCTTGCATCGTAGCTATCTTTAAAAATCGTTAGATTATAGTACGGTAAGCGCTAAAGATGTAATAACAAAATGGCCTCAATCTGTGGTAACTAATCTAAACAGATCTAATAATGCATATGATTGTATATTAATGGAATTACATTGCTTCAAGCCAACACAACTATGCTTTGCACTTTAAATGTTGCCACAGTAAAACTGTTCTCCTCGATTCTCAATTACTGACACTCATATGAATAGGAAATTATTTGGGGAATATATTAGGGGTCCTAGACAAAGAAAATTCATTTAGCTTGGCCCCACTAACTGAAAATTCCTGCTGAAGATGTTACAAGACCATTTAAATACTGCAGATGCATGACAAATAATAAATTAAAAAAATCAATACCTTTTCAGTTTTGCCAGCTGTTCTTCAATCTGCTTCTTCTCTTCTGTAACATTTTTCAGCTCCTAAAATATTTTTTAAAAAGCAACTCAGATATCAAATCAATCAATATTGGGAGATTCTCAAAACATTAACTTATTAGTTGCAAAGGCTTATGGGGCCATTATAGGTTCAAATCTACAACCTTTCAAAGAATTTCGAAATTGGAGCTATGGTAATATTTCAACACGAACCTTTTCCTTCTGCTTCTCCGCAGTTCCTCGAAGCGTCAGTTGTTCGTTGGCCTTCGTCAGGTCTGTTTGAATAACAGATCGCCTCGAAGCCTCCTCGTCTAGCTGCGAGCTTAAACTTTCCAACTGAAAAAAATTAGAAATTCTTGACAATTTTAAACAAAAATTATGATGCGGGAAGGAAAATGAAGGTGCAAAAACTATGGTTTTAGAAAGTGCCAACTGCGAGGGGCAAATCACTCTATGGAATTCTTGTACATCTACGGTAGAAACCCATTCCTTATGAGAAACTCGCTGGAAATCCTTTTCTTTTCGTGGAAAACTCGTATGCTATTCACAGGAGTGAATCGCACCGTCACCAACTGGTTCATGCTTTGATAAAGAACATGGTTTCTTAACAAATGTATACCTTAGCCTGGGCTGCATTGTAAGCTTCTTCGATTCTGCACAGTTTCTGCTTTTCGTTCTTCAGATCCAGCCGTGCATCTGACAACTGCCTTTCCAGATCGGCAGCCTTGCTTTCAGCTTTTGTTCTAGCCTCTTTTTCGATAATCAGATCTTTCGCTACAAGTTAATTCAAGCAAAATTAGACCACTGAAATAAAAAATTAGGCCTAATTAATACTGTCACTGTAGGCAGATGGAATTTGTAATTTTAGAGATGAGTGGTTGAATCGTTTTTCTATAATTGCTTCGAATGTATCACAAATATAAACAGGACAATATTCTTTAACGCATTTAAAGACTACATCTTAAAGAAACAAAATGAATTTGACAAAGTGTTTGTTTAATTTCAGGAAATTTTTGCAGACATTGAAAGAAATAACTCACAGTCTTTCCCGTGATCGCGAACTTCTGTCAACTTCATTCTGTCAGCCGTTGATTTGGCGAGCTTGGCCTAAAACCCGGGAAACAAGTTGCATCATTGAGATTTAACAAACAGTGCAGATATATAAAATTCCTTAGAAAATGAAGTTTGGACCATTGTTGTCGTCGAAGCGAGCGAATTGGAAAGTTCACTTGAAATCTACATAAACGATCAAATGTTTCTATATTCTTACTGCAAAATTCAAAATAACAAGAGAAATACAGAAGAGCCAGTGAGCTAGTTCGGTTATTTTGTGTTATTTTGAAGTTGCTTGGTTGGATGTATTGAATTGCTTCCATCGTGCCTTTAGAAAGACATGTTTCTTAGTATGTTTATTCCTTGAATGATGTGTTTAGCTGAAATTAAAAGAAACAAATAAGTAAGCAGTTAAAAATCATAACAAAGTCCAAAATAATTGCCGATTTTTTACCTTGAACTCCGACTGCTCCTTGTCGTATTTCTGCAATAACTGCTTGTATTCAAATTCTTTGTTCGCCTTGGCCTTCTCCAGACTGATAAGATCGTCCTGGAGTCCCTGTAACTGGACCGCGTCTTGCTTCGACTTGTTTTTGGCCTGCTCGACCTCCTCTTTCAATCCTGCGACCTGCTTTTCAAGTTCACGCCTCATGTCTTTGGCGTGCTTCACTGAGTTTATTTCTGCTTCTAAAGAAGCTTGGGTCCGTAGCAAGTCATTTTCCAAGTTGCCCTACAGAAAGATGGATGTGAAAGAAATGGGATTAGCTCTAACAGTTGATCGCATTAAGCGTGAAAATCGGGGTCCCAGCGTAGGCCCACCCTGTTGTTCACAAAAAAGTTGTAGAGCTCGGCCTAAACACCATCACACAACAGATAGAGTAAGCTTCATGAAAAGTGATTTGTATCATTTGAAATTTCAAAATGTTTACCTCGAAGGATCGTACTATTGAACAGACAAATATCATTTCATTGAAAACAACAAGAGCTTCTAATTTCGATTATTTTGATTCTTGCTTAGGATGCGTGATATAATCCTCTCTGCTTTTCAGAATAAACATATTGCGACATTTTGGGACGGAAAATTTTACTGGATGTCTACAGAACCAATTTACAGAAACTACAAAACTGTGAAAAACTAGCGATGCAAAAAACTGTCAAGAGAATCCTGCAGAACCGTGATGGTGGATAAGGGTGGATTATTGTGAAAAAAGGGGGGGGGTGCAATAATATTCTAGAGAGCAATATTTAAATCCTCTGTTCTGCAGGATTGGTTTCATAGTAGGACAACAATGAAAATATAAGGCAATGATTCCAGAAGATCTTATTAAAGCTTTGTTGTTACTGCTAAGTTTTGTTGTTACTGCTAATTTCCATTGAGCATTATATCAGCGTATATGGTTGATGCCAATCTATAGCAACCACGTACCTTTTGTTCAAACATCAACTTATGCTTCTCTCTTAGTTCATTTGTTGACTGTTCGAGAAGAGCATAGGATTTCCGCAATTCGTTTTCACTCTTCTTGAATTTCATGCTGTTTTCTGATTCTTTTCGCAGTTTCTCCTTGGTGTCTGAGACCTGTAAAGAGAAATTCAAAATAAAAAAGGTTTGAAGATGTATTTTATAAAGCGATTGATGAGTTGATATAAAAAGGATTAGTCTCACTTCAAAATCTAAATGACAATATATTAAAAACAATGTTCTATTATACTTACTTCATAATCAAGTTAATTAGCTTTTCTTTTTGTTAACAGTATATTTCACTGAGTGGCTTTGGGATACGGCAGGGGATATGTTGGAGGGCCTCTACCACTGCCAACATAGTCCTGTCATTCCAAAAACATTCCCAAAATAATCCTGTCATTCCTACAATACGAGTCAACAGTTCCCATTCCCTTCTTGCAGACTTCTAACAATAGCTTTATCCCAATTATTACCCTTATTTTTTGGCATTACCGTTTCAATTCCACCGAGAAAGCGACTAGCTTTATCTGGACCAAGCGGAAAATGATGATGCGAAAAATGGAAAGAAACTTAAAAGACGACGACAACAGCAACAACAACAACAAAAGGTTAACACGAACCTCCTTTTCGCTTGTTTGCAATTTCCTTTGCATCCTCGATAGCTCTTCTCTTGAGTCTCCTTCTGAATCTATACGCATTTGCAGCTCTACAACTCGGGCTTCCAGTTTTCTCTTTGCATCTGTTTCAAACTCGGCCTTTCTTTGGCTCTACAAACAAATAAACAAAAAGTGAACATTATTTCAATCAGGAGTTTTTACGACTGGTGATACATGACCAACGAACTTCAATTAATTGTCCAAGAGTGGTTTTTTCTCAAAAAAAAATAAAATCACAAATCATTCAAACACAAACGAATTTGTATCTTAACATGCTTTTAACATAAAGTCTAAAATATTTCAAAAAGAAATTTCAAACCAAAGCTAATCTTAGTTACGAATGCTGGAAAGAAATCGTAAGCAACAAAATACCTCCTTCATATCATGTTTATAAAGCGCAGCTGCTCGTTCCAGCTCTCTGTTCTCCGTTTCAATTTTCTTCTTTGCTTCACCCTAGAATAGAAAAAGCAGATCTTTCTGTGAAAAACAGGGCTTTGGGAACTTCAAACACTCTTTTTTAAAAGAATAAGATAATTTCTTCTTTGATTAAAATAATTTCGGCCAGGGTTCTATGCTCTTATTTCCCTGGATAATAAGAGGCCAGAGTGTTCTTAATATTTTTCATATGTTTCAATAAATGAAAGTTTTGCATGATACTTTCAGTACCATGGTTGACCAGGCACCAGCTGAAAAAATCTTTGCATTGTTAACATACGAGTAAAATTTCAAAAATTTACTCTGAGGCTAGTTTGGTTTGTTCTTATTTTTAATAACTGTGTTCTTACAAAGAAAAAAGCGTACATGCTGCTACGCCGAGTGATATTTTGTATCTATCTATTTGCGTGGATGAAAATTCTAATAGTGTTATGGTACCAGCTATAAAAAAATTTATAGGCTTATTCTTTTGGCGCAAGAATAAAGCTGATTGATCGACAAAGAAAACCGAAGTCATGGGATTTGAATCACTGATGCTAGAAAATCATCTTGAGATATTTTTTTGTAAAATACTTAGATACTTAGCTCGTGTTTGGATGCAGCACATCAAAAGAAAAGTTAGATACAAACGATATCCTTACAGAAATAGACTTAATTTTGCTTAGGATTTTGTTGACACGTAGATTTCTAAATTTCAGAACGATTTCAGTTTACTTTGTCAAGTTAGACCCATCAAAGAGATTTAAATTACTTTCAGAATGAAATGAGCTTCGTGGTAACTTTACTTGTCTCCATAGCACGAAAACGTACCTCCTCACTTAGCTCTTCGGTTAGCTTTGCTAGTTTGATACTCGTTGTCCTGTGTGCGCTTTCCAGCTCATCTTTAGCTGTCATTTCTGAATGCAGTTGCTCTTCCACCTCAGCCAGTTTTCGCTCAAGTCGAGATATCTGATATTTAATGATAAATAAGAGTAATATTCGCACATTCGTAGTTTGCACATTTCTTTTCCCATGCGAAAGGGGTACAACGTCCAATTGGGTTTTTCTTTCCTTAATATAAACACTCTTTCCATGAGATAAACTCAACCGAGGCCGGGTCTCTTTTGGATATCAAAAGCCCACACCCTGGGTAACGATGTATTAACAAAAGGCCCAAGTATGATAAAACATATGTACACAAAAAAATTATTGTAGTTTTGAGAATTATTACAACAAATATAGGAAAGGAAATACAGCCTGGAATATGGATGTCATACTGCGTTTAAAAAATATAATATGATGAAATATACACTGTGTTAAGAGTTAAAAAATTTAATATTACTCAAAATTAATTTAACTACTCAAAAGCCTCGCCAAACATCAACAGGAAAAACAGGAAAATATCGATAGTGAACTAAGAGCTGACAAACCTCATTTTCAATCGTCTTACTGTGCCCGGATCCCTACGATGGAAATATTCAAAGTTAATCATTGTAAAGCTTTAATCTAAACTACATAAGACTTATGGTACATTCGACTTTCGTAAGGTATAAGCTTATATTCGACTTTCGTAAACCTATGCATTAGTACCCCCTTCTACCCTGAGCTTCTCCCCTCCCCAATGAAATGGGCACCTTTTCCCAAAAACTTGGCCTTCCTTACTTCAAGCAAAAAAATTAATAATTTAAAAAGTGATTAGAATAGATTTTAAGTATCATAGATAAACATCGAGAGCTGCTAATCAAGTGATTTTGAAGTTTGAAAATGCGATTTCTTCAAAGAATCTTTGTCTCGGTAATCCACGAAAAGGGGGAATAAATGGGGAAACGTATTCTATAACGCTACTTTGGTTTAGTAGCAACAGGGTATTCAGAGAGGATTTAGGAAACGTCTTGGGGGTTTGAAAAGGGGAGGACCTAGTTCCGAAAAGCTACTTTCAAATATAGTTGACACAAAACCAAGTGCTTTTTAATAAAAAGAAATGAAAAACTAAGACTATATATATATAGGAATAGAATATAAAATTTACAATTAAAAGAAAAAAAATTGAGTTTACCTTCCCTATACCCCCTCCAGCAAAGATTCTACAAAAAGAAATATGGTTTGGTTTAATGGGTCAATGCGATTAATCGCTTCAATCGCAATCAATACATATTCGTCGATATGATTATTGAAAATTCATCATGTTCTATGTGATTAACGAAGATGAATTCAGGCTCAATGCGATTAATCAAAAGAAATCAAAGCTAGATACGATTAATAAAAAAATATTAATGTTGAATACGATTAATCAAGATAAATTAATGTTGAATACGATTAATCAAGATGAATTAATGTTGAATACGATTAATCAAGATGAATTAACGGTCAATGCGATAAATAGTTGACGATTAACGATGAAGTAGTGCTTCAATATACTTACTGATGTTCCTTTGCAAAGGTGAATCCTATGAATGGCAGATGGTTGCCTGCAAATGCCTATCAAAATAAAGATAGGGGATTATCAACAACAGTGACATTCAAAGATAAAATACTTAGTCTGTGGAAAAATGGTTTAAACAACAAAAGCAGGTTTGTTTTCATCAACCCCGCATTTTATAGCACTGTAAAAATGTCCACGGACAGTTGAAAAGTATTCTTAAAAAGCATCAAAGAAAGAAAATGGGAAAATGGTCTTATGGATAGATTTCAAAAAGACAAACAGTAGCAATAGGAAATTACAATTGCTAAATTACAGGAAAGATTTTCTTGAAATGATTAAGATTCTTCAACATTATTTTCCTTGAAATACATACGACGTGAAATTGTTTAAGTTCAGCTTTCCTCAAACAAATGTTCTCATTATATTTGAATTTAAAGATCGCAACGTAAAAGCGGAAATATGGCAAAAAATGAACTTGCAGAAAATTGACGGAACTGTAGCATGTTATGTTACTGTAAAAAGAATTTAAATTCGATTCGAATTGACCTGGTCTCTTTTCGAAGGTTTTGGGAAAGAAAGGATGACATTTTTGGACTCAGTCAAATAGCCTTGGCAAAATATGTTCAGATGCTTGCTAATAGGACAATTTCAAGTACAACTTACTAATTTCTATAGAAACATCAAATATGTTGAAATGCAACAATAAATAGTTCTAAAAGATCAATTTGTTGGTTATAGATTGCATTAATAAAAATCAGTTTAGTAACAGGAGCTTTTTGCTCTAGGATATAGATATATGAATGAATAACTAACAATGATAGTAATTAATCATGATAAATAAAGATAAAAAACTTTAATATGTACGAAAGGCAATTATAAGAAGGAAATGTTGAATGGTGTTGCAGGAAGCGTAACTCAAAACTAACAGATTGGCAGCGTGACAAAAGATGACAAAGCTACCTGATTTTTATCGAACGTTTCATCGCCTGCTTCAGGGTCGGGGATATCATCAAAATTAGAAGTGTCGGCGTCACTAGATAGTTCCGGTACCACAGGTGCGACAGCTAAAGACAAAAACTGACTGATTAATCTGCTGTGAAAATGTTTCAGATTTGGCAAAAACAATTCAGTATGCCGGCAAAAAAAATTAGGTTTTATCAACTCACATCTGCCTAGTATGAACAATTTCGAAGATTATTACAGGAATATGGTAATTGTATTTGCTACTAACTAGCTTCCAAAGGTATTTCTTAGGACACTTAGAAGCTACAATGCCTGCTAAAAGTCTTGGAACACTGACGTCAGCTTCCAAAGTCAAAATCAATCATCCCCCTCTCCCTCACGGAACAATGTTGGTTTACTATGAAACGGGTTAGAATTTTAGGAAGCACTTTCTTTTTGCTTCTTTTATGATATTTTGCTAAATTATCAACATTGTTCTAGGGGGAAGGGGGCGAAAGTAGCAATTTTTTTCGGGAAAGGAATGAAAGATGTAAAATGCAACGCAAATTGCTGGGTGTTCCAAGTACTTTTGGCAGGCATTGCAAGCTTTTCGAGCAGTGTCCTGGTCCTTCCTCTCGAGATGACTCCACAATTCGTGATTTATATGCCTGGAATAACAAAGGCTGGCGACTACGCTCACTCTAAGTGAAAGGCTGGTCACGTTAGTTATTCGAGCCACAGACCCTCGGCTCTGTAGCCCACGATAACCCTCGGCTCTGTAGTCCACGATAACCCTCGCCCCTAACCCCTGAGCTATCCTCAAAACATTGTTTTATAACATAATTGCACAGACAATGACAAGTAAAAATTCACGAGCAGCAACAACGAAAGCAAAGACGATAAAATTGTGATGTTGATGGCCATAAATGATGGCAACTTAATTCGAGTTTAAAATAATTAGTTTAAGTTTCTTACTTGATCGGATATTACTCCAATCCCATAAATCGTTTTGAAAAAACCTATGTTTCTTAATTTCTTCGACGCCGGTTCTACCAAGCCTTTGATGCCTGAAACAAAAAAAGATCAAAAACATGTCAAAATATCAAAACCGTTGTCGCGGCATAAGAGCGTGGCCATTAAAAACGAGCTATACACAATTCAGGCTGCGTATTCGATTTCATGGTTTATTGCCTAGTATGATTGCACGACATATTTGTAACATGTGTCTATGAATACTTCACTCCCTCTTTCTTAGTGTAAAAAAAGTCACTTTACGTTATCCAATCACATTCTAACTCGCACAGTATGCGCATTATAAAACCTTGCCTACTGAGACTGCAGAAGTGGAGTTTCTTCCACAAACTGATCGGGGACTCCGGCTCAAAGCTCCTCGTATCTGCATCTATGCTATTTTAGAGTAGAACTGGGACAGTTTCTCTCCAAATTCAGGGCCCGGTTTTTAATTTAGTTATGTTAGGGAAAGGCCGGGAGATTATAGAAAAGAGAAAAAGAAGGGGAAGAAGGGAGGGATTAAAAAGAGAGGGAGGTAAGATCAAACTTGGTGATTTTAGTTTTTGAATAAAGACAGGTATTAAGGGTTTGGGAAGGAGGAAGTAGCTAGAGCTTTCTAAAGTTCACAAGATCTGAGGAGGAACGGTGAGTTCGTGAATTGGAACTTGAATTTGAATAAATGCCATTAAAAACAGCGAAACGCTTTTCTGCGTGCAACAATACACTAAAAAACTCACCTATTTGTTAGGAACGCACAAATTAGCTTTTTCGCTGATGGTGAGATCTGAATATCGTCTGGAAATTGGAGTGACTTTTCATGATCCATAATTTTGCCTATAGAGAGAAATGCTTCCATTAAGATATCAGCATTTTGTACCATTGTATGTTAGTGCCATAGGCATTTTAAGCATTTCAAGGATTTTCCCTGATGATGCATTGAGACTTGCACCTTTATCTTGGAAGTCAACGGAAAGCAGTATGTCGTTCATAGAAGGATCTGTTGCTATAAAAATGTGTCCTTTAGGGGAAGTTTCACGGCAATTCAGACCCAAAAAAGAAGCCATAAATCTCATTTGCATTATTTCATTGCAAAATATTTATTAGTAAGCAGATAACTTGCGGTGAGAAAATTCAAAGTTGAAGTCTAAATTGACAATGTACTTACTATAGGTGCCAACCAGAGAGTCAGCATAAAACGGTGTTTCACCTTGATAAATAGATAAAAAATTTGTAACTAATAAAGATGCAATAGAGTCTTTTATTACGGAAAAACTATTCAGTGCCACTTGTTATGACATACGAGAGCTGATAAAGAAATTTTTGTTGAACTTTGGGTAAATATTAGGTGGTACAGGTAGAGAAACAATTTTAAGACCAGTGGAAATGGCTTAACAGTGTCATCATCCACAACGTAAAAACTTTTGGAATTCAAATAAAAAGATAAAACATGGATTTTGTTAACAGAGATATAAGAAAGTAGAATGCTGGTTCATTGACGATTATCAAAGAACGTAGGCAATAAGAAAATGCAAAAACATCCAAAGTTGTAACAGGTTGGTTTTAATGATGTTAAAAGCTTTAAGGTCTGACACTTCTTAGAGCATAAAACGCCAGAATAAGGGTCCGAAAGAACATGATGGAAATATATACATCCAGTTATGGATCGAAATAGGCCAATCAGAAAAACGCAAGCACAAGACCGGTATAGTTGACCAATCAGTGCCGCGAGCCTAAAGAAAAATTACCACCGGAGTCCAAGAGAGAAAACAAACTCTTTCTGTTCACACGATGTTATCATGAAACAAATAAAGAGCGGATACTTTCCGTAAAAGGCTGGTTGCTTGTGTAATATTTGTATTGCTTTACATCGTGAAAGAGTGAACAACAAAAACAAAGTCGGACTCAGTATTCATGAGAACGTGTGCAATACACGATCAACTCAAAAAGGATTTTAGGGACTAAAGTGCTAAACCAAGATCCGTTCTTACCAACAAGCATTTCGTAGAGGAAAACACCAACGGACCACCAATCGCATTCTCTCCCATAACACCCTTCTCCGCCTTGCGATTGTAGCACCTATAGGAAATGCAAGTATAACTAAAACGAAGGAACTTTTTCTTAAAAAACCCCGAAAAATCCTTGCTACTTCATAATGGAAATACTTCTACAATCGAAACAGTACACTTATGATTGACTAACGTCATAGCCACACCAAGATGCGGGGAGCGGAACTAAACAGAATTGCAGCGTTTTCCATATTGGATACAAGTTAAAATTAACGGCAGCGAGCACAGTGCCTTGAAACAAAGAGACAATCAACGGAGTCGACTGTAACCTAAATAAAAATGAAAACCAACTTGAAACGACTACCCTACACTACCCTCTCTTAATTATTTCTATCTACTTGACTTGTTCTTCCCCTTTAACGGGTTGCTTTAACAGTTGAATCCGGGTAAATCGTATCCCGGATAACTCAGACTTTCCCTAAGTCGAGCTGGTTTGTAAGTCCCATTGAATTTTCCTACCTTATTTGGGTAAAAAGTAGTACCATGGGTAACCCGGACATTCGCTTAGTCCGGCCCTTTCCTTACATGTCTGACTTGATGGAATTCAACTGTATTACGCGTTGTTTCCCTTCCTTCAAATAAAAAATTGGTGACAGATCCAGCCAACAACTTTCGCATAGGCTACGAAAATTAGAACTTACTTCAGGTGAGATGTAATCCGGAGTGCCAACAGCAGTGTCAGATCGAACTAAGCCATCCTGGAGTTAAAACAGTTGACATAAAGCAAGGGAAAACTTTAAGCAAGTCAATTGGAGTAAATAATAAATAATAGAATAAATAATATAATTTAAGAAATAAATAATAAAGATGTGCTCATACTAGATTTTCAAAATATGTTGAAACAGGTATTGAGTAAAAAGGGTTGCTGACATTTGACAAGCCCTATCCCATTGCTAACATGCCAAAAAGGATGAAATATTTCCATCAGTTTAAGGGTAAAGCACATCTGTTTGTTAACTTTTATAAACTTTAAAAAGTTGCGTGGTGTAATATCAAAGTGATGCATACCTTGTCCATTTTCATGCAAGTACCAAAATCAGCTAATTTCAGATGGCCGTCCCTGTCCAAAAGCATGTTATCCGGTTTCACGTCCCTAAAAGAGAAGTTGATTTCGTCATCAGAACAGGAAAATTTTGTTGCGAAGAATATCATATGAATTACATTTACTTTGCTACGCTATTTATTACATCTAAAATGTTACCCGATTTCGTGATGCTTCAAGATAACATTGTTACGAATAGGCCAGCAATTGTAAAGCAAGCTGCAAATCAGGTCAGATTTTTGTCGCGTGAGAGGATCCACTTCGGATCGAGCCTGACGAAAAAGTTAAAATCAGCTCAAATTTGTGTGGAATTTTCCTGGTGGGAAAGTCTTCCATGGTTGAAATAGAGTAGCAAATCGTTATATTTTAGAAGAATTGTATACGCTTATAAACTGTACAAGAAAAATTATATCAGAAAAGTTTGCATTGCGATGTAACTTTGCAAGTTATGCGTTTTCTATTCCGATCCAAAACCATTGTTGTATCAAGCGGACCAGGCACGATCAACTCAATCTGGTCCGACCCGCAATTACTTTGCAGGCTGAGGTTTCTACTTAACACATGCTACACAACAGATGACATACCTGTGAATAAAACCCATCGAGTGAATACCATCTAAAGCTAGAACAACCTCGGCTATATAAAACTTGGCCCATTTTTCTGGAATGTCGTAGTTACTCATCAGATTGACAAGGTCTCCACCTGGCATGTAGTCCATTATCATATAAAGGAACTTCTCATCTTGGAAGGCGAAGTGGAGCTGAAATGAAGCCAAAGGGTCATCACAAAAACAATGAACGCTACAAGGAACTATGAATAATCAACAGAGTTGAATTAGTTTCACAATATATTGGAAGCACCCTTCAGCATCCCATGACAATGTTCTGTACAAACATATCTAACAACAGTCTTGTGAACGTGACCTTAAGGAGACTAATGAAAAACATTGACCAACTAGCAAGAAATTGTATATTCTCCGACTTTTCAAGTAGACTTCTTTTAAAAAAACTTTGAGTATATATTAAATCCTTAGTCGCTATTTTGGTATTCCTGTTTGCTATTTTTAAAACCAAAATCACTTTGTTCTTCTTGTAGGAATAAAGTAACATTATATCAACACCTCATGAAAATATGTTTTGTCTGAAAGTTGATACGTGGTTCACTCGCAAAATCCTCCTACTAATGGAGTTTTTAATAATATGACTTTAGAAAGAAGAACGCTGAAAGGGCACTGGCAGTTAGCAAGACGATTGGCTAACTTATTTTATTGGAATTCATGCCTAGTTTATTTTGAGGAATAACTAAACGATTTAATTCAATACCATGTCACAAGCGCTTTAAAAATAGCTGTGAACAATCTAAACTATTCATGCTAGAGTCCCTTAATCCTGGAGTGGTTTGGATTTCAGACTTAAGCAACTAACGCCAACATTCATCAACAAATATGTCTTATCAATACTTCATGTAAAATTTTACAGCAATTTTACTGCATGTAAACAGGAAATTTGAGTCACTTGCATAAAGTTTCAACTTGTATCAAAAGTGACAAGCAGAGATTCTGCAGCCAACGAAACGCCAAAGTGGGATGTAAAGGTTATTCGTAGAAAATGGAATAAGATTATTATTGAAATCTTTAAATCAGGGTTACAAGATAAACCATAGTCGATGCTTATTTCGGAATCTTTGTTTGAATCAACTGAGAGAAGGACAAGTTACCTCAACCCTACTAAAGGAAGTTGATTGATAAAAATATAATTTTATAAGAGTAACAATTTGGGGCAACTTCTTGACCCAAAAGGGTAGCTGAAAGAAAATGGCTAAACTTCCATAAAAAAGGAACTTGTGTTTATGCGTTTAGTGTAAATGGGTGATGACCTTACCTGGACAATCCAGTCAGAATTAGCATGAGCCATTATATCTCTTTCTTCCCAGAAGAACGCCGATTCTGATCGTTTTAACTGAAATCAAGATAGATGAAATCCTTTTAAATTCTACATAACTTATAAAATTAAAGTTAAAAAAATTGCTTCTGTATCTTTTGACATAATTTATTCTCTAACTCCTTTCAAGAGGGGGAAAGAAGAACAACTAAATTGGTAAGGGGGCAATATAAACAGGGGCTAAAGGGATGATCTGTGATTATTCTATGAACCTTGAATTGGAGTTGCATAGGAGCTTTCTTATAGTTTTATGGCACATGTTCGAAGAATTGCTATTAGCAAAGTCACTTGATAACACGCAGGATAGAGATTGAATCAGTCTTGTAGAAACTTACCATTTCAAATTTGTTCAGTAATTTCATAGCATAAACCTTTTTACTTTCTTTATGCCTGACCTGAGAAAAATAAATGTAATGAATATTAAATAAGATGCAGCTACAAGAGTAAACAAAAAATTGAACTGCCATAGGTAAGAAATTCTGTTTGAAGCGAGCAGATAAGAAAATTTGAATACAGGGAGGTTACAAGCTATGAGCAAGCCATATTTTGGTTGAGATAAGTTTAGGTAACGTGCTAGTACCAGTTGAATAATTTTGCTATACCGTATTTCTTCTAATGAACGCCGCCCTCTTATAAACGCCACCTTTTATTGAACGCCGCACCTTCAGGCAACCATTTGATAAACGCCGCCACCCTCTGATAAACGCCGCCCTCTATTTGACGCCGCATCCAAAATTTAGAGTTTATAATAAACGCCGCGGCGTTCTTTAGAGGAAATACGTTATTCATGTATGTATTACAAGAGCGTATTCCAAATTTAAACAAAATATTGTAGATCCATTTGCATCAGTTAAAGAATGCAAACAGGATAGACACTGTTATATTTCAAAGTTGGCAAGCACGGAAAGGTCGCGTATTATGTTTCGAAAGGAGCAAATTTCCTTAGAGCAGAAGTAGCCACCCGTTCATATGCATTTCCAAATGTAGGAGTGGGCACGGTTCTCTAGCGTCCCCAATTCAGACGACAATCGATGTAAGCAAGGTATATAAGTTACCCATGCAAATAGGTAAATAGGAGAAGGAAATGGACAGAAGGTTAACTATACCAGCTGGACTTCACCAAACGCTCCTCGTCCAATTACTTTCAATGTTGAGAAATCATGCGATGATATCCGAAGTCTGTCGACGGTCTTTGCCGCAGCGCCATCTAGGAAACGAAATTTAAGACATGAAATTAAAGAGAAGAAAAGGTGGGTCGAGAGAGCTACAGAAAAAGAGTATTAGGAAGGTGAACATGGAAGATGGCAGCGATATTCTTTATGAAAGAATAGAACTTAGGAGCGGGAACTAAGCCCCAAGGGTGCAAGGGCAAATCAGGATTAAAGTCAGGATTACACCTCTTAAGGGACCTCTTTATGGCCCCTAAAGGATGTGATAAAACTAAAAGTTTAATTACTAAAACTATACAACTGCTATTTTTTTAAAACTAAACATTGCTATTCAAGAGTTTTTACACGTAAAACAACTACATAAAACTGTTTTGAACCATGAAATTTTAACCTAACTTTAAAAACCCTCTTTGTTACAGATCGTCATTTCTTCTGCCCAATTTTTTAAATCTTCTTACTACCAATGGACCCTCGAGTAATTTATTCCAAAGGGCCCAAGGCAGCTCGAAACTTTCACTATGTGCACGGTTACGCAAGCAAGTGGATTTTACAAGACCAGGGCGTTTACTTGATATTCCAAGATAGTTGTAGATGTAGTGATACAATAGGAGTATTTTCTGGTAATTTTTATAGACAAACAAAACAGTAAAAAAATTCTGACTTACATCTGTTTATGTAGCTCTCAAAGTTCTTGGCACGCCTGATGTTTGGAAAGTTACTGTCATTGTATAAAGCTGTGATGGAATCCTGAAATTAGAGAACGAAAAATGATGATTATTATTGCTACAGTAAGTCTTGCCCTATACTGAGCAATGATATACAACAGTGGCTGATTATAACGCTAAATTGATACTTGATGCAAAAATATTACGAAATGGAAAGGTAGAAAAAACTAAAAGATTTATCAATCTTTAAGCAAAGTGACATTTGTACTCCAGAGGTGTTGATTATTGTCATACAAATTACTCCGACTCCAAAGTGAGGCTGATCGTTCCCCAAAGCGAGGTTGACCGTATCTGCTGATCGTTTTGCATCATTCAGGCTTCAGACTTTAGCAAAAATGGCTACTGTAGAATACTGGCTAGTGTATTTTGTATGAATAATTCGAATCAAGAGACTAAAAAAATTCTCACAAACTGACAAATATACCTAGTCAGGGATTTTGGTATGGTGGAGTACACAGAAAATTAGAAAATGGGTGAACAGAATCATTTTAGGCTTCCAACAATGGCATCAATGGCAGTCAGAAATACCAAATTTGCTAGGCTATCAGTGCTAGATCATGCGCTGCAATCCAATTGGTTTGCAAAAAAAGGCAGTCAGATGCATAATGTCATCGTGAATAAGCAGTTTTTAATAAAGAAGGTTTGTCGACTTAGCTTAGTGTCAAGGGCAAACTGAAAGTTTCTGCTGTCAGGCAAACCTTCAAAAAACAATGTGAAACTTCCAACCCCGGTCGGTATAGAGTTAGTCTGTTGTAGCGAGTTGCCAGTTGTCTGGTTGTCAATTCTACAGGGTCTACGTGGCTAAGAAGACATTTTGGAAGGGTCCGTTTACTATAAGGAACCGTCCGGAAGTTTTACAGCACAACAGACCAAAAAAAGAAAGCCTCGGACCTTATGAACATTTCTATGTCACTAGATTAAAACACGTTAATAACACCATAACATTGTTACACGAGCATACTTTCACAGAAAATGCAAAGAATTTCATAAAAAATTAGAACAAAAAGAATTTAGTTGCTATTTGGAGAAGATTTAACAATTACGGTTCTTGCTATAAAGTCTGGTAATTATAAACATGGTTAACGCCCACACGTAAAACAAAAAAGATTTAAACCATAGACTAACTGTTCAAAGCCAAAGTCTAAACTCCATTGTCATGTTACCATGTTAGAAGGAACTGAAAATACTGACAGTATAAATGAAACTTAATTACTTTTTTAAAAAATGTATTTAATTTTCCGGTTGAGAAGCTAATCTACAAAGTTTTAAAAGCTTTATAGAAAGCTTTTTCCCTGAATAGATCTTTGTAGCTTGTTAGGCTAAATTGTTTAATTTCCAAAGCAACAAGGTCTCTTCCCATGATATTATTTTATAAGCACAACGTCAGTTATGAACGATCCTAAAAATCAAACGCCTATCTTATCTTAAACGCCCCTCTCTACATTACCTAAACTCAGGCAGGACATTAAAAGTTACTAAAAAAATCGTCTAAGCAGACAAGAGTCCCTTAGCCTAATGCCTGGGGGCACTGCTATTTCAATTTTCTTATGATGTTTATGGAGACAATTTTTATAGCATTACACCTCTGGCAACTGCTGCGTTCATAGTTTTCAAGCCTCGCTGCTCTATTTTATAGCTCTGAATCGTAGCCACAAATTTAACACTGTTTTATATTTAGCAACATGACATAATGCTGCGACAATTTCAAAATCCCTCTTTTACAAACTACTATCTGTATTATACCGCAGAAAAAGTATTTTCATTTTGTCGAGCACTGTCCTTAAAAATGTCAATATTTGCAAAAAAATAAAGAAATCATTTCGGGAATAAATAATAAAACAAAAGAGGTTAAGGGTTGTTTGAAGAAGATGCCACAATTATACTTGATTGTCTGGTTGATTTAAAAATGGACCGGGGCAGATATTTCCAAAGATACAGGTTAGGATGTCGAAGAGAGAGAAACTGGAGTGAAGAGGATTTGGCTCTCGAAGGGCCTAGGTGCGGTTTGAAGATACATACAGTTTTAACACTGATATTTCGTATGCCACTACCATCAATAACATGCCTATGGTACAAGGACATACACCAAGATTTCTCCTTGAAATCGTCGACCAACACCCTAATGTCCGCTGAATATACATAAATATAGAATACATAAAACAACGCAACAGCTAGATGACTTTGGTATGTTTCAAGTATATTTGGGGATTACCAGGGGCGTATGGGATAGGGTTGGGCGGATCTTTTTTGTTTGGTCATAAAAGAACAAAAAATTACTTGGAATAGGTTTTATTTTTCTTGACTCTCTATTGCTTGATAGTTTATGATAAAACTTTACTGTGACGCACAAAGACAGGTAAGTGACTTTTACCGCCGCCCCCCCCCCTTTTCTCGGAAAACCCCCCACATCTCAGAGATTTTCGCAGTCCAACAGCAGATATCTCGTAGGAACTGTCTAACTCTTGATAGACAAGTAATCAAACATCTTGAGATAACTGAAAATAAATCATGTTCTAAGCCACATTTATCCTGTTTTTAACGAAAATAATCTTCTAACGTAAGCCCAACCCTTAGAAATTCTCCCTTCAAAACCACAAAGACATGTCATCTATAACAGGGATTCAACAATGGGACTTGAAAAGCTTTCTTTGCCTTAAATTTCTTGAATTCCATCCGCAGGGATTTTTTCAAACTCAAGGGTTTGATCTTCCAAAGCACTCTTAAGCAATTGTTTTTAGCTAAAGACGCTGCTGTTTCGTTGTCGTGACAACAAAACGCGTATTTACAACAGCTACGGAGAAGATGGTCTTTTTCATGCACTCAAAAGGTAGCATGAGGGGCCATTGGGGCTATATTTGTTCACCCTTACCAAGGGGCAGGGGTAAGGTTAGTGGGTGTCCTTTTAAAGGAATGTTGGAATGTTTAAAGTAATATATGAAGGAGAGTTAGAAGATACGCAATATTTGGCTGATGTGAAAATCGTTAGTAAAAACCTATGCCTAAATGACCGCCCCATCAAATAAACTGATTTGAGATTGTAGTCTGGAAAGAGATTGATGTGGTCTGCTGTTACAGGACCGTTGTTTGTAGACTGGATGGAGTTTTGGTCACAGGTGCCTTAGGCATAGTGAATGGAACTCGTAAGGGACATGGAAAGCATCTTGAAAGTGGCAGAAAGGTCAATATAGTGATTTACAGGGGAAAAAAAGAAACTAATGATATTGGTGGAAAGAATTTTGATGCTATTGAAGCTTTGCTAGTGGCATTTCATGACCAAAACAGTGGCATCAGAGAAGAGGAAAACAGTGGCAAAGTTGCAAGGACGTTAATCACATCTTCAAATTGCCTTTCCAGTTTATTTTGTGCCGTCTTAATCCCTTCACTTAAAATAAGCCATTCAATTCCAAGTAAACAAGAGCAGACCAGGATATAAGACTCATTTTTAACATTACACACTAATTTCATTAATAAAGTAACTAAATTCATTATTGGACATTAGCTCTATTTTCTAGGCTAAATTTAAACACTTTTGCTATAAGCCTCAATTTGATAGAGAAAGTATCCATGATTGCTGGAAAATTTCAGAAACTGAAAGGCCATAAGATTTCTTGAGAAAGATAGAAGAATGAAAAAAACATAATTACGAGTTTTTGATTTCATCTTGTTATAATTAGCTGGGATAAGTGTGGTGGTGTAGCCTGACCTTCGAGACTAGGGGGGGGGGGGGGGGGGGGGGGGTGGAGGATCATCAAGAATTCATTTTACTGACAAAGACATATATGAAGGAAAGGTTTGGTGCCATTTCACCTACCAATAGGTATTTTTAATGAACAATTAGTGATTTGCGAACCAACTTAAGATTTACCTACCAACTAATGAAGAACTGGGGGTGTCATTCACACCCCCTCCTTCACCCATGCTAGCTATGTTACATCCCTAGACAATATCAAATTATTAACTTATAGTACAATATAAATAAAAGATGAAAATTTAAATAAGTATACTCTAAACATAACCAAAATGTTGATTGAGGAAACTCTGAATAAAAACAAGATTAATATCTGAATACAATGAAGCCATTCAGTTTAGTTGGTCCTTGCAAATTCTGGTTAATATATTACATGATTTTAATGACAGAAAACATTTATGCTGGGCATTGAACATTTTCATTTGTATCTCAAAATATGAAAATCAGCAGCTGAAGCAAGTTGGCAACAGCAGGTGATAGTTCCTAAATAAGATTTTACATTTTCAATGTTAAGAACAAATCAATGCCTAGTTACTTGAAGTGCAATAATTCAATAAAGCCAAAAATTTTACACAAAAGACAAATTTAATATTCTTTAGTTTTGCAGGCAACAATGTAGATGTTCACTTTATCAATAGATTCGTTAAAATATGGTAAATTTGTTGTCATGATGATGTATGGTTGTACCAAAATGTTCAAATGAGCAGCTGTCTGGCATGCAAAGTTATTTTAATGAAACATAATTCAGACCCAGTCAAGACAAAGATTGGAAAACATACAAAAACTAGGTTTGATAAAAACAGGTATTGAAAGGGGGCAATGGGAATGAAAAAGGTTTTTTGGATTGCTAATTGAAGAGGGCATATGATAAACATGCCTGTTCTTGCAAAAAATTTAATATGTGAATTTTCCTCATGAAATCGCTGATTTTTCATGCTGGTATAAGAAGACTTATCCTACTATCAATACAGCTTATTATCTGTTAAAACTTTCCTTTTAATTCTCAAAAGTTTGCCAAAGAGGGAGGCACCAGCGGGAATGTCATACTCCCAGAGACCCTTTTTGAATTACAACAAAAGTTTGTGGTTCCAGTCTATACAAACACAAATTTCAGGGCTGCCATTAGACAGTCTGGTCTCTGCGGCAAAGAACATAGATGCAAAATTGTTGGGTCTACAACCTTTTCAGGTGTGAAACACCCTTTGACTAAGCTTCACAGGCCACTTTCAGGGCCTGGGTCCCAGGGTCATTGCTTCGGCTACCCCCCCCCCCTTTTGTTGCTGGTCCTGCACAAATTACACTAGGGTTATATAGCAATTTACTCTTTGCAGCCTAAATGCATTTTCTGTCAGCCTGCTCCATCATATTTGGCAAAATTCTGAATTGATTTCCTACACATATTTCACAATTGGTTTGAGGAACAGCAGAGCAGACCGTGTAACTCGTTTAGTTGGAGTATTTAGCACTACAATACTACTCTGTACATATGGGCAACTTTTACTGATCCTGATTTTGAAAATATAACAGGTGTAAAAGTTCTAACAGGTATTGATCCCATAGAATGGTCTTATTGAGTTCTGCTGGATTGTTACATAAGTGCTGACATGGATTTGAGGAAGGTGAATGTATATAGCAAAGTTGATAACAACTGACAAACACATACTTACATATACTATACCTAATATTCTACAAGTTCTGCCTTGCTTATAAATAATAATCAAAAATTCACTTTTATCACAACTTATATAATTTTTGTCAATGTTGAAACCTTTGTCATTCTATCTTACTTTGTGGCCTAAACATTGATAACTCATAATGCAAATTCTTTCAGCTTTGTTTCCAACTTGTTATAATATTCTGGTTGAAATGAGTTAGATCTTAAGATCATATTGGGAACATCAACAAATCTGATCCAACATGGCACCTTTGGTCCAACATGGTTGTCACAATTTATTTCATATTTTATAAATTTGAGAACAAAACTTTTCAATTCAATATCATGAAAAAACTTTCTGTCAAAAGGCACTGAACGTAAGTGTGCTGTATGAGGTATAATTTACCCCACACTTCTTTGGTCTTATCAATCTCATTCTGAACCAGAAAGCTACCTTATTATAAAAAGTGGAAACCAAGCTTCCAATTTTTTGCCTTGACTTGAAGTAAGATAAACAAAGAAATATTTTCCTTTGGTACAATTTATAATTAGGACTTGAAACAATCCAAAGCTGAAAGTAAACAAATAAAACTTTCCAATGACGCTAAATTTGTTGTGTATGACTTGACCAAAGCCAATCTGAGAGCAACAGTGGAGTCTGCAAACTGAAGGTAGATTTACTCATAATCAAGTGTACAATTGAAGCCCGTAAAGTTCTCCCATAAAATTATTTTACATTATTCAAGTCAGAAGTTGTACCCTGGCCAACTGACATTTGCTAAGCATAACAATTCCCTTTAAAGGTCTCAATTGATAGGATTTAACTGTAATAAGAGTTTTTGTTGACCTTTAAGTGTTATTTTAATTAATTCTGGCTCTACCTAAGTACAGAAAAAATTACTGGAGGCATTTGACTAAAACAAACAGAAAAAGATGTTTCCTACAATGTTTCTTAATAGGTTTTTGGCAAATCCTTTAAACACAATGGTCACAATTGTGATATTGTATAATACATATGCAATAAGATTGGAAGACTTGAAATGAGTTGCATTTATAGTTGTATATATGGTAATATGTTCATTTGCATTTAGATCTTTGAAACATATTTTCCTTTCAAAAACTGAATCACTGAGATTCAGAAATTACTATGCATGTTATCTGCAGACAATCGTAAATTTTTGAAGACAATAAAAAATTCCAGTGTTTTAAGAATTAAAAATTATTCCTACTGTCTGTATCCAAATTTTAATCAGGGCTAAGCTTTTTAACAAAGGGCAAGTTTATTCTTAATTTATTCCGTTTTCCGTTAGTGCCCTTGCTGTTTTCTTTCACAACCTTGAAATAAGGAAATGTGGCCACAAGTCCAGGAAGTAGAGAAATGAAGTTAAATTTGTGATGTCTGAGAAAATATTTCGCTATAAATTTGAAAACAACAATGTTAAATTCATTTTAGAAATATACTATCTAGCGACATCCCGGAGCTGACAAAAATTCGAGTTGTTTATAAGGGGATTAAACCTGAGGAGAGGAAAGCCATTCTTCTAACCGCCTTAATATAACTGTTTATCAAAGGGTGTTAAGAGTTGACGGAAGGGAAGCATCAGATTAGAAGAGTTTTGCCGACTGTTTAACACAACCATATGGAAACACATATGTAACAGATTATTGATTTTCAATAGTTTAAAAGCCGACCCCGTTTAACAGCGAGCCTATCAAAAATTTTAGGGCTAGGCCACATTTTCTGTTCAGGAGAAGTTTACTCTCAGGGAGTTTCGCATATATAGCAACTGCAGTTTAGCATTTATTGAAATTTTGAAAAGTTGAAAGGACTCGTGGCTTAGCACAAAAACTTTTTAAAAAATGGGAGGAACTTACTGCCCGGTTTTAGTGGGCTGAATTGAATTTGTTTGCATATCCAAAGGCAGTGACTAGACAGTTCCGTTATGACGAAATTAGGCCAATATCCATGGCTCTCCCGAAAGATTTGTGATATCTTGTCAACAACATTATGAAAATAACATGAAGTTTATATGGTTTGATTGGGATATAGCCCTGAAAAAGGAAAATTGGTAGCATTTTTTTGCAAGGACATCGGCCATGGGCCTGCCTTCAAAAACAAGCAGTGATCTATGGGATATTCGCGGTTAGCTAGTGATTTCTCCTAATGCCATAAAAGTTACAAATTCGCCGTATTTGAGGGAATCAAACTGTGAATTCCAATATTGTTAACATAATCAGCCATAATCAATGACGATATGACAAGATTCCTTTGAGATTTGAAAATCGGGACTAAGATGAAATCGCCCATGATACAAAAACGCTCACGTTATGGTAGAAAAAAATAAAGTATTCTCACCAGTAATCCATCGACACACAGCTCATTTCTTGGGTTAGCAATTAAACTCTCTAATTCATGAACTCTTGCTTTCAAAGGCCTGGCCATCTTCACCTTTTTCCCAAAAATTCTAACTTGTTGTTGTACGATTCTTGGCCCACTTTATCCAGGTTGATTTATCTTTGTTGCCCTAACAATACGCTTTATCTTTGAACAATAGATATTTGTTTTTCCGACAATAACTGATGTTATAAAACAATTGTCTCACTCCTCCACAGTATTGAAAAATCACGTCTGTCTTTCCCTCCTGCTGCGGAAAAGGGCCTAGACTTGGTTCCTGATTTTCCAAAGGTTTCTACCAATTTCTCTAACACTATTTTTCTACAAAAATCCATGAACAGTATACATAGCAATCGATAGCCATTATTCTAAACTATGCGATATGTCCCGTCCCATTCTGTCCTTCTGTGAAGAAAACTTTTAAAACTATCGAATGATGCTTACTCGCCTTCCCGAAGCTCGGCTCACCGAAGCACAGTGGTTTTGGGAGTTTCGCAGGTCACGTGACATTAACCATCTCAATGTTGATCCAAGGAGACAACGCAGGGGACGGAGAAAAGATACATTTGGGGGTCAAAGCTTTTGCCATGGACAATTGAACTTTATAATAACATTTAGGGAGACACGGCAATGGCAATACCGTAAATCCTGGGGGCTTATTTATTTCCGATATTTTTTTGATGGGGGCTTATTCGAGGGGGGGCTTCACGAGGGGGTGGGGGCTTATAAAATTATTGTAGACATTAAGAAGACATTATTAATAGACCTCGTTTATTTTAGTAGAAATTTCTTTATGAGCATTTAATTAATTACTACCAAAAGTATGAATTTGTTGTGATAATTCAATAAAACGCCATAGGCAACCTCAGATGGCAAGAATAATCAAGTTGAGGAGTCAAATTTGAGAACTTACGGTAGCAGTGGGGGCTTATTCGAGGGGGGGTTATTGACAATTTGTAGTTCTAGGGTGAAGGGTTAATCCAAGGGGGGCTTTTTCGAGAGGGGGGGGCAATTGGAGGATTTACGGTACGTATATTCTTTTCAGAGTATACTTATCAAAAGGTAGTTTTTAAAAAAAAATTTTTTTGTTTTCAATATCGTAAAATCTTGAAAATTCAGAGCCTAAATTTCCGTAAATGCAGAAACACCTTCTTAGTAATTGGACCTATTCAGTTTCCCCTAAAATCATTTCACCATTTTGAGTGGTCAGAATCTTTCCAGGTCCACCAGCCATGTAGTTTGGCAGTTTTATAGCTCTTTGTTATTAGTTATATAACATTTATCGTAGGTTTTTTGTAATTTGTAATTGTTTGTTGTTGTGAGTAGGTTAAGGGCCATCTCGACCTGCATACCAACACACCTTTAAGAACAATTATAAGAACAATTTCATGAGAACACAAGCCTTGAAATTGTTAAAAAATTCTGATCAAATTAAGAACAAGCTGAGGCTGAGCTACTGTAGAGTGTAATTTGGAATTGTTTGTTGTTCTGAGTAGGTTAAGGGCCATCTCAGCCTGCATACCAACACACCTTTTATATAACAACAATTTCATGAGAATACAAGCCTTGAAAGTGTTCAAATTTTCTGATCAAATTAAGAAGAAGATGAGGCTGAGCTACTGTAGAGTGTAATTTTGAATTTTGATGAAACTACTTTAAAAAATTTAATCTAATAAAAGAAGAGATTTTTTTCATCTAGTGGAATCTTGTAGTGCTTCTTTAATGAATTTCCAAAACTCATAAAGGATTTTAGGGTTCTTTTTCTGCTTCAAAATCTAATTGTTTCTATTTTTCTTAAAGATCAACTCAAGAGATATGTTGTCGTTTTAAAGAAAACTTCCTCGAAAAAATCTTTGGAAAACATTATCTTCGGCAGTTCTAAATTCTGATCTTTTTCACTATACAAGACTTTCATACGTGTCAAGTCTTACGTAATTTGGGCGATTTTCGAGTTTTACGGTGCATCGTAAGCTGACTATCTTACGTTTTTCCAACTTGTGGCTTTCTTAATATGTTTACTTAAACTTATATGAATATTTCGAGCGCGCAAAATTCGAATTCCAGAGTTCTTGCTCGCCAACCGGTGATTGAATTTCGTCAATGAAATTTAAAAAAAATCTACTACTTAAATTGATGTTTTGATTGGTGGTTCCATGGTGGTTGAATCTTTTAAAACTACAATCTTTCGATTATGTAGTATTTATATTGAGACATTTGTTTACGTGACTCACATTACGTTTTCGGTGGTGGTAAAAAAGCGGTGGTAAAAATATAGTTTTTTCTACACCACGGCAGCTTTACAGGTTATGGCAGGCACCACGCACCTGTCTTAAAATGGGTAGGCTGAGAAGGGCGCGACCGAAAAATTTTAATCCACGCCCTTTAGAACGCCAGAAAGCGCCCTTTTCAGAAAACATTTGATTCTTTCTACTTAATCAGTATGAAATAGATTAACAAGATAAGATGCCAAGAAAATAAACAAAAGGGGTTCCCAGTAAAAAAAACTGCTACTACTTAGAATCCGTTAGAGAAAACTTTTCTAAAGTTGCGCTGGAGTAAACTTTCTAAAAATTGTTAAATCTATTAGTGCAAAAAAGTGGGGGGGGGGCTATAGCCCCTGCTAGCCCAATGGCTGCGTGGTAGCTGGGCTATGGGCTTTCGATTTTTCTTTGCTTATGATTTCCAGTTCAGTTTATTACCAACCATAACTCCATATATTTTTAGAAATTGGCGGGTATAGAGGACTCCTACGGGCAACACCCAACATCAGTTGGCGAGTTCACTGTACCAACCAAAACTTATATGGAGATACTCCTATGCTGACAACTACTATCAGAAATCAAAGACTATCATTTGCCGGGCACTACTGGAGAAGAAAAGAACTAGCCCATGATTTTCTGTTTTGGGAGCCATCACATGAAGAAGACATGCTTGCAGACCAGAAAAGACCTACATTGAACAATTGGAGGAAGACATTGGTATCCAAAGGAACGAGCTGAAAGGATAATAAAGGATCGACAAGGGAGGAGAAGATTCATCATGCTTAGCAGGGTTAACCTCGACTAAGTAAGTGATGGGAAAGTACACTATTGTCGATTCAAAATAATTACTTTAATCTTTTACGAATCAATTTTCAATTCATGCTTTTTACATCGCCCTTGTATTTCGTTCAAAACTCTTTGCAATGCTCTGCAGATCTTTTCTACGCTGCTTCCCTGAATTAGAGAGGCTGTTGTATACATTTAGACACGGCTTGATGTCACAGCTCTAGGGACAAATCTTGTATATATGATACTAATCAGTCCTGGCCTTAGGACTGATCCCTGTGGTACGCCATAGGTAATTTGCTTGAAGTTTGGGTTTGTTTATTTTACTGAAATTCTGATAATCACGAATTAACTTAGCAAGGTCCCCTGAGATTTCAAAACTATGTGGGCTTTTTTGAAAAATACCACATGGTCAAAAGAACAACAGCATACCTTAGTTAAGTCAAGAATTTTTCTTAAAGGCGAGTGATTATATTTTTCTATCTTTCGAAAAATTATAGTTTTTTTGACCCTCAAAGTATTTTCAAATCAGTCTGTCAAACAATGAAAATGTCAAATATCTTTGGGGCCACCACCGCAACAACAAAGACACACCCCTAACCTCGCTATGAAGTTTACAAAATGGCGACTAAATTGGGTCTGTTGAAAAATATGCTATCGTCAATGAAATCATCAAAAGGATTTGATAAAGTGTACAGAAAAGTAACATATTTTTTGGGAATACTGTTTCAAAAGATAATTATAAAATTAATCACCAAGCCTTGTTGTAGGAGTATTTTCAGTGTAGGTTGAACGTGATTCTATTTTCAAAGACGTCTCTCTCTAAAAAGTCTCCCAAGAAGCGGCAGTCTCATCGAGGAGGAATATTTCTAGTAGTGAACGATCGCCCTTTTGGATTGAGTTGCTTCTTTGCTGTGATATATGTGATAGATTGACTTCATATTGAAATTTAAAAGATATTCTCACCAGATGCTGGACTTTGTAGATACCTTTGATGTAACTTCTGCCTCTTTTCATCAGGTAAAGCTGTGTCTAGGTAACCCCAAGACAAATGGTACTTACCTGCAAAGGACACGTCCCTACAATTGACACCTCTTCACAAGGGATACCTGCATCCAAGGGGCACCTGCGTCCAAGGGATACTTCCTTACATGAGACACCTTACAAGGAACACATCACTATAAAGGACACCTCCTCACATGGGTCACCTCGGTACGGGACACCTCCCTCTAAGGCTCACCTCGCTAAACTTTGGTCCTACAGGTACCAACTGTCTGGGTACTTTAACTAGCATGTGTATCATAGATGCAATGATGGTTTCATAATGGCATGGTTTTTCAAGAACCGCAAATAGCACGCAATCTAAACCCATGGTTCCTTTAGTTACAGGTTTTGGATGCAACTGAAGGGAGATGCACATTAAGCTGGAAGGTTGATGATGATCTTCTTAACATGCAAGGCACTCTGCATGGAGGGTTAATCTCCAGTGTTATTGATACTGCAACTACCATGGCACTTACTACAGCTGGAAAAGGGAAAAGAGGAGTCAGCTTGGAACTTAGTGTCAGGTGAGACCACATCTTATATCAGGCCTAGCCATTTGAGGGGGCTCTTCTAAACTGCTGATATCCAGATGGTGTGGCTGGATAGGCCCTCATGTTTTTTAGATCAAATAATGAAAAACAAGTGCTGGCATTGTTCCTCGCTCATATTGGTAAGGAAGTTCCTTTGTTGTTTTGTTGAGAAAATAATGTGCAGGTGAATACTGACACTATGAACTGGTTTACAAATTTGTCAAACAAACAAAACTAACATTTTTTCTGACAAAATGTCAGAAACAAACCTGACAAAACTGACATCCTCAAAGAAACAGAACTGCCCTGTGTAAGGGGTATTCCCATGACCCACAATAAAGGGAATAACCCAAATCCAAAAAGGGGAAGAAAGAATTGGCCGATATTTATGTAATAAATTTATTACATAAATATTGGCCAATTCTTTCTTAGTAAATATCATTTTTTATATAAATATCATGGTTTTTTGGAAAAAGGTTATTCATTGGATTTCTTTGTTAAATGTTATTCCTTTGGATTTTAACAAAACTTTTGATGACAGAATGTAAACAGTTCCTCTTGTTTTAAGTTATTTACCTTGAGGGTAGCCAATGGTTACCTGAAGATCAGGATTGCCAAAAAGGTAGCCCAGGCTACAATATTTAATGAAATGAACATTATATTGCAGCTATATCAGTGCAGCAAAACTAGGGGAAGTTCTCACCATTCAAGCAAATTGCAAGAAGGTTGGAAATACAATAGCATTTACAGAGTCATCAATTACAAATGAAGATGGAAAACTCATAGCCACTGGAAAACACACTAAATTTGTTGGTGATGTTGGAAAGAAAGAAAGCTAACAGCAATGAAATTTTACTGATAGATTTTAAGCAATTATCATACAAAATAGAGTGTGTATTTGCTTCAATACAAGCAACTGGAGAGTGGACAACCAAGTATTGTTTGACCAGAATAAAGTGAACATGAATTTGGTGTGGGTTGCCAACAACATGACCATGTGTGAGACCAATGTCATGATGTTTGCATTATGCATATTGACAAGCAAGCAGTCACCAAGACTTCAAGATTGAGGATAGCAATTATCATGCTCAGAAAAACTGGTTTGACATTTTACATTATTCAAGAGACATTTCTCAAGCAAAATTCTTTATTGAGAAATCTGAATTTACAGCAGTTGGCACAAATTCACAATTTGCAACTTTACAGACATCAAAGTGTAAAACATTGATCAACCATAACCTCTAATTTTTATCACCTCCAATAACAAATCCTTAGCATGTTTTCTAAATCTTTACAACAAGGTCAGGTACTTGATGCTATTTGAATATTTTCCTCATATTCCTCAAAATTATATTGTTCTTTAAATTTTTAAATTATTCACATTACATGTTCCAAAAATGCAAATGCAACTATTGGTATGGTCACAATGTAGGGAACACATATCTTACCACACAATTTATCTGGGGATAATAGTGTAGCAGATTAATGCTAGGGCCTTGACCTTTAAAATACAGTTGCTTAATCTATTCCACCATTCTTACAAAATAAAATGTTGTTGTGCCTGTTGGAATTCAATCAGAATCTCCTTTCATGGACTCTCGTCGGATTCTTTGATTCTTTACTTTATGCAATTGATACCTGGGCTTGTGTGAGGTAGCCTTGAAGAAACTGCATGGCATTTGGTTCTAGACCTTGTGATATCATGGGTCCAAGCTAAAAGAAATATAAGGCATACAACTTTTCGACCAGCTGACATTTTTAGCCTAAAAATCTTACTGGAACTGTAAGATAATTTACTGAAGGTGTTTAAAGGCTGATTCAGGGAAAATCGAGCTTAAGACTGGATTATGCAAATGTAACAAAAATGAAACATGCAAATATAATTTTATGCAAATTCTTTTCAATAAATTTAAAAATAGTGAAAAATACCAGAAGCTTCCAATTACCTTTCCTGGGCAGGTGAGAGACAGTTTGTACAACTGCTTAGCCAAAAATTCTTTGGGTTCACTGATAACATGGAATGGATCATGTTCTTTTTTGCCAGCAAACATCAGCTCAGAGAAAGCAGTTTGATAACCTTTGATAAAAAAAATCTTATTGGAAACCATGCCAATATTCCTGGTTTTAAAACTAGTACCACAACAATATTGTGCAAACCAATAATATTTACATTTGGCAAGAAATATCAATATAAAAACTTGTCCAATAAATGTAAAAATACTTGAATATTTATATTTATATTTATATTTATATTTATATATAAGCAATATTTAAGAGATGCTGCCCCGGGTGTGCCTCTCAACAATTCAACAACCAATTCAATTTTTTTTGTTTCATCCAATGGATTTCTTTCCATTGCGCATGGGCTCCAATGTTTTTAACTTGCATGTTTTTCAGGAGCATCCCCTACCAACAACAACAATTAGATTAGAAGCGATCTGTAACAGGCTTATAGCCTACATTACAGCATTTGTTATTTCATGTTATGTATGTTAATTTATTCAACAAATTCAGTGATAGAAGACACATGATATGTCAGACAGTTGAAGCCTTTTTAAAACTTCAGTATATGTAGGATACTAAAAACAGAAAAGTCAATCAGATACCAAATCCTAAAAGGTTAAAAAAAGCACAGTGCCAATTAACTGACTGTGTTTGGAGGGAAAGAGAACTCAAATAATCTAGATAGGTTAAGAAAATCCCAACATCACCCCTTTAGAAAAAGATCACTTCTTCAAATATGTGGTTGGAAAGCAAAGGTGAATGCAGACTGGGCAGCACCAACAGGTTACAAATTTTTGGCCTGCAGCAGATTAAATGTGACGGCAGCAAACGTTTTGGCCAACTTGTGTCTATTATAAATAATATGTGTTTGGCTTAACCCCTGCCTTGAGCTTATAATGATGTCACATTCCCAACTCAACATAGACTTTTATGTTAGATCTTAACAGCTTTACAGTACCAACAAGGTTACAACAGCATTAATCAAAAAGAGATAGGAAACTGATACAATACTTCAACCACACTTAAAACATTACAACCAAACAAAAGCAAACCTGGAGTTTCTTCAACTTCAATGAAATGCTCATCATCTGGGACACTATCATCTTCTGGTAACTCAAACAAACCAATCAAAGCTTGCAGAAGTTGTGGCCTGAAACACATATGTATCATGTCATCATCTAAATAGGTGACTGCCTTGAACCATTTAACTACATTTGTTGGGTTCAATAAACTATCAGCCAAATATTTTTTTATTGAATTAGTACAAATATATTTCCTCTTTTTCTTGCATGTTTGGTCCTTTTCCCTTTTAAAAACATTTTTGAAAAAAAATTACCAGAATACAATCTAAACAGCAACCTTTTATATCTGATAATAATTTTGTACAAAAAATAGGATGAATTGTGCTTAACTAAGTATCTACAAGATTAAATGAAACTTTTCTAGACCTACCAAAAGTTCACATATGTAGTTAGCATTGAAGGGGCTTCTGTCAGAATTTTAGCGATACCAACAGCACATATTTTTCTCTCAGTTGGACCTGTTACCTGTAAGTGCAGACAAATAAAAATAAATCAAGAAAACTGTCTCTAAAGTTTAGAGCCAAAATGTAATGTTTACACATAATATAAACCAGGAACTTTACATATATATTGCATTTCAATTAATCATTGTTTAGAGATAAAATATATTCCCAACTGATCATTTAATCAAATAAATCATGAAATAATCTTTCAACATACCAAGGAAGATAGAGAATAAATTCTAATCTTAAATTAAAAATCTTTGGAGTTGATAGTATAAATCTGAATTTTTAGAAATATGGAAAATAATGTATGTGAAACATACTTTCTGTAAATCTTGAATTATTATCTTTTCAACCACCATTCCAAAAAGTCTATAAAGAAAAATATAAAATTGTTCCTATATTGATTGAAGAATTCCAAGCATTGGGAACTTTATCTTAGAATCAAGACCTTACCACATGCAGAAGAATACATATGCAAAGATCAAGTTTATGAATTATTTCAAAAGGAGAGCATAAATAATTTAAAAAAATACAACATACATCGGTACAAAATGCTAACTCTAGAAATATCCTTTGCACATTAAGTTTACACTGAAGACATTTAGCTTTATAAGGGTCTTGATTCCCTTGATGAGACACTTAGCAAATCCTCTAGATCCTATTCTTTAGCAAAAAAAGTAATTTTGACTGTAACATCTTTCTTTCTCTAACACTAATTTTCATCAACACTTGACGTTTTTGTGAACTGTAATCAAATCAACAACATAATTCCTTTATCAGAGTGTCCCAATACTTCTGAAAAGTATATGTAGATTATTTATGAAATTCTCATCATGTACCAAAGTCAACTTACCCTGCCTGTATAGAATCAATGAGTTTAATAACTGTGCTACCAGTTTGTTTCCCAGCAAGTAGACTTATATACACTAGAAACCCTGGGGAAAATATTGAATGAAAGTAATGAAAATTTCACAAAGATAGAAATCTATAAGAATTGCAAATGATAACATATATTCAAAATGGTGGTAGGTAATTATCAATAGTGTGTGACCAACAGAAAGTAATTCACTGGGCTTACAAAGAGTAACTCTTACTAACTGAGATATGAGTTGAGAAAAAGAAGGTAAACAAAATGCGAGAGACCTAATGAGAAACCTGGCTATATCTGAATTTAATATTTTATTCACAAAATGTAACATAATGTAACATACCTTTGACGAATTTAGTTGTTTTTGAATTTTGAAGTCTTTGGAACAGAATAAGCACTACATTTTTCATATTTGGTTCTAACGATGACCTGGAAGAAAATATTTAATGAGTAATAGCAAAGAATATCAGTAGATGCATTTTTTGGAAACAGAAATAAAGTGAAAGAAAAGTGGGCCTGTGTTCTCTTTGATAAATCATGCATTCTGCAACGGAACCTGAATATAGAGTCAGAAAGACTGAAGTTTGGCTTTGCTATGCCAATCTTGCTATCTTTTATGGTCTGCATGCTATCTGAAACTTCATACATCTTGATTAATCAGTTAGTTGGCTTATTAGCTCTTCACAAATTTGATACTTGTTAACATGTCTAAAAAATATCAGTTTGTCAAACATATTTGCTCCATAATTAGTTGATGGCCCCTGTCTGAGAGTATGTTCATTAATATTTTGGTCGTAATGTTTTAAAAAAGGCAAATTCACTTTGCAAATTGTATTGCAAATGCATTGCCAACCTAAAATTTCTCTCAAGCTGGCAATATTTTATCAACCTACATCTGATTCACAACATGTTTACAGATTACACCCATCACAATTTACTATATTGTTTTCGAATTTAATTGCTACTAGCAGAAAACATTGCTGGAAATTGCAAGTATTGCAAAATTGTCAGACAGACAATGGCCTTATTAATTTGCCAAAGCAAATTTATTTGCACCTGGACATTGTATTAATTAATCTTTTAGTCACTATCAGTCATTTCATACTCTGAAATATGTCAGACAAAATGTTTGAATATTTGAACATTTACCATTCCATGTACTCTGTCAGACTTCCTAGTAAGTAGAATCCCTCATGGTCGTTATTTCTTGATGCAATCAACTTTTGGAAGACACCCAGCAGTGCAAGCTGAAAAATGGTTTGAAAACAAACTATAAAGAAGTCTTAAAGCTTTAGGGTATGTCATTTTGCAGCACAGCGGACATCCATACAAAAATATATTTTTGAAAACCAATCATATCTAGAATTGATCTACTCGTGAAGCCATTTTCTTTCCCAACTGTAAATAGTCTTTCCCATTAGTGAATCACTATACTTAATGCTGAAAAAACTTTTCTAATGAACCAGAAACCAATGAATCTGCTTCAGAGTTTTGACCAGTGCACGCTATATATTGTGTCCTGGCACCATAGAACCCACTAAAGCTTTCTTGATAATATTGACTGAAAAATGTCAGCTTGTTTTGACAACATCCACAAATATAGACTGATTCATCGTTTCTGCGTTTGCCATGATCGGCAGTTAAAAAAGTCCAAAGGTCTGTTATTAAAGAGTCAAAGACTTATCTTTAATCTAAAAATTGGAAGTATAGCAGAGAAAAATGAAGTATCGAGGGTGCATAACTTGAGTGCCTCACTCAAAACCTTTTAGTAGGCTAAAACTATAAATGTTCAGGCAACTGATCTTCTTCCTGTAATATGAGTGCATAAATTCTTAGCCTGCTCTACACCATACACCCCTAACAGTGAAAAATTAGAAATAGCAGTGACAATACTCTCCACTTGACGCTCTAGAACCCAGGGTAGACACAGATTCCCTTCCACACTTCAACAAAGCCAAAACATGATTTTGGGTTCATTTCACAGAAATGGAAAAAAGTTGACTTTTTAATTAGTCTTCAACTCACAAATATGGTCTTGGCCTATTCATACTATGTGATGAACCAACAAACGGTTCATCATTTCAAATCTAACAATTAACATACCAGTTTTCCATCGGCAATGATCTGTTTTGAGCCTCTTTTTACATATGCTTGTAGCAATCGTGTCAATGCAGGGATATTTCCTGTGTAAAATGAAAGAGGAATGCATTGTTATGCTAAAGCCGTAAAGGGTGCAATTATGTATGTAAAAGATGTTTATTTTATGGACTCATTTATATGGAGTTTATTCAACGTGTCAAGTACTATTTTGAAAATTTTGACTGACAAGGAATTTTTAGAAACAGAGAGCAAGATTATTGTTTACAGGGAAGAGATCCAAAAGGGGCGCAATAAGAAGACAAGAATAAATCTAAAAAATTTCACACCAGTGTTTTATAATCAATAAATATTATAGCATTTTGTAATTAAAATAAAGCAGACAGTTATCAACATCTTATAGATTAGGAAGAGGGAGCCCTCAGTCAAAGGAGGTGTTTTCGAAATCCTAGTTTCAATTGGAACATTCAATAATTTGAAATCATAGTTTCATAGTTTTTGACTACAAATTTTTCAAAATCCATAAATTCTCAAACCCATTAGGTGCTCAAATGAACTAAATGGAAGTGAATAATAAATCAATATAAAAAATTGTTGAATAACAGATTGTTTGAAATAAGAGTGGGGAGTTACCTGGCCTGTCCCAAAGCTGTGGATTAACCAGCAGGGGAAACAATGCCATGTAGAAAGGTCCCTGAATTCCCTCCTCTCTAACCTCCAAAAGCAGTGACAGAACTTGAAAGACGTAAGGGAGAAACTCAGTTACATCTTCACGCAAGATTCCTTCAAAAACCGGTAAAAGCACGCTCTCAAATTTCGACAAATACTCTCTGCTTGTTTTTGGCATTACCCTGGAAAAAAGGAAGGTAAATCAAATATCCCCACAGGATATTGCATGTAAAAAGTATTTAATTTATAAGGCAGTAGAGAAGTGGTTATAAAACAAAATACCAAGTCAAGCTAAACGCTTTAAGAGTGTAAGTAAATACTAACAAAACAGAAAATCTTTCTTTCTGGGGTGCCAGTTTGAAGAAGTTCAGGGAAAATAGTTGAAGGGCAATTAGGGGTAAAATGAAGGGAAGGGACAATATGGGTGAGGGGAACTAGTGGGTGGTATTTGGAAAAGCAACAGGGGGATATCTACAACTGTATATTAATCTACTGTAATTATATCAACTTACTAATTACATCATGAAAAACTCAGACAAATAGACTCAGGTCTCAGAAACTGGTAATTACTTATTTTCCTTAATTACTATAACTAAGATTTGACCCCTAAGATTTAAGAGCTTCTTTTTCCTTGAGGATAAGCTCTATTTATGTTTGAGATGCTTGGAAAACGAGAGAGAACATAGCTATTTGTAACGTTGGAGACATATAAGCGACGTACCTTCCGACAAGAACACATATTGCTTCAAATAAGTAATGGTTGAATTGTGGCTTGCTTGGATTCTAACAAGAAATATTTTTGCAAATGCAATGAAGGAAATAAGAATAGCGTTTTAATGTAAAATCCCATTGCATGCGATGGCTTACAATCAAGAAGACAAAATGAAAGATGCACCTTTAAGAATAACGTGATTTCAATTTTCCTGTGTTCGCAATCTTAGGACAAAAAGCTTTTTAATCAAGGGAGCAAAACTTTGGAACAAATTTGGCTCTGAAGCCAAGGCAACATAGAGCTTTTCTGCATTCAAGAAAGCTGTTACCTTAACAAAAATAAGATACTGATCTAACACTCTTTCTGTTTTCTTTTTAAAATTACTCTAGGTCTGGAATATAATCCTAAGTCAGGCTTCTATCCCATTTGTTTTAGTTTACTGGGCAAGCTGTAAAGCAGTATTCAATATCTTCTAAATAGCTTAAATAATTAAAAATGTAATGAAATCACAAACCCAAAACTATATCTTCTAAATACAAGAGAATCGATAAGGATGGTAAAATATTACGGGGTTTTCTTCTTTACCAGGAATATACTTGGATTTTTGAAAGATAAATTTCATCTCTCTGTTGCAGCGGCAGACACCTTTGGGGGGGGGGTCGACTGCTCCCTAGCCCCTCCCCAATAATTTGAAAGACAATAGTCTTTTATTCTAAAACAATGGGCAGAATGTGATGTCATCTTACCAAACAACAGGTTGCCCACCCCAATACTTGACCAAGTGTCCACCCCTGCTCTTTGCATTGGAAAAGCATACTTTGAAAAGATGCATGGCTTGCAATAAAGCAAAGAGATGCCTTTGCCTGAAATTACAACATACCTTACTGACAGCTGTTAATTTCCCAACTAACTTGCTTATAATCAGCTCTAAGTTTGGTGTGAGTGTTTCTTGTAGCAATGAACAGCTGCGCATAATTGCTGGAAAAGATGAATCTCGCGTAAGACATTTAAAAATCACTGAGAAATTTATGGTTTATCTAATACGTGTTTGAGCGATTGTCTCCAGGCACGCTAAGTTGAGATGGCCTCCTACATTTGGTTAGAATACATAAACTAGTCATATTATATTTCAAAAGCAGATTTACATTTTTTAAAGAAATAAAAAACAAATCTAATATTATATAAATAAAAAACAATACTTAAATTATTGTTAATACCTGTAAAAAGATTGTTGCATTGGTAAATCTGAGTTTCCTTAAAACTTATTTGTGTTGTCATAGAACTAAATGAAAATTAAATCTACTAATATTCTAAACATTTCAAAACATTAAAATATGTTTGCATCAGATGACAACAACGTAATCTTTTCAGTGACAGATCTCAAGGGAATATAATTGATACAAAGTCAAGTGACGAAGGATGTAAACTGAACTGGGAATGTCTCTAATGTCACTAGCCTACCTTTCATGACATACTCGTTTTCATGTGAGCCTTGCATCTCTAATGCATTGAATAAGTTTGCAAATAATTGCTCTTTAACTGTCCTCAGTTCAGCAGCAGAAAGCCTTAAAAACAACGATTGATACAAACTGTGAATAGCAGTGCAATATAATTGAAGGTCTTTTGTTTTCTACTTGTAAACGACAAGTATACTGGAAAAAACACATCAAAAAATGATTCTAAAACAATTATTCTACTTTCACAACTAATTCACCTGAAGATAACTGTAATGCAACAAGCACATCGATTAACCCTTCTGTGGTGTATAAAACTGGACGGTAGAAATATTTAGCGTGAAACTCGGAGTAGCAGCCTAGAATCGTCCTATTCTATACAGCAAAAAGCGTGTACAGCACTGCCTATACACATCAAGCACTTTATGACAGAGCGGTAAACAGTAGAATTATTAGCTTGGCTAATAAACTTATTGACTGTAGTAAGTATCAACACATGTTGTAAATCTATCATAATGACAAAAAAGATCATGTATTTGACACATTTTTGGCCAATGTTACTGTCCGGTGAAGGGAGATGTTGACTTCAGTTTAATTTTGCAAGACTTCGACCACAGGACCAAATATTGGGGGGGGACATTTGCCCCTTGTTTACAGATTTTAGTTATAGGGGGAGATTTCTCTTTCACTGGTTCGATGGAGGTATCACTTGTTACAAAAAAGCTGTGATAAATAAACAACGTACGGTGGTCCTCCGCCTGGGCTTCAACACATGTTGTAAGTATCAACACATGTTGTAAATCTATCATAATGACAAAAAAGATCATGTATTTGACACATTTTTGGCCAATGTTACTGTCCGGTGAAGGGAGATGTTGACTTCAGTTTAATTTTGCAAGACTTCGACCACAGGACCAAATATTGGGGGGGGGACATTTGCCCCTTGTTTACAGATTTTAGTTATAGGGGGAGATTTCTCTTTCACTGGTTCGATGGAGGTATCACTTGTTACAAAAAAGCTGTGATAAATAAACAACGTACGGTGGTCCTCCGCCTGGGCTTCAACACATGTTGTAAGTATCAACACATGTTGTAAATCTATCATAATGACAAAAAAGATCATGTATTTGACACATTTTTGGCCAATGTTACTGTCCGGTGAAGGGAGATGTTGACTTCAGTTTAATTTTGCAAGACTTCGACCACAGGACCAAATATTGGGGGGGGGACATTTGCCCCTTGTTTACAGATTTTAGTTATAGGGGGAGATTTCTCTTTCACTGGTTCGATGGAGGTATCACTTGTTACAAAAAAGCTGTGATAAATAAACAACGTACGGTGGTCCTCCGCCTGGGCTTCAACACATGTTGTAAGTATCAACACATGTTGTAAATCTATCATAATGACAAAAAAGATCATGTATTTGACACATTTTTGGCCAATGTTACTGTCCGGTGAAGGGAGATGTTGACTTCAGTTTAATTTTGCAAGACTTCGACCACAGGACCAAATATTGGGGGGGGGACATTTGCCCCTTGTTTACAGATTTTAGTTATAGGGGGAGATTTCTCTTTCACTGGTTCGATGGATCACTTGTTACAAAAAAGCTGTGATAAATAAACAACGTACGGTGGTCCTCCGCCTGGGCTTCGCAGCGTCATAATTCTCTCCACTGCATTTGCTGCGTAGCTGTGTACAACTGGGTTTTTCGCTTTTATCATATTCACCAGGAAGGGTATAACAGAGAGGATCAGGTTACGTGGAAGCTGGAAAAGCAATAGAAAATGTTGGCTCATTTTAATGGCATGCATTTTGTAGATCTTGATACTGAAAAACATTTAGAAAACAACTATACATATCAAACTGCGCTATCCACGATGGAATATAGATATAACGAAATTGGCAGGGATCTTAAATACTCTTCATTGCCTGAATTAAGGGGCTTGTGAAATTTCTATAAGTAAATAAAAGATTTAATGATAAATAGCTGCTACATACAATGGATAGCAAAATTGAGAACAGAAGGCAACACCCTTAAAAACGTAAACTCTCAGTAATATGAAAAGCGTTCCACCGTTTGTTTTACTATTACATTATTTTATACCATGAATAACCATCACAAGGGGGGTCATTATAGGTGATCGCCTCAAGGGGGTCTCTAATGATATCGCTACAAGAACATCAGCTTCTATACTGATAATAGAAAGGAGAATAAACAGACATTGGTAAAACAACGCTGCTTAGGCAACTATACAAAGAAAACTTTTGCCAAATGAGCCATCCTCCGTTTAAGCAGTACCCGTATAAAAAATCAACCACTATTACGCATGCTCTTTGACTATAAGAACAGTGGTGCGCACAATACTTAAAATTGTTGGTCTTTTCAATAAAACAAAACGATTCCTCTACTCACCACACTTCGGAAAGTGATGACGTATTTTATAGCATCAGCCTTTAAAACGGGGTATTCATCAACTACAAGAAACAGAAGATATGATTTGATTGTGAGCTGAAATAGATTAATAACGTGGTTAGGTGTAGTATCTCCTAACTTCTACACTGTTCATGAAAGTGCAAGCCTTTCTGGGAAGTATGGTGTCTTGAAATTCAGCAAGCGAACTGATAAAAGGGCCAATCCGAAGCACAACTTGATTTCAGTTAGCACAAAATAACACACAGGGCGAGTCTTAGACAATAAGCATATCTACCAATGATGACCTTACCATTAGGCGACTGTAAATCCGGAGCAATATGACTTTTGAAGAAATCAACAAGGTTAACCAATTGACTCGCTTCTGTCGTACCGTGCTAAAAGAAAAAAAACAAAATGACTTTATAAAAATACAGTTTCGTCTTTTGTGAAGATCTTTGAGTGTTATCAGGTGCTGTCCTTCTTTGAGATCCATCGACAACTGCAGCTCAATCATAAATACCAACTGTTTTGTGCACTCAGTAAAAGCGAAGTGGGGACATGCTTTCGTGCCAGTAAACATAGGGAACCTGCCCCTACTCAAGTCCGTATTTCTATGCCTATAATAACAATCACTGTCCCTAGGCCGTAGTTTTACCCTAAAACTGGGACAGTCCTTTCAACTAGTAGAGCTTTGCGCATAAACGCAAGACCGAATAGGCGCATGATGAAAAATCAGTTCTCCTCTATGATTTTGGAAGAGCCCTATTCTCACATCAAACCATCTCCTTCTTGGCAATCTATCCATTTTGCAAATAAGTACTTCAAGTCAAGCTCTAAGTGAATCTCGGTTCGTTATTACTTAAATTACAGTAGGTATATTATTCAAAAAAACATGTATCCGTTGGAAAAACTAAAAGTCACTACTTGATTTGCATACACACCTTTGATGTTTGCTTCTTGGCGGCAAGTGACGTCACAAGATAAATCGCAGTGTCCTTCGATTTCCAGTGCTCCGCAGGCGATTTGGCGTATAACTACAAGATGAAGAGATACAATGCTGACATCATTCAATAAAAATGAACAAATTAAGAATTCATTGGCTTCCTAAAAGTCTTCATTTTACTCTACAACATTTAATCAATCTATCATAGGTCTGTAAGCAATATTCTGGGGACTATGATACAAGTTTAATCGGGACAAAGATTGTATTTATTTTCCAAAGAATGAATAAAACCCTTTGTTAAGAATCTCGTTAGATATGAAACTGCAATGGATGGGCAATTAATATATAAGCAAAGATTTAAATTTTTCTGACTGTTGTTCGTATGCGGGAGACTGGCTGTGAAGATTAGTCAAACAGAATGCTTTTTGGTCTGTTCAGTGTCACAGATTATTAAAAAAATATTCGTCTTCCTAAAAAAGGCAATCCATTCACCCGTCTCATTTCAATCATTATACCATGAACTTGTTCAAGCCATAATCAATATTTATTGAAATTTGCGAAATTTCTCATTGCCAAAATCTTTCAGGGTGCTAAAGTGAATTTGTTTGGAATCAGTAATAATGTAACAAGGATGAAAAATATTTTTTGGGTCTGCAGAGCTAGATTACCTAGAGAAAATAAAAGTTGTTTTGAAAATCGAAAAACGAGCATCAGGCAGCGGCATCGATCAATACAAAGACAAGGGAAATCCACTTACTTCCAACATATAGTTGACATATTGTGAGAATATTGAAATGACAGAAGTTTCGAAGTATTTGCAGAGTCCCCTGACCAGATCACAAGCAGCCCGCCTTCGTGTGTCGATATCTGAAGGAAAGGGACAAGAGAAGCATAATTCTGTGACAACTAGCTACTTAGTAACATATAATAGCAACCAATGGCGGACACCTGGGGAGACGAAGGGGGCGGTTGCCCCCGATTTTCGGGGGGACAATGCTCTTTTGTTCAAAAGCAATGGGAAAATGTAACGTCATCTTATCAAAACAAAAGGCTTCCCCCCCCCCCCGGATATTCCGCCCTTGTAAAAAGCGAAAATTTGACGTGGCAATCAAACAAAACGAACTGTTATGAATAGGTGGAATGGCCTCATTCGGTATCATTTTGAGATGTTATTGTCGTTGTGTGTCTTAGACATGGCAAACGAGGAGCGCTGTCCTTAAAATTCTAAAGCCCGTAATTTTGAAACGGAATACGAAAATCCAAGAATTTGTATAGGTGCCACAACTTGAAATCCAAAGGGAAGAGCCATTTTCTTTCTGAAAATATGTTTAAGCACTTTAACTCTACAGTTATGTCTAGAAAAATAGCTATCCGTCAAATAAGGCTCACCAGAGGACTCTATAAACTAAACCCTTCCAGTTGAAAACGTTTATTCACTACCCACTAGGAACGAAAGCTGCTACTTTCTGTTGCAAACTCACTGCAGCTGAATCGCCATATAGTCATTGTTAAGCTAAGATGCACCTCCTCTTCCCTGTGCGTGACGAATGTCAATTAATGAAATATGCAACTCACCAGAGCCTTCAATATCTCTTCTGATGTACTCTTCTGGATTGTCTTCAAAAGCTTCTTCATCAGCCTCTACAAAGATAAACATTTAACGTCGCGTATTTGGTAACTGCCAGGCGCATTTAAGAGGTGCAGCTTTTGGGAGATTTATGCTGTAAAAATATACTTTTTAGGGCTTTTTACAGGCCAAAAAAGGTCTCAATTCTACTTGATGCTAATGAGAATTATTTCACATTAAATGTTACTTAACTGCACGAGTTTTAGACCAAAAAGATTGAAAAATTGTAAAAACCTCATTGACAAATAGTTTTTTACTCTATACCCTGTCAACGTTCACTTCAATTCAAAAAATGACTATCGTAGTTAAATCCTTTTGTATAACTGCCCTGAGGTGCTCACAACTTTGGTTCATCGATCTATAGCTTCATGTATTGTTGCAAAGTAGTTTTTGTTAGAAGTGTAGTATATATCTTGTATTTAATTTTCAGTGGAATGTTTAACAAACAAAATTGACTTCAAGGCTGAGTCACCCTTCAAATAAATTATGTGAGGTCAGGGTTAGTTAGCGTATCTGGATGGAAGCTAGCGATTGTGCAACTGGTTGTCAGAGGAAGTGTTAAATCATATAATAGAACAGAACATGGTTAAGAGCGGGGGCATGAAAAACTTTTTATTAAAATTTGTTTTAAGGATACTTCACGAGGAGATTTTCTAGGTATTTCAAGATGATGTTTTGGACATTTTCGGATATGATGGGAAACTTGCGGAACGGTAAAGTTTACTTTTTCTATTTAAAATTGTCCTCAATCCTATGTTTTTACGCCAACAATTTGATTTCATAGTCTATCCAGAATTTAAAAGCTGAATATAGGCTGTAGTAACGAACCTCTAAACTCCATATTGGGTACAATAACCTTTTGGCAAATGCTCTGCAATGTGCCTTCTTCTTTGAACAAATCTTTGTAATGTGGTCGCTCGCAAACTGATGCCAGGAATAAAATCGCATTGCTTACAAGCTGCAAAAAGGAATTTTATAACATTCACTAAATTCATATACACCCATCATAATAATTGAAATAGCTGCTAAGTTGCGGGTCAGTCATATCTTGCTCGATATCGTATAGGCAGGGCTGTACACACTTTAGTGTTCATTGTTTAGTGTACACACTTTTCAAAGATAAAATTTCTTAACAACCTTCTTTGCTTAGATGATACTCAATTATAAAAATTGCTTTCTGAAAAGTGTAATTAAAAGCAAAGGCTTAACATTACAATAAAGGTTGACATTGAAATAATTTAATTTAACAAACAAAACGCTACTGTTGTGAATAACTTTAATTAATGTATGTATTTTTTAAATAAACGATGTTTGATTTCATTTCATACTTCTCTTTGATTGAAAACATTTGCACATTGTCTACTTACTAAGTCATGTTTGACGTCATTGTTTGTAGATGTGAGCAGAGTCCACACGGCTGTGACGAAATCTGGGAGGTAAGGCTAGAAAAAGAAGAAAATTCGATACTGCGTGGAGCTATCCAAAATGTCTTTAAAATAATGTCTTGAGGCTTGGGGAATTTCAGGGAAATTACGAGCAAGATGTGGCGGATTGAGTGTGACATTGCTTTTCAATAACATTGTCACTTTTTATACTATGGGAACCTTTCAACAGAGCAAATACATCCTCGATAAAACATACTTTGAAATCATGGAAAGCAAAAATTGAGTTTATAGGGAGCTCATTGATAAGTTTCAAGAACATAGAATTGCATTTTATGCAGCAAATTTTTGCAGAATATTTTTCAGCAGCTGATGTTCACGACTCCTTGATATAGCATCAATGTTTGCTTTAAATTGACACTGATACTGCTTAAATACCATTTATTACCAATTATCTACATCAGATCTGTATCACATCTTATATTAATTTCTCTGGAGGTATATTACTTTTAAAGTTTGATGTAGTTTAAAGAAATCGTGAAAAAGTGGAAAAATGGCATAGCAAAAATAATATATAATGTTTTTATATTTGCTAGCAAAACTATACCTGGAATTCTTCGTCATATTTCTGCGCATAAAGTGTCACATTATCGCATATCTGCGACCTCAGTTTTTCCAGCGGACCAGCTTCATCAGAGTCCTGCGAGCAAAACAAATCTTTATTGAGTAAAACTTAAAACTCCACCACTTCTAATACATTTAGAGGAATAGAGAATATTACCACTTTAGACTAGCACGAAAAATCACAACGATTTCACTTTTAAATTTGTAATAATCTTCAATGAACGCTCAATTCTATATTAAATTGCAGAAAAAGACCGGAAGGAAGTTGATTAAGATGTGGACAGAAGTGAGCCAAGGGCTTCTTCTTCATGAAGCGAATTAAAATTTTCAAAATGGATTCTTTTGACCTTTGAGCTCTTTTGACATCATGCACATGCTTGAAGGCCTTTCATATATTATATACGCCACGCCCTTTTTTCGAAATTTGTTCGGGTCACGCCCTTTTACAACCACAAAACACCCTTGTGCCAACAGGGAACGTCAATTTTAACTAAAGGGAACGCTGACCTTTTGCTACTTAAAGGCAGTTTGAAAATCATAGCATTACATCACATCACAAAAAGTATGCTGTCAAAATATTGCCCCTTCTAAATGTTTTCTCATCTAATTTAGAGGAGTTACAAAATTGATCCTGCCAAGAAGAACCAGTCCCCCCGTGGCACCGCTACTGTGTATAATAACCAAATAGTCGAATTATATTCAAAAAAGCTGAGAGCTCAATAGCAAAGAATATATTGTAAACATATGAATATGGGGTACACAAACAATACGAAGTAAGAATAAAATTACTTCTGTTTTAAGAACAGCGAAGTCTGTGACAAGCAGAAAATGAAAGTTGGTCATCCATCTTCTCATGTTATCTTCGAAATATTCTGGCAAATCCTGAAACAGAAAAAGTGCAAAAACGTCATCTACTTTCATTACAGCAGAAAAAAATTAGCACAATTGGTTGAATTATTAGAAAATTCTTAAAAGAAACTAATCACTCAAAATATTTTCAATTTCTCTAATAAAGAAAATCGCCACTAAAATTTTATCAGTTTATCAGAACTCAACAAAAAAACACAGCGCATCAATGTATTTATAAAACAAAAAAATTTAAATGTCGAGTTATAATGCTGTTAATGTGTTTTTCACCAAAGAATATATGAAATTAAAATTATGATGACATATTGAAATTAAAATCCAATTATGTCTTCTGCTCTTAAAAAACACGCAGGCTTCTTACCTGATAGTTCAAACTGTAGAACAGCTTTGAAATGATGACAAGAATGTTAAAAGTCTCTTTCAGTTGCTTGGCATTGTTAAGATTAGCCTTCACTGTTTCTAATTGTTTCTGAACAAAAACAGAAAAAGTCATCAGACTGGAGAATATCTTGTAATATCGCATCTCAGCAATGTCAAATATTTGGAAATGCAATGGAAAAGTGAAAACAAAGCAAGCTACAATCCTGGCCAAAAGTTATTGGACTGGCTGGCAAATTGTAATCTTTCTGAAGAAATACGCTCCCCACCCCCTCACAGTCAATGTTGATACGCTTATTTCTGCATATTTCGATCACTGTTGCCTTGGTATTTTCCAGAAAACCAACATTGCTGCAGGGGTGGGGAGTTTTTATAATATTATTGGGGTAAAGTTGCAATTTTAATGGTTTTTTCCATCAGTAATGGTTTTTTTATTCGAGGCTTCCCAGAACCTAAACTTCAGACAACATACCAAGACTCTTTTTTGTACTGCCAGGGAATACGCTCGATAAATTATCAACGAAGGGTGGGGGAGGGAGGTTGAAAAACCTTGTTTTCAAGTCAACAGTACCGAATTAAACTCAAAGCCGTTAATGAATAAGGGGTCACCAGTCCTCCATTACACATTTACGTTCGTGTACACATGGGTGGAGATGCGGCAATGTACCTCAGAAAGTGTTACAAAACATACTTGTGTGTATGTCTACAGGACTCATAGCCATGCTAACTAAGTGATTAATTAAGTTTAAAACAGGCTAGAAGGAGCAATTCAATTGAAGTTGGAACTGATCGTGACAAACTTAGCAGCAATTTTGAAGCAAAAAGTTTTCTGTCCTCACGCATACACTCACAGAAAAATAATCTTAGTACTCTGTTTGTTGTATCGCAACTAACCTCAAAAAGATCGGTCATTGGCGCAGCAAAGTTTTCTAAAACAAACTTTAGTTCCGTCCAAAGCTCTTGCGATTTGAACGAATAACGAAACCTTGGATAGAAATAAAGGTAATAATAATTATATTAACCCTGCTGGCAGCAGACAAAACCTAAATGCTGTAATCGAAGAACCGAAAACGCAAACGATTGGAGATGTAAACTTTGTTTTGAAAGTTCAGGAAAAGAAAGGTAATTGTAGTTCGCAGTACTGAGTTAAATGCATTTTTTCCTTGCATTGCATTTGGCTTCTTCAAAGTTGACAGTTGCCTCTAATTTGCTACTACAGGAACTGACGGACAGCTGGATACGAACCCCGGACTTTCAGGACACTAAGGACCCATTTACACTGTCCCGTGCAAGTTTGGAGCCGTGACAAAACTATCGCGATTTGCTTTTCTGTTTACATTATTGCTGTGCAACCGAGACGATTTTTCTCTACTGTCCGCAAAAGTTCTGATCCTGCTACAAAAGTGAACGAATTTTGTACCGTCACAGTTCCGTTTTTGAACGGGACAGTGTAAACGGGGCCTACGTTGACGAGGAGCAAATGCTGGCAATCTGGAAACAATTTCATAACAATATATTGTTCCTTGTGGTTAATTGTAGTTCTTACCTTTTGAACAATGAATGAGCCGTTTGCAAAATTCCGTTCACTTCATGAGGCTGTCCTGTTTGGATCCTTTGAATCATTTCCTGATAAAAACAATCCAGAAGTTCATAGAGCCATCTAATAAATTTCCATAATGTAGAAATTTTGCAAAAAAGTATAAAAAACTACCCTACATCACCTATATCATAAACAAACAACATACTGGTTGCAGAGTAAATTTTAATGAGCTTCTAGTAGGACCATAAACATTTGTTAGCAGTGCACAGAATGTCTGCTAAAATATTTAATCATATTAATAGACAAATTCTTGCCTATTTACGAAAGAACTAGCTTTTGAGAGACCATAAAGAGGAATTCCTTGCTCATTTCAAAGCTAGCTTCCATTATACAGAGGGATGAAAAGACTGAAATAGCCATTGCATGAATGACATTGTAAACAAAATTCAATATGATTAAAAACAACAGATATATAATCTTGTTCTGTTGGTACACAATTAGAGATTCTCCGGCAAAAGATATGTTACCGACTTGTTCACAAACACAAAGTTCTAAATTCATCTTTTAAAATTCAGTGACGAAATAAAAAATCGATGAAATCTAATAATTATTGTGGATTTTCTTCAAAATTGCAAGAAGTAGCCTTAGTAATATCAAAAAAGGTTAAAGACACAATTCGAAGCCTAACACAAAAAAGAAAAGTATATGAGGAATAATAAATTATAATGTGCATTGTTTTTAGATGGCTTACAGGTAGGAGGTTTTGCCACTTCTCTGGAAAATCTTCTCTTCCAATTATGCTGATAGCATCACTAAGCTGAGGAAGAAAAAAACAAATTCTTAAACTCAATTAAATTTTTTTCATATGATGTAACGTAAAAGTAACAACTTAATTTGCATTATTTGCAAATCTAGGGAAAGCATAGCTTATCAAGCTTTGGCCACTTATATCAAGTTATAAATGTTCAAAACAACACATAAAAAGACTTCAAAGAAGCCAAAAAAAGGAATACTAGAATCCAGGTTAAGTAATATTTACATTTATAAACGCTATGCTTTAGAGATAATAAACTTATATATTAATTACTACATATGTATTTATTTATGAACCTTATGTGTTTTAACAACCACTAAAAAAGACTGCATAGAAGCTAAACAAAAATTAAAATACTAAGACCCTGACTAATTAATATTTACAGTTATAAACAATATGCTTCAAGGAACAGTAAACATTTTAATTATATACTATATATGTATTTATTTAGGAACCAATCTTGTGTCTAATAAAGAATGAGTGATTTTTTTTATTGATATTATAACATTACTTGAAAGCAGTTTCAACATTATTTCTAAACATTAAAACAAAAACTTTACAGCATATATATATATATATATCAAAATAAATATCAAAAAATATACAGCTGTTGAAATTCAGTGATCTTTGAAAAAAGATTAGCAAAGAACTTAAATAACAACACTTATAATAGTTATATATGAGGTTAATACCTGTCTTTGAAGTGCTTCTGGGTTCTTCAGCATTAAACTGACTATCAGCTGCTTAACTAAAAATATTTGTAAGAAATTAACTCTTTATGAAAAACCTCAAACATTATCTTTCCTTTCTATCGTTTTCGATTGTCAAAAAAATACCAAAGCATTTTTAAAACATTTTGATTGCTTGTGAACCTGACATTGAAAATATATTCAAAGTATCAAATATTTGTGGAAGAATATCTGATGTTTCCCAAAATTTTAAAAATACCTAACATTTTAATTGAATTTTAATCAGATAACAAATATCATCCAGAGGAAGGGAGAGATAAGTTTGTGATGACATTGAATACTTGAGAAGAAACTAAAATCATGGGGTTACAAAGTTTTGAATTTGTTGATTGATTCGTTTTAACTTTTTCAAAAGAGATTGTAAATTTGGGTACATAATGATGAAGATTCTATGATTTAAAATGTAAAAATATAAAATGACAACCGAAGCAGTTCAAGGTGAAAACCTATTTGAAAATGATCAAGCACAACCATTTCTTGCTTAATATCTTGCTTGCATAATGAATTGATAAAAAATAATGTGTAGCTGTACATGAAATACTACAAACATGAAGAAATGTCATACTTGATAAACGATCTGCATCACAAATTTTGTTTGCTTCTCCTTCAACCTACAGTAAAAATAATGATATTTGGTCATCTGGCAAATTATGCTGCTGGTTTTAAAGAATGGGAGAAGAAAACAAAAATCAAAACAAATAACAAAATCAAGAAAAGCACAAGGAACAATAAACATATTAATTACTATAGATGAGACAGGAACAAACTGCTGGCAGATAATTGCCCCGTAAGTGTCACATGAGAACATTCTTCAGAGTTGTAGGTAATAACAGTAAAATGTCGTGTTTACAGGTAGAAAAACCAGCATAGTAAGCTACTTGTCATTCAGGAATTTATAATGAAAAATGCCAAACAGTTTAGCATACAAAGAAATAATGACAGACAGGATGTTTTAGAATGGAATACATACGATTCGCCAGTTTCTTTTCACATAGTTCTTGAAATTGACTGCTGCCGCTACCCTGATATACATTTCACACTCAGGGCTATCCAGCAATTTTAAAAGCAGCAAACCATAATTTGGGACACCTTCCACAGAGTGCAAGTAATCTTCAGCTGAAAATCAAGAAAAATGTTTTTCAAAACTCTATGCATCTTTCACAGCAATGAAAATATGTTCTTTATTTCCTTGCTAAGGATGTGTATAATCGACAATCTGCTGCAGAAGGGGTTGATATTGGGCATTCTTTTTACACTTCTCTGAATGACAGGGTTTACTTGCAAGCAAGCAAGAAAGTTTTTAGTTGTTGAGGCGGCTAATAGCAGATGTGAAACTATGGCCTGTTTTCCCAGAATGCTGTGCTAGCAAATACCATGTGTTTTCATTTACCAACCTCAGAAGGCTGCACAGCTGAGTTAGCTGAAGGTTTGGGAAAAAGATTTCAACAGGACTCAAAACCCATTATATCCAGATTATGTGCTTATTGTTTTGGCCACTTATCCATGCAACCATGGTGTAGCGCATTCAAACTGAACTGTAATGCAACATGGACAGAGAGGCACATAGATTGTCTCAGATCTCAGGTCTAATTTTCAATTTTCATATTCTTACAACAAAAGGTCCTTCAAAATAAAACTACTTTGACAATAGTAGCCTTTCAATTTGATTTCAAAAAACCTCCAATACTATGAACTGAATAACATGTTAAATTTTTGACAGCAAAATGTGGTCAACATTGGTTTGTAGTTGTTGATGAATAAAAATGCAGACAACTACATAAATCAATGAAGTATAATACTTGGTGACCTGGCTTAAAGCATTTTAATCTTGAGGTCAGATATACACATAACAAGAATTTGCGATCTTCTGCATAAGATCTACTAATGGCATAGCTATATGTGAACCACTGCAAAGGTGGGAATGTGTTCTCCATAAATAGTTTTTGTGATGTCTGTGCATTTTTTTAAATTTGGATTTATCTGCGCAGTTGCAGCACAGATATCGTGTGAAGCCCGGCCATAGCATTACCATGCCAGACTGGAAATTACATGCCTGCAATATATTGCCCACGTACTTAAAAGACCAATTTCTTAAAAGTTCGTGATTTCAGGCACGCAGTTGTGCAGTCAGGCGCGTGAACTTGCCTGTGCATGAAACAAAGTTTCCAGTCTGGTTACCATGAGGCTTACAAATGCTACTCAAAAACAGAATTCTACATTACTGTTTTGCAACATTATCTGTTCCCGTACAAGCATAAATAAGCAGCAGTAAAAACTTCATGTGACCAAAAAACACTTTCTCTCTGGAATGTGTATCAGTCAATTTCCATCCCACTAGCAGTCTGCTGTTTGTGGTAGTTTTCATTAAATATTGGGGTTTGCATTTGTGCCACAGATAACTGCTACCAGCAGAAATGTCTTACAGAGTTCTTAGGTACATTTTACTGCTTTCGTTTAGGAGAGAGCAAACACTTTCTCGAAGCTTCTGGACACATGCATTCAACTAACAATCGATAAAAGTTTATGTTCTAATTTGAAGCTTATCTGGAGTTAAGACATTGACATCATTTCTAGATATGCAAAAGTTTGAAATAGCTCCTAGAAGTTTTATCACAGAAAGAAATGACTGACTTAATAAATTTCATTCTGTTCTGTTGTTCATAGGTTCTACAAACACGAGCCATCAGACAAATTCGAAATTGACAGTCCTTACCTTTCTTTCGCTCTTGTTTTTCTGTTGAAAGTGTTGCTTGAAGACAAACTGATAACTCTTGCAGTGTTTGAGGGTTTAAATCTAGAGCAGCTTGCGACATTTCGAGCTGTGAATAATTCAGGAACTTTACACATCATGGGGTAGGGAAATTAAAGAATAAATTGATGAAGAGTAACTTACATGCTTATCAAGCATAAAGAACTTGCTAAAGAAAAAACTCAAGCCTTAATATGATTCGTTTTGAATATATATTTACCGTTAGATAACGTTCTCCAGTATAACTTCTGATCTTATTTTAGCAAATTGTCCCGAACGTGCACAGGCTTCGCTTAGGCCGTTCTATTCCTCCCGCCAAAAACATGCGCAGCACTGATAACCGCTGACCTGCTCCGCACGTTAATGACGTCATACATTAAAATCACGAAGTTTAAAATAATAATACAATTTTCTATCAACGTTTCTATATGACAACATTAAGAGAAAGCATTGCAATGCAAAATATATTTAGTGCCTAATTTCATCAAAAACCACAATATCTCTTCCCTGACCGAACCTAAGACAAATTTTTGCTAGCCACATTCTTTATTTTCGTATCAGGTATATTCAAGAATTCAAATTCCTTAAAAGGGTTAATAGATTTTGAGTTACGGGGACGTGCAATTATTTAGGGGAACCTTTTTTCTGAAAAGGGCGGAATTATTGGAATCAGTTTTTGAAATATGTGCAGAATTATGGGTACCATTTGAAAAACATGCAATGGGCACCATTTTGGGGAAATGTTGTAAAATTATTATGAAGGAAATTTAGCATAAAAAATGAATGTCCAGTTAGAAATGAAAGTATGAAATTGATTGAGACTTTGGATACTTGATAATAGAATTGATAATAAATACCATGACAAAGAAAAAATACATAATGTTTGAAACATTCGACAACTTCTTGTTACATCATGACAATCCGATAAATAAACAAATCCGGCAGTAGACAATTCCTTGTTGTACCATTAAATAGACAAGGCCATTATATTAAATTAAATTTAACGTTTCGACTCTAGCTAGAGTCATCTTCAGTATATAATAACGGGGGTGAAAAAACAACTATAAATATGGAAAGCTTAAACAAAGGGGTCATATCCTATGTGATGAAGCAGTACGCTAAAGGAGCAACCAGGACGCGAGAGAAGACACAAGAAATAATAAACAACCCAGAGAGATGAACAAGGAATAAAGACACACCAAAGAAAACAATGCAATGAATGAAATTGGTGGGCAATGTTGAGATTCCGGGGCCGAGGACATACGAAATTTGTTTAATGATTTTGTTGCGGCTTGAGAAAAGTTTATCGCCTTGCGGAATTATGGGTATAGTTTTTAATCATATGGGTCGCATTTTTCAGACATGTGCGGGATGATGGGTTCAAATTTCGAACCAAAATGGTACGCCCCCGTCCAAAACAAAGCAAGGCCCCCATTCCCTCTACATATCAGTCCTTGTGTGTCTCCTTACCTGAACAAATGAGATCATAGAAGTGACGTCAGTTTGCTTTGAGTGATTAAATGAAATGTGACTTTTTCTACATGTGAATATTAAGACCCACAATTTGAACTGACTTAACAAATTCTATAAATGGCTAATTTCATTTAAATTCACTCATAGAATGTGAAACCGAAAGAGGAAACAATCGTAAAGATGGCATCTATAAAATGTATAATAACTGTTCCATGACATTTTTTGCCATTTAAATGGCTATGTTGAAAACATGGAATGTTGGAATGTTGGAATGCTGGAATGTTGGAATATGAATAGAAGAAAGTTAGCCTTTGCAAGGTAATGCCTTCCTATACGATACGTTTTCGTATCAACGAACCCAAATTAAACACAAATATTTATGTTAGCATGTAGTTATATAGTTATATAAGTTTTACATTCCAACATTCCAACTCCAGCATTCCAACAATCCAGCATTCCAACATTCCATGTTTTCAAGATAGCCCCATTTAAATGCTTTATAGTTGAATCTGTTACTATTTTAAATGTCAAGTCAGTCTGAGAGATCCAGTATTATTTCTGGCAAACATTTTGTCACAAAGGTGAGGCTAAAACAGAAACATCCAATTCGATATATTGAATTATTTTTCTTTATCAAAAAGCAATAGAAAATATATTTACAGTATTTAAAAGGTTTGTTATTATTGAAATCTCATATATCTGCTGGTTTTTTCTTCCTTAACTTCTTGGTTTTCTCCAATTTCACGGTTTCCAATTCAAGTTGAGAAAGTTCTGATATTCTTGCTAAAAATGATTTGCTAGCTTTGAAGAGAGGATCAGGATAGTCGCTTGCTGCAAAAAAGGAAAATACTCTAAGCTGGATGATAACATTGTTAACATCGATTACACCCCAGTGTAAAAATCCCGGTGAAAATTGCAGGGGCGGATCGAGACATTCTCAGCATTCTCAATTGACAATGTCAGATTTTCCCAGCTTGGTTATTCTAAATATAATGCTAAAAGTGATGAATAAGCTCAGGTTCAAGGTTCAAGATTAGCATTTCTTATTTATCATATGTATAAGGTATTCATTTCTACACATTAGCTTTATTTGATATAACTCCATTCTACTTTTGCGAAACATTTTTAGAACTTCTCCGGTGAAACACCAAATTCTCCTTTATTGAAGTACCCAAGAGAGTTTTGATAAGATGACATTACATTTGTCTATTCTTTTTAGAATAAAAGACGATTGTCTTCCAAAAATATTGGGAGTCAACTGGCTCCCTTCATCCCTCCTTGCTGTCTGCCACTTTTTATGTTTGTTTCTATTGCTCCTCTTAAACGAATGATAGTTTTTTATCATTACACCCCTAAAGCATTGAAATCAATTTATTGGGCGTTTCTGGGAAATAAACGTGGCCCTTTGGTCATAATGGGTTTTGAGAACATCATATTTTTGTCTGGATCCGCCCCTGGAAAATTGTCCCCTGTGAAAGGTTCACCGACCCGAGCATCTTCATTTCCCCATGTCCTCTCCAAGCTAACATCTTTTAACTCGAGAGTCTACAGCTCCCTCTTAGGCACGATGTCCCATCCCCTGCCAGTCCAAAACAAATTTTACTACCTTTGTCAAATAGCAAATTCTACGTTGAGGAACAAATCATTTCGTTCCCTTTTAATTGATCATCTACATAAAAATTCTAAAAAGGTACAGAAACATGCTAAACTAATTGCTCTTCAACTCTTGTGACGAACAAATCCCGGTTGTCTTTAAACATGAAAAGTGGAGCATAGGAAAGGTTTGAGAATAAGAAGGCTTCCTTTTCATGGAGCTATTTCCTATATAATAAGGAATGGAAAGGTTTTATCAACCTTACTAGTAAACAGGGTGTTGCAGGAGTGTCTATAAGAAATGCAAATTTGAGACTCTTTTTTAGTAACTGATACAAAGCTGTTTTGGTTGATTGAAAAAGTTTGTATTGAAAACTTTGAAAATTGTGGCAAAAAAATTATTTCGATAATTTTGATAAAATAAATAATATTAACATTGGCTTTGAAAAAAGTTAATAACTTGAAACATACTAAGTTTTTTCGTCTGAAACTCTTCAGAGTATAAAACGTCAGAACATAGGTCAAAAACTGTAAGTTAGGAAATATATATATACTCTGTGGTGGATCAAAATAAGCCAATCAGAAATGCGAGCATATGACTGACTGTAAAGGTTGTCCAATCAGTGCCGCTTGACTTTTGGAAATATAATATTGTGTAACTCTCTTTGCCTTTATAACACAATACCTCTGGGGATTGTCAATAGCTTAAAATGTGTGGTCTTTCAATCCTTGGGAATTTTTTATTTCAAAATCGTCTCCTTCATCGGTATTCATTAGGAAAAGTTCTGCTTCACGATCACACGGCTTACATCGATGTAGTTGATCAACACTACATTATTTATCTAATAAGAAACTTTGACCCTGATTTGAAGTTTATCTCATCCTTTAACAAAAGCATCTGAACTGAACTTGAAAAATTTGCTTGTTAATATGCGGGGTTCTACTGTATCGAGTTTTGGAGAATCTGTCCAGCAATTCTAACATCACATAATCCAATAAAACAAAATGTTACATTTCACTTGATTTTATTCAAAAGTTGCTGATTAGAAATCATCGATTGACAAGACTTACCACGATTTGGAAGATCAGGCTGTTTGGATTTCCATCTGAAAAAAGATTTTGTTGATTTAAATGATCGTACTGCCATAGAATACGAAAAATGCAAGAAGAGAATGAGCGAATAAATGCTTCATCAGATGTTAACGAGAATTAAAAGACCTGTTTGTAAACACTTAGAAATATCCTGCATTGACATTAAGAGCAACCTTGGACTGAAACTACGAGTTACCATGGATTGATCTTAGAGTCACCCTGGGTTAATACTAACATTTACCTTGGATTGTCACTAAGATTTACTTAGGATTGACACTATGAGCTACCTTGGACTGACACGAAAAATGACCCTGGTTCACAGTATGTGTTACTTTGGATTGTTCCTATGACGTGTAATCCGGGGTGGACATCAAGAGTTACCAAGGTTTGACGCATTGAATCGTGCTGGATCCACAATAAGAGTTACCTTGGATTGATCACAGAACTACTCTAGGTAAGCACTAAAAGTTACCATGGATTAACACTGAGAGCTATCTACACAAAGAATATTCCTGGATTTACAGAAAGAGTGACCTTAGATTGACACTCAGAGTTACCTTGGATTTGATCCTGCAAAAGTCTTGGAGGCCTTTCTCGTCCTAGTCAACTGCTGGGTTTTCAGCGAAGCTTTGTTGACTGCGTCAAGTTTCTCTGGCCTGTAACTCATTATTGTGAATGGCGCTGCAATTTCTACAGAAACGTCCTTTTTCAACTGCGAAGGAGCTTTCAGAGGAGCTTTTAGTCTCGTCTGGGACTGCAGTAAGCTAGGCAGGTTGAAGTTAGCATTGTTGGCAAATAGTTTGCTTGTAGGGTCACTGAAATATAGAAAAGTGAATAAGAGGTACATGTAATACAAACCGAGGCTGACATGTTATTAAAATGGCCGACCATCAACATAGTCATCATTTTGAGATTTTCAAGGACTTGACAAGACTAAACGTTGCTTTTTTCTTACACAAACACATGCTACAGTGTAAAGAACAGGACGGTTCTAATTTGCAACTCCAAATTTTACGTTCGTATGTTTCCAGGCATATAAAATTTTGACTAGCTTTCAATGCTTGGACTAGATCCATACAGACTATAATTGTATGGCAAAATTTTCACTGCAACAGTTTTTAAAACTGTGAAACAATCATTCTTTAGTTTTTATTCTGTGGCGGAATATTTGTTAAGAAATTTGTTTAACTGTGGTCTCACTTTTCCTCTCCTTTACCAGCTAATTGCCAGTGATTCGAAACACAGTCAAAACCATTTGCATTATTTCATACATTAAAAAGCTATGGTTCTTACAACATGTACACTTACCCCCGTATCACGGAAATGCGCTTGAGGAAAATAATAGCATCAGGCAGAGAGAAAGGGGGTTGACATGACTGGCAATAAAAGTAGCAAATTCGAGGTATTTTGGATTAGGTAAATCAGCCTGTTTAAGGCAACATTGGTTGCAGTTTATTGAACTTGGAAAAGGTTTTTGTATTGGGATTTAATCAGTGGGCTGGGCCAAAGACTATTTCAGATGAAACAAAACAAAAGAAGCATAACTAGAATGGAAATTTGAATGTTTTTTAGTGATGAAATGACAGAAATAGTGAAGAATGGATGCGAGAAACGGTGATTTTTTATTCAAAGGACACTGGACAATATGAATATTCTTTGAATTTAGTAAAGGTGGAAAACAAACTCTTTAATGAAGGAGATCACTAATAAAATTTAATCGTTCTAGTAATTTCGTAAGGGAAAGGTGGAATTTGCTTTTCCTGGCTATAGCCATCGACAGCCCCTTGAAATCTTCCAGTTACATTGTTGGGTGAAAAGTATAAGTAAGCCCTCACTTTTCTAGGAGAAATGAGGGCTTTTCTACAGCAAAGCTACAATAGCAAGAAAGGTGGCCATTGACATGAAAAATATAAATAACGAGGCTTTGATTTCTGCAATGAGGAAAAGCGAGATGAGAGTGCACGGTGCTCGTTTATTTGAAGATAGCTCGTATTGCATATGTTCTTATAGGAGACTCAATCTCGATGCCACAGGAAAAAAGGGTTAAATATGCTAACAACCTCTGAATCTTGAGGGTTTTTCGCATGGTGCTTACCCAGCATTAAATGAAACTTCAAGAACAAAACCTTACAATCTATAAGTAGAGAGAACACCTTAGGAATACACAAACTGAATTACAGAACTAAATAAGTTTTTGTACCGCAAAATTTGACGACGGCACGAAGTGACGGAAATATTACTAATTAAGTACCTTTCGTCCGACACTCTTAAGAGTATTAACGTCAGATAATTACCGAAATTAGGCAGATAATTTATATCTAGGTAAATGATAATTGCAACCAATACATCTCCCACACAAACACTCAAAGTAGCTAAATGATAGAGTTATAAAACTCCGGAAGGGTTAAGAACATTCAGCTCCCTGAAAAATCTTGCTCAAACTTGCGACATATTAGGATCCTCTCTTTGATGTAAACCAAGACATTACTTGAACAAAAAGCAGGTGCGTAACTGCAATTTTCTTCGCAAAAAGGGTATTTGTTGGCTGTTTGGGGCCAATGTGTCCACAGGCCCTTCGTAGTGTGTCATACTTTATCGATCATACTCTACAGCCCCTTTGAATTTCGGCTGCAGCATTCTTTGGAAAAGGCGAGTTCAATGATAGTAACCCACACTGAAAAACCCTTCTTCTACCTAAAGGCTTTGAGGTGGAAAAACATCCAATGATGTAGCAAACATGAACAAATAGCGAGGTAAAAGCGAAGTTAACAGACTTACAAAAAAGTGAAGAAGCTCTTTTTGGCTTAATAAAATAGGAATTCCTAAAGGAAGACACTGATTTGTTTTGAAACATAGCAGCTAGAGCATTGATCGCTTGCTGTCGATATATGAGTGTCGATGTAAAATATGATATAAACGAGTGGATGTCTAGCATGCCTGGCGTAATTTAACGCTGGTATTTGAGCATATGCTCGTTTAAAATCAATGGCATTTAAAATGTAAACAGATAAGATAGGTTAGCTTGCAAATGAGGTAAGCAAACATAGATGAACTTTTTGAAATCCCCGAATTCGCTAGATCATGGAGTTAGTTCCTTCTACATTGACAAGGCCGGCAAGATACTAACAAGATATAATGATAATCACAAGATGTGAAAAAATAAAGTATTCTTTATACCTATCTTCCAGGTGAATGATATTGAAATGATGCGAAGACTGGCCCGGATATTCAACAGCAAAGACGATTCTAAGCTGCTGCTTTTTCATGTTCGATCAGACATAATTCAAGGATGGCGCAACCAGGCAACCTGCTTAAGCTCTACAAACATGCAACAATGCTAGTGCAGCGATGAACATTAAAACTTAATAGTGGTTAGAAGATTACTTTAAAGCGTGCAAGCGCTTTTTGGATTTGCATTTAATAGCTTCCTCAATGTCGGTTTTTACTTTAAGGTGTTATTGAAGAATCATTTGTGATGGTCGTTGATTGGAAAAGTGACATTGAATGTGCTAAGGAGCTTTCATAACGCGAGGAAAGTTGATGATGGGAAAGAAGAAGAAGAGGGAGGCAGGGAAAATGCAGGAAGCGGATAGCAGTGATTAACAGCAAAGCTAGCATATTTTTTGGCAAATAATGAAATTGAAAATGAGATAAATTCTTGTGCGAACATATTTTTGTATGGTCACAATTAGAAGTAGGCTGTTTTGATTGACAGCCCTGGATCAGAATGCTCGGAAATTAACTGTGTTATATGTATACAAATGAGATTTCATTAACGCAGCATTGTAAGATGAATAGAGGCATAGTCATGAAACTTGTAGCTGATGTTCGCTTTTTCAGAATCCATTGAAAAAATTCAGAAAATTTTGAAAAGGGAATACAGCTTGACCTTTATCGATTGCTCGCAAAATTAATCGGCGTAGACTTTGACGTCAGCAAAAATGGCGGCCTTCAATTGAACAAAACTTGAAAACGGGTTTATATCATACACATTTCATGCTGCTATTGTATTGATTTTATAAAGGAACGGAACACAATTCACAGAGCACCATTTCCAAGGGGCAAGTAATGCAAAAGTCAGGGCAGTGGCATGCCCCGACAGGACATGAATGGGGAATTGAAGCGTCCCTTCCCTCCACTAGCTTACAGGTCCAGCCTGAAGCCCGGTTCATAGTCGATGCATTACATCAAAACTTATACCCGTACGCCATATTTCTCTGCGTGAGGCGCCAGCTTGTCTGGTGTCGGCTTGTCACAGAACTAGCGTGCGCTAAATTTCGCCCCATATCAGAGGCATAAGTTTTGCGTACGGAAGTTTATTCTATTTTCCGCAAACCCGTATGCCTTGAACTTATCGAGTTGAGAAATCTTCAACTTTTTTATCACTCCGTACGGAAAATTTGATAGCAATGGCCGACTTTGAAGCGAAGCTATGTGAAGAGGTGCAGAAATACCCCCATCTTTACGATTCCTCGCTAAGGGAACACAAGGATTCAGGGCGAGTATCTAATTCGTGGTCAGAAATTGCCTCGACATTAGAAACACCCATTGATATTTGCAAAAAGAAATGGCGATATATACGGGAACAGTACGTTAAATGTAAAAAAACTGCGAAGGAGAAGAGTGGAGACGGAAGAAAGGGGAAGTCGAAGTACGATGCACTTTTGGAATGGCTGTCACCCTTTGTAAAGCACAGACAGTCAGACACAAACATCACTGAGTAAGTAGCTAAATCTTAAGCTATTTGACTTGATTTTTAGCTCTTTATTATGAATTTGTTTAACAAAAGTTTTGGGAAATCTATTTCGCTTGTCATTGCTAATCAAAAACTTCATAAACTCAACAATCTTTCATTTTTTTACTAGACATTCTCAGCAAACGACAACATTTTTGTCCTTAGAAAAATTGCACAAATGAGTCAAAATAATATATAGATAAGTAAAAAGAGATGATAGTTGGTTACTTGAACTTTGAGGTTTTTTATCATTGCTGCAGCATTATCTTATCATCCCTTGTCCTTTTTTATCATTCATTTTAATTTTCATCTATCTGCAGTTTTTAATTCGAAAGGATGGTAATAATTGTGTGATGATTTTTTATTGCTAAAATTACACGCTAAATTATGAAAGATATGGTTAAACAGTTGCCTTTTTCAGTGACCAAGACCAAGACCTTGATCAATCTGACCGCGAAGTGTCTGAAATCGCGTCTCATTCCTCGTGTCCTTCCCCAACTCAATCTTTGCAAGGACGCCAGTCCCCTTTTGTCAGTGAATCAAAGGTAAGGCCCTTTATGTATATTGTCGTCAGCTAAAGTATAGAACTAGTTCAAGAAATGCAGATTTGTGACAATTAAAAGAGGTAAAAATGCTACAAAACTGTCATGTTGGGCAAATTCCAATTAAATACTATCAACGATCATTTCAGTTATAAATAAACAGTATAAAATTATTATTGAATCATGAATCATAAGAATTTAGAAATCAAGCTGCAAATTGATGGCACACAAAGCTTGTATTTTCACAGGTTCTCACAAGCAAGAAGAGAAAAGTACTCCATGACCCGATTGATGAAGCCATTTTAAGGTCATTGTCAACGGAAAATGATGAGGCCAACAACTTCGCAAAAGTCGTGGCTGATTCCATTAGAAAGATGCCAAGACGAGCTCAGTTGATTGTCAAAAAGAAAATTACAGACATTATTTTTGATGCTGAGCTACAGTTGTGCAACACTCCAACTGAAAGTACAACGGAGATTGGAGATTTTTCCCAAGCCACTTTCTCTTCTCTAGACAACCAAGCAAACAACCAGTCCTCGGAGTCAACATATCAAATTTACCCCAGTTTCACGTCTTCGCTTCAGTAAAAAAATTTTTGCAAGTTTTTGCAAAAAGTTGTAAAATGAATATTTAAAATCTTTTAACCTCACCTATTCTCTCTAATGAGCACCTTAGTGCTCATTATAGTCTTGGCCTCAGAGAGGAGGCGCTCATTAGCGAGCGGTGCCTATTAGAAAGGGCGTTGCTTAAAAAAAGAAATCCAAAAATAAAAGTCAAAGTTTTAAAATACAAACGAACTGAAAGAACTGAATTTTCCCAATTGATCAACCTAGATTTTATTGAACATACGTTTAACTGATGACTGTTGCGATGATTTGCTGGTCTCCATCTGTTTTTATGATCTTCAGGAGTGCTCAATGGAGAAGGGCGTTTATTGGAAAGGGAGCGTTCATTGGAGAGGGGGCGTTCATTGGAGAGGGGGCGCTCATTAGATAGAATACGGTATTTATGATCAGTTTAAGATAAGTAATTAATCGGGAAGAAACATAAGCTTAATTACCAAATTTATGTTGCAGATAATTTCAATTTCTTAATGATTTTCTGTATTTACAGGCGAATGAACAGTTGAATCAAATTAATATATCTTTATGAATCATATTGCTATTTTTGCTGTTATTGTTATCAATCAGATAAAAGGTGTCGTCCCGTGTTTTAGTAATTATTTCTGAAGTCGTCCTCTACGAACGACAGTTTCTTGCCAAGGTACGCTTCCTTCATCGGTCAAGAAAAAATCTTTTAGCTGTTCTCTATATTTTGTAGCTTGTTTCGATGACATATTGCTACCAACTCGATTTATTGCACGGATACTGTTTGCTTGTATTTCTCTCCATGTCCCTGGCACAACGTCACCCTGTAGTTCTTGGTCAACCAGCGTTGGAGGCACATATCGGGCTTTTGGCGTATTTTGAAAATCTGTTTTTGCTAAATAATTGTGTAATGCAATACATGCTTTCGTTATTGTCACACTATTTTCTGGATTGGCTTCAATTGTGCGACCAAAAACTCTCCAGCGGGCTGACAAGATTCCAAAAGCATTTTCAGAAATTCGACGTGCTCGTGAATGTCTATAGTTATAGACCTTCTTTTCATCGGATAATTCTGAGCCTGAAAATTAATTTTGGAAATTTTGAATTTTTAGGCTACATCCTTTTAGGATATAAATGTTTCTGGAAGGGTGTATTTCTCGTTTGGGACGATGGAAACTTAAAAGCTAGATCAATGAAAATCTGATTGCCGAGAGCACGTCAAAAACGTATGGGGATATCTGTTCTGAACCTGGCAGTGCACTGGGTGCTGGAAGGTCCAATGTCCCTGCGTTTAGTTTCTTTCCAAATACTGAATTTGCAAGGACGCCTCCGTCGCTTTGCCTGCCGTAAGCACCAATATCTACCATCACGAATGAGTATGTGGCATCAACTACAGCTAGAAGTACTATGGAGTTGAGCCCTTTGTAGTTGTAATAGTCACTTCCTGCATTTGCCGGTGCCTTTATTGCAATGTGCTTTCCATCTATGGCTCCTAGGCAATGAGGATAATTCCAATATTTCCAGAAATCGTTTGCGATCTCTTTCCATTTTTGCTCATCAGGAAAGCTTAGGAATTCGCTTGAGAGTGTATCCCAAATAGCGCGGCATGTATGGTAAATGATTTGATTTACTGTCGATTTACCGTATCGACCTGTGATGGCTAGGTTTTGCTGTGCATCTCCATGAGCAAGGTATCGTAAAGTGAGCACCAGTCTTTCGTCGGCTGATATAGGATACCTGTGATTCTTTCCGAACGTTAACTTTTCCTTCAATCTACTAAGCAGATCGTTATATCGTTCTTTTGACATTCTGAAAAATTGAAAATGCCTTTCTTCGTCCATCGAACGCAAATCATTGACTAGGATCGCGTATTCCCCGCGCACGTTTCTCAAAGAATTCAAAGGCCGAATATACGACCGCGTTTTGTTGCTCCTTTTCTTTCTTCGCCGAGCAAGTAGAAGGGCAAGTAGAACCTTCCTCGACGGCATATCCGGAAACTATGAACCGAAAAAACTTATGGCGTATCGTTTCAAGCTTCCCGCATGGACATGCGGAAAACGTACGAGCTTACGCTTTTGCCATAGGCAAGATGAAAAGGCGTACGCTTCAAAGCTTACCCTTGTGCGGAGTTTAGCGTACGCTAATAAGTTCAGAACTATGACCCGACTGTTACCACCTGGCAGGGTTCCCTAGCTCAGGGCTACGAGCGATGGCCAGCGGCTAACTCGGCGGGAGACCGGCAAGGAGGGCGGATGAGCTACAACTCCAGGGGTCAACGGCTTCGGGCGGAAGAACTCCCGGAAAGAGGGATGGGATGGTGTCCCTTTAAAAACACTGCAGAGGTGGTTCTGGGGGCCCATCTCTACTATTAGCCCCTTAGTTTTATCTATGACCATTACAACAAACCAAAACTCAGATTTTGGGATAGTTGGAGGGTCATGGTACCTTCTGATAGAAGATGGTACCTGATGATGATGAATGCAAAAGTAGCTTGGTTCACCAAAGATAAAGTTCACATCGAACAATGGTATTACTGAAGCTGGTTTGGCCCAACAACAATCTTTGTCTTTCTCTCTACAGCACGCGGGATGGTTGTTCATACAGACTGAATGGATTTAAATATATCCATTCAGTGAATTGGTGAATCCCCAGGCCTTATGCCCGGTTCTATTTGGATCCTAATCTAACCATTTTCCATCTCAAGATTTTGCTTGGCGTGTCTAATTTGCTGAAATATATATCTTCAAAAACGCCGATAAGAATCAGCTCAAACAGGGGATTGCAGACCAAGTTGCGTGGGATTTTAACCCAACAAAGAAGTCGATTTCCTTCTCCATTCAGGTGCTTAGGTTGTAAAACTGAACATCAAAATAAGAAGTCGTTGTAGTATCCTGCTTCAAGCCATCTAGGACATTTGGCCTTGCATTGATACTGATCATCCAGTATATTACCATCGTAAGAACAACAAATAAAAATCACCATTGCAACCAAACAAAAACGTTTATTTTCCCCTCCATTCAGCATGTGAGTTTTGGATTACACGCTTTTCTTCATTAAAGAACCTGTCGATAACACCGTAGACCAAGAAGTTCCTTAATAGTTCTTTAATTTCAGACTTGGAATCTTCAAGCCTCCAAACCCAAAAAATTATAAATGTTATCCAAGGATTTTCCATACTTTAAATGAGCACACAGATATGATACAAACAATTTTCCTTCAGTGGGAAAAGAAGACATTAGCTTTCAGAACCCAGGCAGCCACTTGACAGGCTATAAACATTTTGCTTTGTTATGCAGTTCGACCAGACCCCTAAATCCTAAATTCAGGATTGAGAGCTTAAGAGCAAAAAAGAAGGGATTAAAAGTCAGTTACAAGCATAAACACACTGATTCTCAGCATGGTTATTCATTTTTATCCTAAGACATGCTTTTTCTGGGATAATGATACCCAGGTGACTACGACATGTATGTTTCTCAGTTAAATAATCCCAGATACAATGACCCATACAAAATCCCACCAGTTTAAGTATACAACTGTTTAGATTGTATGTTCTTGTGCTAAAGCCTTTGTTCATTTAATTCTTTGTGAGACTTATTTTGATTTCGAAATTAAGTGTCCTTTGTAGCATTTAATTGTTTCATTGCCAATCCACTTAAAAAGTTTACTTTCAAAAAATTTAATCTAGATTCCAGGATTTGGTTTTGAAAGGGTTTACAATGCTAAAAATTCAGCAAGAAGAGTGTTTACAAAATATGGATGTACTTTTCTGTAGCAATAACCTTAAGAGGAAGAAACAATTTAGTGCAACATGGACAATAAAAAGCAGTACCAGATTACTATAGCAAGAAAATAACATTCAAACATCATCAACTTTGCTCTAGGATTGACTAAATTGATTGGTCGGATAACTAAATCTATTGACTTTAAAAACAATATCTAGCATAATTAATGAAAGGCAGGATGAGAGAGTCTCTGTGACTTTCACATGATCTGCTGAAAATTTAAATTTTCTATAACCCTTATAAATTGTTTGTTTAATATCTTAGTTAACAAACTAAACATTTCTATGATAGCAATCATTGCATAACTTAACTATACCAGAAATTCTCTACCTTCAAAACAGTGCTTATCAAAATTAAATGTTTAAACAAGTTTATATGTTTTCATCATTAATCTAAAGCTTAAAGCAAAAGGTCTGTAATAGATTGAGCCTTGTTTACAGGCACCACGGAGCAGGGGGCTGGGGGGGCTTTAGCCCTGCCAATTTTTGCAGAAAATGCCAAATATTAAGTATCAAACTACCAGAAAAGCCTCTTTTTATATGGTTTTAGCCCCCCCCACTTTTTAGACCCCCCACTTTTCTCGACGCTCCGCAGTGCCTGGTTTATCAAAAATTTATATCTAGAACTTCACAACTATGGACATAGCTGGACATGAATGAGGATTTGAAGTACACAAACTTTCTGAACTAAAAGGCTGTTTAGAAAAAATATATTGCACATTTCGGTGATCGATGACTTCTGAGATTCACATTGCTTTTGATGAAGCTGGCACCAAGGTATGACTGATTTGACTAACTTTTATAAATGATACACAATTGTTATCTAATTTGTATCTATTTTTCACTCACCCTCCTGTATTTCCATGTCTATAACGGAGAGATATTGTCTTGGCTTCATTCATTGTGTCATATCCTAAGTACAAAAAACTCAAAATTTAGCTATCAAAGTAATGCTTAACTAATAACTTAACTAATAAGTTGGACCTTGATCCAATTTAGTGGGGGATAAAAGTCCACAATGCTACATAATGGACAGAGAATCTTTGATGTTGTTGGTCTTGTGAAGAACACCAACATCCAATATGATTATATCTTTAGGCATGGAGCCATACTTTTGAATCATGTAGTTTTGTACACATGATCTTGTTTTATAGGTTAGCAAAGATTAAGAAAACCAAACTCAACACCTTACCAGCCATTTGTTAATGAGTCATTGCCATATAACAACTGACAGAATTACAAAAACAACATCTTTTAATTACCTGAGTTAATGTTTGAAGTAAACAGAACATCTTCAATGCCACCTTTACAGCTAATCAATCTCTTGATATTACAACAAGGCAGGTATTCTTTGTATCTAGCAATACTAGCACAAAAGATTTTTCCCTCGATAGTCTTTTGTGTCGACAAAAAAGAGCTTCAGCCTTACACAAATAGACCACAAGCAATAACATAATCAACTGTCAAATGTATTTAAGAGTATCAAAGTTTTTCATTGCTCTTACCTAAAACGGGTCAATTTTTAAATGCGCACTTGGATTATCGAAATGTTCCGTGTTTTGATGAAACTACCCAAAAATGACTGATTAAAGGCTCTCCCTCATGCTTTGCTAGAGGCAAAGATGTCATGGTTGATATACCGCCATTGTACTTTATTGCGTAATGCTATTAATATAATAAAAAACTTTGACAAGTTGCATTATGGTTTTAACGACTGAGGTCACGAATCGATCTCATGAGGAAAATTTGTGATACAATGTAATTCATCAAGGGGAAATAAATTATCGCCAAACTTACCAGTTGTGCTTTCTAATACTTTCTTTTGGGCAGCAAACTTTGGTATGACATCAGCATTGAAACTGTGAAATGACAATTTGATGTCTTCTTGCATGTAATTAATGCGAGAAAGCTTAGAACTTCAGTAGCGGCATTTCCGTGAAACTTCAATCCGAGCAGCAAAAATAATTAAGATTACTTTGATCATAAGCGTAAGTTGTTTGTAAACACTTTTCGAACGGGTTCTAAGTCCTTGGACGGTTTTCTTCAATAGTATAAGAAGGATTTCGCTCGCGGTTGTTTCCCTGATTGTCTTTCAATTCACGATTAAAGAAAATCGGTCGCCGCTGCGGTGAGCTAACTAGCCATTTTTTATTTGCAATTTAACCCCGCACCTGCCGTAGTTTCCATAACAACAAAGCCTCACTCGGTGGTTACTGAAACGAGACTAAAACAGAGAAAATGTCTTCTCGCCTTCCCCGGTTTTCAGCCCCTATCTCTTAAATTTATCATTTAATTTCGGCTTAGATATTAGAGATCTAGATGGGCATCCACCCCATAAGCAACTGGGCAAATATAACTTGTTTTATCTACGAAGTTCCTATTTATATTACGACCCGGACCAGATCAGCAATGCTACTTTTGAGTCACACCACGGGTACGACTATATCTATATCTCAAATTTGTGAATTTGCCATCTTGAACATTCGTACTCTGCAAATGGATTTAAATTGAATGGAAAAGTAATCCGCGCGAGATAACAGTATCATCTATTTAATGGAATATGAAAAATGCGAAATCTGGTTCGAGCTAAACCACATTTGTTAGGATAAGATGAGAATTTGGACTGGTGACGTTTCATTCGTTAGACCACCCCAGTCTGTTTCTAAGAGGGTTTGGAAACGAAACTACAATAATGGATACAAAAGGATATGCGAAAGATGTGTCTAAAAGACAGACTGACTGCCCAAAAATGCAAAACAGTTTTTTCTGACAGGGTTTTTGCAATGGCGATGGACATTATTCTTAATAATGTCTGCGTGATAATATCAACTAAACAGTCTTTCTCAAGGACATATTTCGCGAGCGTGTTCCAGCTGGGATATGATACAAAGGGGCTCTATCCAGGGTTTCCAAAACTGCAACGCAGAGCCGCAGCTACTACTGTTCATTGGAGAGGGCATCTACAAAAATTAGAGAATTCTCTGTCTCTAACCAACAATCCATTGCTCTTAAACATTGTTGCTTCCAATAGTTCTATCTTTTCTATGGAAGTTCAATGTGATTGCATAACTGGGAGTAGGGAAGGCTTAGCCCAAAATAATTCCCAAAATAGATTACAGCTTTACAATGAACTATCTTGCTCTTATTGCAGATTGAGCTCGTGATCAAGTTCAAGCCCCCACCACCAATCCCTTAATACAGCCCGTAGTTGCTGAATGATCCTGCATTGCAGTAGGTCTCGTAAAAGAAAATTTAAAAATACTTCTCAATCAAAATCATATGATAAACAATTCGTTAAAGCTATTGGTGAAATATCAGATATTGAAAATGGCTACATAAAACTACATACATTTATGACGTTCCAGGATATATGATATACAATCCTGTTCATCATTTATAAAATTACATTATAATAAATAATTGGCTGGTTCCCTCTGAGTCCCGCAGAACTTCTAGTGATACAAAGCATCAGGAAGCAGGCTTAACAGATATTAGGGAGTTTTTACTGGAATAGGGGGGGGGGGCTGAGGATAAAAAAGGTTTTTGTTAAATGCACATATGAAAAGAACGCTAGATAGGCTGTCCGTTGCATTCACTGAATCTTGGAGTTCAGATAAACAGAGAGCAGGAATAATGCAAATAGACACAGAATGATACAAGGTAAAGAGGGAATAACTCGAAGTGTAAAAACACCTAAAAATAAACTCATATATTGCCTTATCATAAGGGCGTCATGTGATTAAATATTGTCCTCCATTAGAGATATGTACTGAATCTAGCTAGCGATGGCGCACAGGGAAGGCTAAAGGGAATAACCCCTTTCGGAGAATGCTAGCCCCCCGTATGAAGATAAAACACAAAAATAATTAACTGCAGTCATAAGGTGAACAAAATATTTAAGACTCTGCGCCGAATAATTCATTCCACCTTATAGGAAACATTCTGGTACCACCCTTAGTTAAAGTTTATTGTTGGATAAACAAGACTGTCATCAATCTCATACCCAAGGTGTTGAATGTCAGCAAATGCTATCCTTCAATTGGAATGATAAGAGCTCTAACTAACAGATGGATATAAACTGAAAACAATATAGGGTTTGACTGGTTTCCATTGAAGTCCTAACCGGCAAGCTTTTAGGCTGTTTTGGGCCATAGCTTCTTTAGTTGTACATAAACCTTGTCTACAAGCACTTTACTAACAATCAGCTATTCGAATGTTGACCCTACCCGCAAAAAGAATGGGCTGCCATAATGCGCGTCTTGCATGGCACCTATTCCATTACTCCAGCTCAGTACCAAAATACCTGTTGCCAAAATTACCTAAAAAGGGAAAGCAACGAAGCTACAGTATCGAATATAATCCTTTACTTGTGTACACAATTGTAGTTAACAGAAAAACTATTGAAGATTGTGCATAAAAAAATGAATTATAATTCAAGGTCTTAACTGTCAATTTGAATAGAAAAGGATAATGAGTCCATGATGAAATGGTTTTTTAAATCCAGTTAGGTCCATAGATTTCTTTGTAATGATATTTATTTCATACAGGCAATATATGAATCAGTGCCATCTTTGTATTAAACAGTGCTCTAAAAAAGTCGCTGAAAACATGAAACGAACAGAAAAATAGCATATTTGGATAAATACAGTGAAACTATGCATTGTGGGAGGACATTAAACTCACCAATCCCTGGTATAATGTGGTAATTTTCATTGGTTACTGAATCAACAGCAGTTGTCACAATCTTCACTTTTGGAAAAGCAAAGGCGATAGAATGGACCCCTGAGGTAGAACAAAACGGAGAAGTAGCCTCTAATGTCTGCCAAAATTACTGTGAACATCCAACAACAGTCAACTTAAAGAATACCAGTATTGTTACAAGAGAAAGAGGGGAGGGGGTGGTTGAATTCGATCTTAAGGCTGATCAAAGGGTTGATTAAGTCAGTGATCATTAGACTAGCCTTAAAGATAGGATCGACTAAAATCCGATGATATATTTTTTTGACCAAAAATAACGAAGCAAGGAAGCGAGAAAGGAAGACTTGTGGGACTCCATGAACAAATTTTAAAGGAAGCTTCTATAAATACAAGAAAACAGCTACATGCATGGGAGTGATTCAATTACTCAATAAGAAAACAAACATTTATTAATTTTTCTTACCTGCTTTTCCCATTATTAATGAAACAAACATTATATTTTCTTCTTTTACTTCATGGTCCTAGAGGCGGGAAAGACCATGAAATTATCAGTTATAAATGTACAAAAATACATGACTGCATAGAAATGTAAACTGTACACAAGACTTGTGTAGAATTTTATTCAAACTTCCAGAGAAGAAGTATTTCAACAGTACAACTGAATTATATATCGCAATAGAAGCCAAGCTTTTATTGAATTTTTTTGTCAATGAAAGCGGCCTAATCATCACAAAACATTACATAGTCTAACAAAGATTCATTTTAAGTGCATGCTCATCACCAAGATGTCTGTTAAATCTATAATTATTGTAGCGGTCTTCTGAAATCGAGGATAAATAAAAAATTGAGAAAAGGCGCTTTCCTTTTCCGAATAATTAAGTCATTTGCGAGCTAAAAATTTAGAAACTTACAAGCAATATTCTTATTGCCATCAGCGCTGTAGAAGAAACAGAACTATTGTCAAATTCTACAAAGAGCACAGGCAAAGAAGGATGCTTTTAATGAAAATCAATGTAGCAATACCGGAAGTCCTCAAATTAGTCTCCTTAGGTTTTAAGATGGGAGCTAATTCAAGGGGCAGTCCTATACGAAGAGAAAGTAAGGGGAGCTTATAAAATTATCTCAAACCTGCCATTCAAACCGGCCACTTTGTAGTTTTTTCACAATGTTTAAGCTCATTTCATCGGAAAAACTACCGAATAACTCTTTCTAAAATATCAAACTAAAGTATAAATTAAAGCACAAAACGATACATACTCCAAAATATTGATATATTCATTGTCTTTGGTAGTCTTTTCAGCAAAGCTTCATCTACTTTAGGTTTTTCGATTAAGCCCCCATGGGTCCTTATTAGTAGGCAGTGTTGGTATGTCAGTGGGTGGGGGGCTTATTCAAGGCTGGAGCTCATGAACAATTTTTATTTCTAGGATGGGGGCCTATACGGAGGGGTTGGGGGTTCAAGGATTTACGGTATTGAAGAGTATGGTGAACTGTATAAAACACTTCGTAACTTTTAAACCTAACGACTTAATCAACTACATTGTTATCATTGAGTAGAAACGGGAACTTGAAGCTGACCATTATGGCACAATTAGCATAAATTACCAGCAGCTCCTGATGCAACGGTAGCATCCATCAAGATCACGTGGTCTCTTCTGATATCTTTTGGCAAACGGAGGTAGTGTAGCTAAGGTAAGAATAAACAAGGAAATAAGAATTATCTGAGCCTGCTGTTTATGCAACCTGAAGTACAAGATATGCACAAGTTGCATTTATTTAATCTTCTCAAATTGCAATAATTAGGGTTTTTCTATTGACATGGCTCTGGTACCTTGTGACGTTTTGGTGTCCAATGTGATATCTTGACGTCCAATGTGATATCCTAATGTCCACTGTGACATCCTAGTGCCCTATATGATATCCTGGTGCCCGATATCCTAGTGTTCCATGTGATATCCTGGGGTCCCATATGATATCCTAGTGTTCCATGTGATATCCTGGGGTCCCATATGATATCCTAGTGTCCTATGTGATATCCTGGTGTCCCACATAATATCCTAGTGTCCCATGTGATATCCTGGTGTCCCATATGATATCCTGGTGCCCCATATGATATCCTAGAGTCCCATGTGATATCCTGGTGTCCCATACGATATCCTAGTGTCCCATGTGATTTCCTGGGGCTCCATGGGATACCCTGATGTCCTATGTTTCACGAGCATGCAAATAATAAGAGTAAATGGGGACCAAATCAACTTACTTCGGGTTCATCTGTGTCTTTGTTCGTCTGAATCAATATTTTTCCGATCTTGGCATCTTTTGATACAGAAACGAGGGCATCTTCAAGCGCCTCCCCAGCACGTAATATTGATACTCCACAAATCTGAAAACAGGGAACCTTAAGCTATCAAAGGCCATTGATATATATATATACCATAGTCTGGTGACAATGCTGGATCTAAGGAATTAATGCTTCTGAGAAATTTACAAAATATTCCTATATTCTAAATTGCAATGAGCCATTGACCAAATAACAAATCAGATTTTGATTGCAACTGACAAATATTCACCGGATTCCTCTAAAAGTTTTCAAATTATCCACAAAACAGAAAATATGTAACATGAACTTTGTAGAAAACTGTCCCTTTCTGTTTAAATCTAATAATTTAGAAAGTTATGAAATATTCATTGAAATGATATCTGTGTGAAGCTATCCAAAGAGAATTTATCAACGATAGAACATATAAAGTTGAATACACAAGACGGGCAACTGCAGAATGAAATCATTTCATACTGAACTTACACTAAAAATACAGAAGCAATAACGATTCAAAATCAATCTCCGTTTGAAGAAAACTTTCCAG